ATTAAAGGAGAGACCACACAGAATTACTTGTAATTGAATTTTACAGTGATGGCCAGAATGATCCTGATTTGTTTAAAACACTGTCTGTATTTACATGTTGCTTCAAAACAGCAAGCTGAAATCATCCAATTGTACAAACCCATGTTTGAGCTTGGTTCTGTGTTGTGTTTGATGTACTTCAGCTTGCTGTAGTTTGTCTTGCAGAGGTATGTTTATCCAAAAAGTGACATATTTGTTTCAGCACAAAATCATAATGAAGGGTTATACTGACTAAAATAGTATATTAAGCACTTCACACGATATTCCCTTCCTTCACTCTAATACATCACTAGAGGGCACTGAGAGACCCTGGAAAAGAATTGTGTTTGGAATATCTTATGCGAGTGGGACATGCTTTCATGGAACTGAATTACAGTGTTCGTTTGGAGGGTTGTGTAGTGAATATTGTTTGGCTAAGGATTTGTAATCCAAGTACCCAAAACAAGGTACAGGTTCACCGGAATTCCTGCTTACTGCAACCTGTATGGCAGAATACCCACTGTAAATGTCCCATCAGCAAATGTGTCTAACACTCATGTGTGTACACACAAGCACAAACACACCTGTAAGAAAGAAAATATGCTAATAATTAAGCATGGTTGTGATTTTTCCCTTATTCACTTAGTTCAGTGCAATTGTCATTGCATTTGCTCATTGTCAGTGTTTTACTCCAAGTCTAGGTAAGTTTCTTCAGAAACTGAGTAAAATGTTGGAGATTTCTGAAGTGAAGTCTTTTGAGGTGTTATTAAGACCCTTGTATAATTTATATAGGTAAGAGATTTAAACAGAAATTGAAATTAAGTTTTGGGATACCTCTTAGTTCCTTTAACAATTGAGTTTCCTTATAACATTTTCCTAAGTGTTTCATATGTGGAAGCCAGGTGTGAAAGATGCAAGACATATCCAGATCATTTGCCAAGGTACCCTAAAATTCTTTCTTATTTTAATACATTTTAACTGATGGTTTCATGATGAACAATTTTATAAAATTAAAATGAAATTAGTTTTTCTAAAGGATGGCTTCATACACCAAAAGTAAATAAAATTGGTCCTCTCCATTAAATTGTATGCTGTTCGGTGAAAGGAGGCTTTGTGCTTCATTTATGATCCATAATTTTCCATTAATTATGGAGTTCTTCTATAAACTACTGCATCGGAGTTAACTGTTAGAGTTGTGTCATCACAAATTGATGTATGGGTGTTCACTGGTAAAATTATGCTTATTATTGCAATATGTTTCAGCAGTGCCTATTATTTTTATTCCTAGTTAAGTTTGTAACCAAGACAGTGCACTATGATTTATGTTATTGTTTTGTTGCAGATGTCCCAAATGACAATCCAACAGTGCTGCAGCTAAAAAATTTGGCATCTAAAGTTTTATTTGCATTAAGCTTGAATTTCTTCAATGCAGTTTTTAATAGGATATCAGGAAGGTGAGTAAGGTAACAGGACTTAAAAATAAATAAAGAATATGAAGAATGCTGTCTTCTGGGATGCAGTGCAATGTAGATATTGTACAAACTGACGTTTAGGAGGAATGTATCACCTCCATCTTCAGGGTAGAAGAAAGAAGAAAAAATCCAGGGGCGAGAGACCAGCGTGCGCAGGTTCTGCAGTTGAAAACACCCAACTACATAAGAACAGGAAGGGAGGGAGAGTATGCCACATGGGAAATCAATAGAGAGGAGAGGGGAAGGGTCTGTGGAGATGGGCCAGCAGGTGGCAGACCAGAGAGAGTATAGGATCATGTTGGGGGTGGGGAAAGGGAGGGATACTGGGAGAGCATTAACCCAATAGCCTCAGGGCTAAGATGCCAAGGGTGCATTGACTTGTGTAGCCTTTTGGATCTGGCATCATGTTCTGGAGGTTTCTTAAGGGAGCAGATGAGAGGCTTCCATGACTTGCTGACACAAATCCCAGCCTCTCTGTTAATATTGTTGGGATGGAGCTCAATCTAAATGGCCCCCCTAAAGATGCGATACATATATTGGGTCTTGGTAGCGAGGATGGAAGTACTGTGAAACTGAATGCAGTGTCCCAAGTCGATGGGTCAGTTTATACAATATTTACACAATGCCACATCCCCAGAGACAGCATTCCTCATAGTCTCTGCCATGATAACTTCTAGTATGTTAAATAAAGTTAAATAGTTAAAATTTTTGACTAATACAAACGTTCTCTTCCTCTAGGTTACAGGAGTTGAGTGCCTGCAATGAAGAAAATCCAGATTATAGTGATATTGAGTTGATTCAACATATTAATGTGGATGTTGACAGACTAATTCGATTACTGAATGGTTAGTACCTTACTCACTTACTTACTCATGGAGCTGAGCATTTCTGGAGGAGCCGCCAATTCTGCAGCTACTCAAGAATTTCCCAGCATTTTATGGAACCTGAAGGTTCATTAATGTGTTCACAAGGGCCCTCGACTGGTCCCTATCCTGAGCCAGATCAATCCAATCCTTACCATCCCAGCCTATCTCTCTTAAGATCCATTTTAATATTGTCCACCCACCTATGCCTCGGTCTTCCCAGTGGTCTCTTTCCTTCTGACTTTCCCACCAATATCCTATACACATTCCTCGTCTCCCCCATTTGTGCTACTGTCCTGCCCTCCTCATCCTCCTTGACTTGATCATTTTACTTATACTTGGAGAAGAGTACAAGTTATGAAGCTCCTCGTTGTACAGTTTCCTCCAACCTCCTGTCACTTCATCTCTCTTTGGTCCAAATATTCTCCTCAGTGGTTAGTACCTACCTTACGTAATTTATTTTATCTGTAAAATGAGTTTTACTAACTAATTTAAAGCATTTCAGGCTTCAGAGTTTATAATATTGACAAATGTAGACCCCTACCTCCCCAGCTGCACGTAGCGGTAACGTAGCGCTCGCGTAATAGGCGAGTAATCACCCCGCATCCTGGTAGCTATGCAACGCGCAACACGCGGTGACGTCACGAGCGGAGCCGAAGTGAGCCGAGCGAAGCCGACGTTAGCCGAGTCAAATAAGACATTGTGCTGTTATTATGAATGTTTTTTATGTAGTGTTTATAAAATTGTTACTGAAGTTTAATAGTTATGTAGCTCTTGTGAAACATTTAACACTGAAAAGCTGTATCTTCTGAGATATAGTGCTGTGTAGTTGGTTGAATGTCGGCCACAGTTTTGTGGGAACGTGTCTCCATCTTCAAGCTGGAGATGGAGCTGATATATTCCTCTGAAATGTCTGTGACTCTAAGCAGACTACATGATGTTATATTTCAGAAGATAAAGTGCTTCATACCACTGCTGTGAGAACCTCAGATTCTGCATTGAATACTAAGTTCTCCTTTGAACTCTTGTTACCTCCTTTTACAATTTTTTTTTTTTTTGCAAAATTGAGGAAAGGTTTAGCATATTTTAGTGAGCAAGTTTTCTCATGTTTGTAATATTTTTTACTTGTATTTGGGAGGTGCCTGGTTGAAGTCATGTCTTGGACACTGATTATCCTAAGGTTTCTGTGTTGTTCTTTAATTTCTGTAGCTGAATGCCAGGCTAGTATGTTGAATGTTTCCTCTGCGCTCCTTTCAAGTGCACCATATGTGATCAGCTGTATATTATTTGGCAGTAATATATGCAGTTAGTGCAGGATTGTGTGGTCCATCTACCCCTCCAACATTATATTTAATCATTTAATTGCACATAAATGGATACAGAGTGAATATATGGAACTTAATGGAAGTCTGGTAATGGCTGCCTGTTGTTGAATGACAGCGATCAAGTATCAGAACTCTAATGGACTTTAAATCTTGCTTGAATATGACTTCAATCTTCAAACCATATTTATACTTGCTTACTTAATTTTACATTAAGTCTTAGTGATCAGTTGCAGTCTTTTATGTTATTGATCTTGGAATATGGTCCTATTTCTGAGTGTGTTTTACTTATAAATATTGGTTCCCAAACTTTTTCTGTCCACAAACTTATCATTCCCGTTTTTAAAAGGAATCGGTAAGTGAACTCATGCATAAAGAGTTATTTTCTTTTTGAATTTGTCTGTTCCATTTACCTTTCTCCTTCAGACAATTGCTTGATTTAGCAGCTCCCATGCATTTAAGCTTTACAGTGTTTCACAAATAAATTTTTGTTTTGGAAGGATAAGGTAGCAAATGTAATCATGTAATTGGAACAGACTACAAATCTGCTTCTTTTTTCAGAAACAGAGCATCACCATCAGCTACTTTGCCTGAAAGTGATACTTTCATATGAAAAATGTACCATAATGAATTTTTTCTGGCAGACATAACATTTTGCATTCTCTGAAGGGGGTCTTTTATGTGCTTGTATTCTACTTGTATAAATGTCTTCACTTTGATTTATTGCAGTGCTTTTTAATGCATAAAGAGTATCACATTCATATAACATTTGTTTCATTCTTAGTACAAAGAATTAAGTTGCTGACATAAGCAGAATTTTGAGAGAATCCCAAATTTATATTGTTCTTAGGTCATTATTTGTTATGTTATCTTCCAGTCGACAGTTGTAAAAGCACTTCAGTTAACTGTAAATTTACAGTATGATCATGTTACAGATATGTTATTGTAGGAATTCTTTTATTAGATAGCCTCTGATAGAGGCAGGTAGGAATTGTATATAAATGCCAAGAATGTCTGTTGATATGAAATCCTGTACTATTACAATAGAATCTTATTTTGATATTGAATCATTTTATCACTTTATAACATTTTAAATTGCTCATGTACCAAAGTAAATTCAACTGTGAACATTGTATGTCACCTGTTGTGTTTAAAATCTCCATTCTTAAATACAACTACAGCAAGGTGTGCTTCAAATTTAAACTTTGCTGAAAAGTATAATATCCAATCTTAAATACAGTATGATGACTTTACATACATTAACACAACTGTCATTGTGGCTATTCATGTTTAATTTTTCAGTACTTATCAATAAATATGAGCAATTCTATGGTATCAAGAAATTGTGTGATATATAGGTATACTGACTTTACATCAGTATTGAGTTCTTTATCCAGATATATTACATTGATATTAATTAATATCATATCTCTTCAGGATATATGGTTTTATTCCTATATGTAAATATTTTACTGTATGTACTCAGCCATTCTCTTATAATGTTAAACCAGTATCTTGAAAAATAAATGATTAATTTCTAGGATTATTTGCTTATATACTCTTTTCTATTGGCTGGCTGTATTTCACATATGATAAAACTTTTGGTGTATAAATTAATTTTTTTTCTTGTCCTGTTATTAGAATCTATTCAGAAGTTCAGATTACTGAAAAAGTCTGCACAACTTGTGCTTATGACTTCATTGGAGAAAGCTATCTGGAACTGGATGGATACATATCCTAATGAATTTGCAGACTTACAGGTATTTAATAGTGGTGTATATGCTGTTATTTCTTATTGCACAGTGATGTTGAAACTTATCTTGTGTGGCATGAAGCTTTTTATGAAAGTTAACTGTATAGCTGTAAGGTTGTAGGTCAATTCTGGGGTAAGATGCATTTTGCAAGTTTGAAAAATGATCTTATGTTTTATTCTTCTTTGTTGTAGAAAAAGCATAATGAGGAGTTAGCTAAGTGCTGTGAGGGTCTGTTTGACATCTTGGATAGTTTTGCTGATAACAAGAAAGGAAGAGCTGCAGTGTGGCCACTTCAGATCATGCTTCTCGTTCTCTCACCTGTAAGTACTATGCTGTTTGTGGGACTGGATTTTGGAAAACTATTTAATTATCAGTGTCTGTAAACTGTATTTGGACATTAAAAGCATGTCCTAGTCATTAAAATTCCATGAAATATGAGGGTAAGGCTTATGAAACGATGGGACAAGTGCCTCAGTGTGCAGGGAGATTATGCTGAGAAATAAAAGCATTTTTCAAATCAGTACTCTTATTTCTTTAAGTTCTATATCAATTTGTAACTTACTTATTGACTTACCTACGTAGATTGGAACATAGTGCTTCATATAATAGAGGCATGCAGGCAAAGGAAACGCTTAACAAAATATTTTCCCAATTTCCTTAGTGAGGAGATGGTGGCAGATACATCACTTTGCTGCCATCATCTTCACAAATGAATTTTACTGTGTGAAACCGTTGTACCTGTTGTGACATTTATGCTTGTGTAAATGCTGTGGTCTCCATCACCTGTTCCACATGCTCCATTTGATTTAATATGTGGTAGATAGAATCTTTTCATAATGGCAAAATGATGTTACTATTATTTGACTTAGAGTAATACATACTGTACAGTGATGCAGAAATGTTCAGCCATTAAATTATTGGGTATTCAGCATGATCAGATGAAAGTCAAAATAATTTACTTCCTTAAAAACTGAAGTCATTCAAAGTACTGGAGCACTTGAGTACCGATGTAGACTATCTGTATCTGTGTTATTATATATATGTAGCTTGCTTATGTTCTTCTGGCAGTGTTGTTTATCAATGAAATTTTATGTACAAATATTATGTTTCTGGACATTATCCATCATCCTGTTTTTATTTAAAGATACAGTGTTCCAGATGCTGGATTCTGTCTCCATCTTCAGGTAAAACCTATTCAGTTGGGCCAAATCAATAGAGCTAGACATAGTCAAGTCTCTGAAATGTTGTGTTTTTAAATAATAACAGGATTATGGATAATGTCTAGAAACATAATATTTGTATTTATTTACCACTGTCACAAACTTTCAAAAGTCTTGTATAGCTCTGAGTGTAACTAATGAAATTAAAAGTAGACACTCACAAAAAGCTGTGTGAATGTATACGCATGCGTATATTTATATATGTCCTTTGTTTCATATATTTCAATGAAATTAAATGTTTATCTATGGGCTAAAGGGATGATCTTTTGTGCCGATAAGAAGATAAGCCAAAAAGTGAAATATTAATCACAGATAATATTTTTCAGTTTTATTGATAGTTTTCAGATAATGTTGTTGACTTACTGTCGTTCTAATTAGGCCATGTACAAGAATTTCTGTACGGGGTCTCTTTAGTATGGGCAGTAAATTTAAGAACTGTTCATGATGAAAAATTTTAGCTGAGAAAGATGGTTCAAGGTATAATGTTTCTGACCTATATTCAGGAGGCACCTGGTTCAATTCTTGTCCATTACGGTAACTGTCCTGACTGAATTTCTTCATGATTTTGTTCAGTCTCTCCAGAAAGAGACAAGAGTATACCTTAAAATAAACCATAACTGCTTTCTTATCATGTCTTCCAGTTAATCTTTTACTATCATCCTATCATTCAACACTGTATAGTCTGATTTGCTGACAGTATTGTAGAATAAAACTACAAATACATATACAGTTATGAAAATGTTTAATGATAAGGTTTTGGTTCAGTAGTTAAATGCTTTTTCTTTGGATGTGGGAGGTCATAGCTTTGATTACTGACATCAGCTATCCTGACTCAGGGTTTCCTTGTATGCCTTCACTTTCATCAGGTAAATACTAGGTTAATAGTACCTTAACACTTGGCTGCATGTAGTACAGTTGAATGTAATAATCTAAGTGGTGGTCTCTATTGCATTTCTCTAATGCAGTGTTTCTCAACTGCTAGACCGCAGCCCAGTACTGGGCCCTCATCTTATAGAAAAATGAGTTTGCTGGGCCATGGTCTGACAAAGGTTGAGAACCACTGCTCTGATGAATGTAAGGAGTTGATGGAACAGGTTCTACCAGTCTGCAATTGTCTGATACAGCTGATGCTTAGGAACAAGTTTTATGTTGATGCACATAAGCATTAAGAAATTATATAAACATGTAAATATTTGATTCATAATTTTTTATATTTTTATCTTAGGCATTTAGCATTAATGATTTCAAGATATGATTCTCAGATTTTGAGACTGTGAATTGGATACACAGCTGTGAGCATTTTTATTTCATATTAAATTGTATTATATTGTTTAACTAGGGGAGTGGCTTATTTGAATGTGAGGGAACANCGATACGCGACAATATGAAGATCAAACTTATGCTTCTAATCAGTAACATTATGCATATTTATGAAGATTTCTTTTCATAAGAAGTGTGTATTTTACAGTGGCACAGAATGTTACACTGGATCACTTGACACGTAGACACATAGAATTCCCATTTGTCACCACATCACTCGTAAGAGAGTTGTGGAATGTTACTTTCTTTTCAGATTGATGGCTGTCATAGATATTCTGTAACCTCTGTCAGGGTTAATTGGCCACAGCCTTAGTTATGTGTAACATTCAATATCTCATTTTTAATAAATTATATATTTGTTTCTTTTGAATTCTTCATTTGTAGATCCTTAAGATTTCAGTAGTTTTACTGCGCCCTTAAACGTTTTGGCATCTGTAATTTGGGATCAGTTTGTATTAGCAAGAACAGGCAAATTAATGATGAATGTCTTGTAGGGAAGTAGTACGCTACTTTTCAGAGTTTGTGTACCAGATTTGGAGCTGAACCTTTGTCATGTTCTCACACTTTCCAATGCTGACGTGTTTCTGACTGGCTGGGTGGTTGGCTGTAGAAAGTTCTGGAGGAGATAGTGAATGCAGACTCTGGGGCACCTTGTTCACCACGTCATTCTAAGAAGAAGCAGTTTATTGACTCTGTGAAACGAGCCATAGGACAGCATGGTACTAGCAAACAGCTGACTGAAGCAGCTGCTGTTACCTGTGTCAAACTGTGTAAAGCTTCTACCTACATCAATAACCTGGACTCCAACAATGTAGCTTTCACCTTGGTCCAGAATATCATTAATGAACTCAAGGTGGGTGATTGTTCATTATTTTCAGTTTGAAAATCATAAAGTTCATGCCCCATCAGCAGAATGATCAAGTACATGTTTATGTTCAAGTTAATAATAGCAGAAATCAGAAATTACTGTTTTAATGAGAATTTTCTTAACTTTTTGAAGACTTCTTTAAACAATACTCTTCCTGCCCTTGCAGCTACATGTAAGTGGTAAAATATCACTGATGTTCCAATATAGTTACCAAAAATATCTTATTTTTAGATTATTTGTTCATATCTGTAAATAAAATGCATTCCATGATGAAAAAAAAAGACCACAGAAGAGCATAAAGCTGTTATCTGTTGATGGCAAGTCAAAATACTGGTACTGTCTAAGCGTTCACTTGGAAGACATATTGTCGACATCGTATGGGTCTTTGGGTTCAGAAATGATGTTAGTTGGCAGTGGGTTAAATACCACATCTGTTTTATTGTGGATGTGTAAATATTGTCTAATTTGTAATGTAACACTCTTCTTCTGATTGTTTAAATGCTAAAAATTATTTGAATTTATTTACTGAACAACCCTAAAGCTTCCAAATTTTACAACCCATACTTAATGGATAAAAATGAGTGAAAGGCTCAGAACTGAGTTTGAATTTGGATGTCATGTGGTTTGCAAAAACTTTGTGTTTGGAAATTAGAAGGTATCCATATTGCATCCTGCATATATATATATGTACACCCTGTAGAAAGGTCATGAACTATGCAGTAACATCTGAAACTATTGATATGAAGGAAGCCTGTGCTATGATTTCTTTCACAGAATCTGCTCTTCAGTCCTAGTAAACCGTTCACCCGTGGACAGAATTACGTTCTACATGATATCGACTTAATGATTGATTGTTTTGTGTCATGTTTCCGTATCAAGCCACACAACAATGAAGCACTCAAAGTGTGTCTCAACCCCAACTCTTCATTCTTGTACCATTATGTTCTCATCAGCTCCTTGTACAGGTATGATAGTTTTGCTATTTACTGAATATGTTGGCTGAAGCATGTAACATCTGTGACTTGTATTTGAGAGATGTGTGGTTTTGTGCCAAGGAACCGATGGCCCTTATTTAAGTTTTCTTAGCTTTTGTGAATCCTTCCAGACAAATACTGTGATAGTATCTGAAATTAGGCCACAACATGCTTTTGGCGAGCTGTTGTCTAGCAGTGGGTTATTCCGCACATATTCATTGCTGCAGGAACATGCATATGGAACTGTTGTCTAGCAATGGTCATATTCATCACAGTTCTTTTAGTTACAGAATGTCTCATGTAAGCATATTGTTTTCCAAACATTTGTGTAGCAGCTTGTATGTTATTTTATATAAAGTAATATGTAAAGTCCATAAGCATATCATTGAACTTTGTTTTTCAATGCCATTAATGTACAAAGGGGTTGGTTAGTTAAAATGATTTTTTTTCTCTTATAGTTTAAATACTGTAAAAGTACCATCCTATTCTGTATCATGTCCTCGTATATGTTATAGGCATGAGTGTGAGAATAACTTGCAGACTGAGACAAGGCTTTAGAAAAATTTCTAGAACTGAAGAAGGAATGACAGTTTTCTGTACTAGGTTAATTTTTCACTGTAACCACAGTGTATCACACTAGCCAATTTTTCACATGTACTAAAGTGTACTACTTATTCCTCTTGATGTTAGATCCTTCTTCAGTGAATTTCTTTGATAAATAATTGAATTAAAACAGTTCTAGGCCCATGTCCTTTTTAAACATGTGAGAAAAAAGAAAATTAAGTTGATTCATGCTAGTGTTTCCACCATTGTGATCTTGATGATTTGGGTAGTTTATGTGATACTGAACAAAACGGACACAGCTGTATGAAATTTCTTCAAGTGAAGACTTGAAATAAATATTTGAATCAAGATTAAGATATTTTTCTTCTTGATTTATTCTTGAAAAATTAAAAACCTACACATGCCTAACAGCTTGATATTTGTCTTTGAGAAATATTAACTAAATATCATAGCTTAACAGTTGCACGTAACTCACATGTATCACTGATGTGCATTTGTTGCCAAACAGCTGTTTTGAAATATGAAGACTGTTTTTAGTATTGCATTTGCAGGATTATAACACAGCCTCGATTACCGTGGTGGCCTCAGATTGATTTGGTTTACAACAAATCCAGTGATCTCAGGTTGATGTTCACTGATACATTAAACAAAGCATTACAAGGATGTATTACTCATACTACGCTTCGTATGATTCCGGTAATTGAATTCATAGTGAATTTGGTTGTTCTGATATTTAAATTTTCATAGTTATTAGTCTGAGAATTAAATCTGATGCATCCATTACTGGGTAGAAAAATAGAAACTTGATATAGGTGCTACATCTCTTATCTGGTATCCAGAAATATGGGAGGACCATAAATCATTCTGTTCTTTTAAATTAATGGTGTGTGGCAGTGACAGTGGTTTGTCAACTGACCACTTTGTTTGAATGGTATGTAGCTTGTATTCACTTATTCTGCAAGGATAAATGTAGTTAATTACCCCTTTATTGTTGTTGTTGTTCTTCTTATTATTAAAGAGATGTATAAAAGGTCAGCAGGAAGTCCAGTGGCTAATAGAAGGTCTAAAAGAATGTAATTTGTACCAGGTATGAAGAATAAATTGGATTTAGTTACAGAATTAGACATTAATAATTAAATATGGAGCTCAGCATAGATATATATACTGTGTATGACTTAGAACCAGAAATCCGACATTGCCATGTTTCCAAGCCTCTAAGATAAGAAAGTTGGTACATATATATAATAAGTTTTATTGCATCAGAGTGTTCAAAGGTTTTACGCAGTTAAAATCAGTTTCTGGTATGTTTCTTAAGAAGTGCTGTATTTTGTTTAGAAAATTCAAACTTTGGATTTTCTCATATCATGCTTTCAGTTTTGATATATGCTAAGCATCTTTTGTGACTAAGAAAATGTTATATGTTTCCAGTCATTTGCATTAAAAGGTAAAGAGTCTGCTTCAAAGTTCAAAGAGAAAGGTGATGAAATCCCAGTTATTAAGAACCTGTTACTTTTGATTGTTCGTCTCATCCATGCAGATCCAATGTTAATGCTCAATGTAAGTATGTGTGATACACAAGTATAATATGAAAATTAAAGTGGCTGTTAAGTGTGTTGATATGGAAGAGGAGCTCTGAACATTATTAAGTTTAGTATTTGTCATCAGATTCAAGAAGTTTACAAAATTTAATTGAAATCCAAGGCGGTATTGTCAGCTGCTGTGTTGAATTGACCTGCACACCTATTTGACATATATCAGGGTAGTAATGACACTGGAAGACTAGTGTGTTCTGGGATGTGATGCCTTGTCTCTCAGGAGTAAACCTTTATCAGACTACATACTGTCACATCCCAGAAGACGATATTCTGTCATCACTGAAAGAACCTCAGATATCATGAAGGCACAGGATTTGATGTGCATATTAGATTGCAGCTCACTGTACAGGACCTGTAAATCTTACTGGAGTGAAAGTTCTTTATATTCTGAGTGAGATATCTATTACATAAGATATACCAGTGCTTACTCTGATTACTGTGCTTGAGGAGGTAGCAGTCTTGCTTCATTTTAAGGTGGTCCCAAGTTTGAAACTGGCTGTCCAGACTAAGTTTCTTCATGGTTTTCCTTGGTCCCTCCAGGCAACTGCTGAGATGGTGTCTCAAATTAGGCCGTTGTTACTTCCTTGCACTTTCCTTCCAGTTCATTATTTACTAATCATCCTACCGGTTGACACTATGTAGTTTGAGCTGTTGTCAGCATTGTTAATAAACGATACATAAAATGTGATAGATATATATACTGTAAGTTTTGATTTTGTGTTAAGAACCAGGGCAAGACTGGCCATGAGATTCAGAGCTCCACACTGGATCTGATCAATGGGTTAGTGAGTTTGGTTTATAAACCCACGATGCCAGACGTAGCTCAGGAAGCCATGGAAGCTCTTTTGGTGCTTCATCAGCCTGAGAAGATTGAAGTTTGGAACCCTGAAGCACCCATCAATACTTTCTGGGATGTGAGGTGCAGTATTTGTGTCTCAGTTCTTAATGAAACTGATAATGGGTGATTCAGATACAAAGAAGTTGGACATGTATGTCTTCAAAGACACACACTTCTCATTCAGTTTAATATTTTAACTGTGAATGAATTTGAAAATAACATTTCATACCTATATTTAACATGCACACAATAAAACCAGAAAATAGGAATTAAATTTGTTATCATGTTTATTGTTATTTCAGAAAGCAGTATTAAGGCACATCCACATTGCTCGTGCTCGTGCGGCAGAAGCTTACTGCTGCCGGAAAATCAGGATCTGGAGCTGATATCTGTTGTGAAGAAATGCAAAGGCTTTGTATGCAAACCAGTTTGGGCATCCACTTCGTCAGCTCTAGATCCTGATTTTCTGGCAGCAGTAAGCTTCTGACACATGAGCACGAGTAATGTGGACGCGCCTTTAGATGCTTGTGTTTTTTTAATAATATCTTTGTATCATGAAAGAATACAAACATCCTAGCTAATTATTGTTGTACAGACGGCGTAAGTAGTATTTAGTATTTGGATGTCATTTGCCCAAAAAATAACATGTTATAAGATTGAAAGTATGTAGTATGTAACGTTTGTTTTATCAAAGCTAAATTTGTTTAGAAGATACTTAGTGGGTTGCAACAATTATATTTTGTATTACTGTTCATAGTAAGAAAACAGTACTGCAGTACAAAAAATGTGTGGCAGTCTTTATCTCGCAGGTATGCCGTATGGGCTGTTAGTCTATTTATTTGTATCTTTATTAGGCAGGTAGGGTCTGTGCAAGTAGGAGTGACAGGGATTGGAAAACAATGACAGTGAGTGCTGGGTGGCAGTATGGGAGAGTGGAACATTGCATTGGAATGTTGGAAGCAGTGTGTTGCTCCAGCCTCATCATTTCTGTGGGATAGTGGATGTGCATGACAACCTTGTGGGCTATGTACACTTCAGTTTGAGAGTTAGATCTGTTACTTTCATACAGTCAGATGTATAAATTCACATGCTCCTAGTATATCTACTCCGATCTCTTGAAACATTTTCATTATACGAGGGGCGTTCAAGTTCTAAGGTCTCCGATTTTTTTTCTCAGGACTGGGAGCAGATAGACACATGCGGTTTAGTTTAAAATACGTGTGCACTCTTTGTGAATGCGTGACAGAGATGGCAGAACTCTACGGCACACACAACTCTAGTGGTAGCGGCGAGTGTGAGGAGTGTTTTTGATACTTAAAATGGCGACGTTTTTGTTACAAGAACAGCGAGTAATCATTCGTTTTCTCCACTTGCGTGGTGCGACACCCATTGAAATTCATCGCCAGTTGAGTGAGACGTGTGTTGATGGTGTCATGAATGTGAAAAATGTGCGTTCGTGGGCGCGACAGTTCAAAGAAGGCCGAACGTCGTGTGACAACGAACCAAAACAATCCCGGCCTCGCACCAGCCGGTCTGACAACATGGTCGAGCGAGTTGAGAAAGTTGTTTTGGAGGATCGCTGATTGAGTGTGGAAAACATCGCCCCCAAAGTTGGCATTTCCATGGGATCTGTGCACAAAATCCTGCATGAAGACCTGCGAACGCGAATGTCCTCCAGGTGGGTGCCACGAATTCTGGCGGATGACCACGAGGCTGCACGCATGGCAATTTGCCAGGCGATGTTGACACGTGATGAAGGCGTGAATGGGACTTCCTTTTCATCAACTATGACAATGGATGAGACATGGATGCCGTTTTTCAATCCGCTATTGCATCAGCAATTTTCCAGTGGTCAAAACAGACTCCTACAGAAGCGTTCGCAGCGGCCATGGAATCATGGCGTCGACGTTGTGAAAAATGCGCGCAGCTGCAGGGAGATTACGTTGAAAAGTGACAGAAGTTTCAAATTTTTTGTATGATTATTGTGTGAGAAAAAAATCGGAGACCTTAGAACTTGAATGCACAACGTAATGTGTAGTTATTCATAACCCTCACAGCAATGTATTGTCACAGGATAGTAGAATTGCAGACTTTTCAGAATTGCTTATGATAATGTCATGGCTTTGTGTTGACCTCTCTCAGTTATGTAACATTAACATCTAGTCTGAAATACAAGTATGCTGTACGTTGTTCAACATTAAGAAAGGCAGATACATATTTCTGTTGTAACACTTTGTTCGTGCATGTTCTTGCAGTTCACAAGTGTTATTCACCATCTCGCAAAAGCTCATTCAACACCAAATAATGGATTATACAGACATCCTTAAATGGCTTCGTGATATTCTCATGTGCAGAAATGCTTTCCTTCTCCGTCACAAGGACTATGCCAATTTGGGGAGTCAGGTTGCTATTTGCAAGCAAGCGCATATAAAACTGGAGGCAAGTAACTGCTTTTGATTTGTTAATACATGTTTTTTTTTTACTGGCTAAAATTTGAAGTATTATATTGGTCATGAATAATATCTAGTTGACTGTTTACCACATTTTTTTTTTAGTTTTTCAGTATAGCATTTCCATTATACATGTAGATGACACTTTATTTTTATTCTGCAGTTCATCATCTTCATGTGATATCATCAAGAATATTTGGTATCTACGTACATTGATAACCAGTGACACAAAAGTGTGTTCCCTTGCATTCCATGCTTTTGTAATTTTTAACATTTTTGTCAGCAGTCTGTGACGATTGCATTGTTGGTTTACATTTTGTAGATGTATCTAGGTGGTATATCAGAGCAAAAATGTTGAAACTGAAGTGGTGTGATGCCAAGATGGTAACTGTTAAAGTACTGATGATGCCTGTATTACAGTTAATGAATTGCAGTCAATGATTGTAATCAGAAGAAAATAAATGTGATGACAGTGATGGTGAGACAGAAGTTAGCAGTAATAATAGCAATGGTGAGATGGTGAGAATGCTTCAGTTAGTAGGAAGACAGGCTGCTTAGCAAACCATGTGGTTAAAAGAAAAGTGAACTTCTTAATTTGTTGGTTTCAGTTCTTTGTACTTGAACAGTTGATAACTTGGAATAACCTTTTCAAGTTTAATGTGGTGCAGTAAGAGAAACTGATATTTGTAAGTTATAGTTTTAAGGTTAGGATGTTTTTTTCCAATAATTCTTATTTCTTTAGGTGGTCTTCTTCATGTACCTTTGGAGCATAGATATAGAGGCTGTGTTGGTAGCCATGTCGTGTTTTAGACTGCTTTGTGAGGAAGCAGACATTCGCTGTGGCTCTGATGAAGTTACTGTAACATATTTACTACCAAATTATCATCTGTATCAAGAATTAGCCCAAGCTTCAACAATTCTCACTACAGGTTAGTATATTGCAGTTTCATACAACATATATTATAAAGTAATATTATAATGCAGCATCCTATTGCACTGTGTGTTCTAACTTTATATTCTCATTCCTCTTTGTCTTTGTGCAACTTCATCAATATATTCACATGTTAACATCTTAGTCTCTTCTCGTTATACAATGCAACATGTTTGGCCTAACTGGCCATCATCAGATGTATGAGATGCTGGATTGAATGAACCTGCTTCTCTGTTGTCATGCAGTTCTGCTTTTCATTTTAATATAAAATGCTTTTAAAATATTTTATTTTCCTTTATTTTTAGATTATCATGCTGTTGTTACTTCATTTGTATGCACGTGTCTGGTGCATGTTTTGTTGATGTGTTGGTTATATCCGTTTGTGCTACACAGAGCACAGTTGGACTCCACCCACCATGAAGCAAATTAAAAAAAACACATCAACAAAACATACATCAGACATGTGCTTACAAATAAAGTAACAACAGCATGGTAATCTAAAAATAGCCTAAAATAAAATATTTTAGAAGCACTTTACATCAATGTGAAAAGCAGAACTGCATGACAACAGAGCAGCAGGGTCATTTAATCCAACATCATATAAACCTGATGATGGCCGGTTAGGCAGAAACACGTGGTGTTACATAATGAAAACAGATGAAATTGTTGAAGTGTGAAAATTAATATATCAACGAAGTTGCACAAAGACAGCAAGGAGTGGGAACATGAAGTTAGATATAATCTAAGGTAAACTATAAGTCATTATAACTTACATTGATCATATTAAAATGATGTTATTTTGCAAAACAGCCAGCGAGGAGTCGAGGGTTTATTACCGTGAACATAATCTTGGTAAGGTATTGAAAGATGTTAATTTCTTTAAAATTTGGCATGCACATTTAAACCCATGCATTGCATGTGTCTGTTTTAGTTTCCCTTGCTAAAGAAACATTTTATGGTACAATTTATTTGGATTTACGTTTTGTTTTGATAAGTGTTTATGAATGGGTGTGTTTGTGTGTATGATCATCTGGCATATACTACAGAGAATGAAGGAAAAATGGTCATAGGTATTAGTAAGACAAAAGATCTGACTTTTGAAGGTATTTTTATATAATTTATTTTGCTCTAAGGATTGAGTGGTTCAATGATAGTGTTAAATTCACATGAAATCCACATGTTGTCTTCATTGTGCTTTGAATTTCCTTGTCATTCTGTTGTATAAAAATGTAACTGTAGAGAACCAATCTGCTACATATGTGCTCATCCAGAAATGTATTTCAGAATTAAATGTGGAAACTTTGCAAAGACTTTCTTTGCTGTGATCCAGAATTTAGGCCCCGAATCTGCTGAAACTGTGTTTGTTCATTATTGAGTAAAGTTGTGAGAATTCTGATTTCTTTTCACTTGTTAGGCTTGGCATATCTCACAAGGTGCTTCTCTTTTCAGCTATGAATATCAAATATTGTACCTTGAATGTTTAAGGGGTGGGCCTTCTTGGCCCTTGCACCGTAACCACAGTAATCTATTGTGCCTTAAATATTGTACCTTTGTAATGTCTGTAATTTTTCATACTTTTTAAATCTTGTGGGTATAATGGTGTTGAATATCTTAGCTTTTTTTCCAACAGAATTTTATATTATCTTACTCTGAACACATTTACTGCCATAATTGCTGTTAACTGAAGTTAGTGTACCATTCCAAAGTGAGCAATTTTTCATGACTTCCTGGCTAGACTCATATAACTGATGTAATTATTTCTCTGACAGATGTCCTCAGCTTGACACATTATCTTCACATATCACAGTGTAGGCTTTGAAGCTTCGAAATACATATTAGTTCTTGATTTTTTGACTTACAGTTAATAAAATCAGTTCTGAAGGGTTCTGATAGTGATACATTACTAATGTAATATATTATGTATACAGTCATGAACATGTGTATATTAAGAAAGTTTATGAACTGGGTAACATATTTCAGCATTATAGCACAATCCTGAGACCTAAGCCCTGATAAGAAACATAAATAATGTGTTCTCATACATGTAAAATAATTAATTTATTGATTTATAATTTTATCCACTAGATCCATGTGGATAAATGTCAAATGTATTGCTCATAATAAAATTACTACAATATTACAAGCATCAAATGATGCCACTTGTATATACACAGGATTATCAATGTAGAGCAAGTAAAGTAAAGGTATCCCTGTAACAGGCCGTGGAGGCCCATAGATGTTGAGGTTCCCACATTTTCTAGACAGTCAGCCTATAGATGGCGATAAGGTTGTCAGCCTTATGTGCCCGCCGCCCTTTACCCCCAAGAATATTCCTGGTAGTCATTTCTGTTAAGAGGCTTAGTCGACCCCAGGACCATAGTGCGGCTGAAAGGATCAGGTAAATTGAAAAAATCACCTCATTGGGATTCGATCCCACTACCTTTCGATTGGATTATCAATGTATGTAATGTGAAACAAAATCATAACACAAATTTGTGGGATCCTGTATAGCATTTACATCTTGCTGTGTAATACTCTGATGTAAGTTAGCTGTTCTGCAAACTTTATTATCATCTTAGCATTAAGAAATACCATAATTTCTAGGTCATCTTGTGTTCTTATAATGGACTGTGTAGAGTTAGAAGATGAATTTTGAGGAAAAATATTTTGATGATCTTTTCTTCCAGGCCGAGCAGCTTTGCAAAAACGAATAATGGCCTTATTACGCAAGATTGAGCATTGTGTAAATGGAGTCCAGCCAGTGAGTAATGATTTAGTCATCAAAATAACACAAAAAAAAAGTGTTACATTAATTCTGTTTTACATTTTGAATGAGAGGAGAGTTATGTGAAGTTTTCACACACTTTGCAGAAATAGTAGGATGTGTCCAAATTAATCAGTTTTAGTTTAGTGGAAGAAGATATTATTAAAATGGATTTTAAAGAAATAGGGTTTGAGGATCGAACTGAATTCATCTGGTTCAGGATAAGGTGCACTTGTAGGCTGTTGTACATTTCAGACAGAACAGCTACAGCACAACAAGAACATTCCCCATGGGGATCTGTATGCATACATAATATCAAATTAGAACATCCCAGTCCATGTGTAAACAACCTGAGTGGGATACCCCTAACATGTTCACCCTTCACATATTTAATAGGAAGTTAAGAAAAAACCCTCAAAACCTATATTCTGAAGAAAGATCCCAGCAAGCAGCCACCCCATAGCACAATATCATTACCATAGTGGAACAACAAACGGTACACATCTGATATGTAGCAGGCACAAGGCTTCAGTAGAATTTGTAATATTGGCTACAAATACCTTAATAGCCATTTTACATTTTAATTTTAACTTTTATCCATTTAATATCAAATTTGATGTCTAGTTTTAACTATATTTGAAACACGTTTTAAAATTATGATATAATTATCAGTATAGAAAAGCATAGAGACACAATATGGTTTCATATTGATTAATGACACAATTCAGAAGCTAAATAGTATTCATGTATGCCTGAAGATGACTTGGTGAAATTGTTGAAACACGTAACGATGCCACCAAAAACAAGCTAAAAAAATGTTGACACAGTAGTGTCTATTTTGTTTCTTTTTGATTATTTGTTGTGTGACTGTCCCAAATTATATCTTTCATGCATGATAATGACCCCCCCCCCCAAGTTCCATAAAGGCATGGAATTTTTTGACTAGCTGAGCAACTGTCACCATCTCATGAAGATGTTTGCTGTGTGGTATTAAGTACCGTATTTATGTATGTATAGGCCGCACATTTTTTGCCAAAAATTCAAGAGGAAAACTGGGGTGCGGCTTATATTCGAAATATTCGAAATCACACTTCATTTAAAAAAAAATTATATTCATAATTAGTAATACAGGGTGTTCTACTCCTGAAATAATATTCCAAGAAAATTATTTTTTCTATAATTTCTGTCTGAAAATTGTGCTGCGGCCTATACATGCGTAAATACAGTACTTCATTGGATCAAACACTAGGTACTTTCAAAGAAGAGATTGAGAATGACCTAAGGCTTGTTTGTGGGGCATGTCCTATATCCATAATGATTAGGTCAGTATATTTGACAGTGAAATTGTATCTGCCACACCTACGCCAAATCATTCAGCTGCTTAGTACAGTTTTTTTTTGTCATAATTCAATGGTTGCATTTATTTGATAAAATTGGTCCTTTTCCCAACTTTTTGAGGGTCACTATGTTGTATTGTAATGATTTGTGATGTTTTAAGGTAGAGCAACATACTTACTGAAGCCCAGCTTTCTGAAACACTTCCCCAAGGGTCTTTAAACTCTAAAAGAAAAGTAGCGTATAACAGTATCCCATTTTATATATTACCATAACTTGACAATGCTGTATTTATATTGTGTGCTCTAGAATAGTACATAAAGGAAGTTCTTAATGCAGTTGATAAGTTAATGAATTAAGAAGTAGGAAAATTCAATTGTTGATTCTGTGTGCACTGCAGGCATGTAATATACCTAGTTTATTTACTACCTTGATTTCCATTGGTTTCTTTGAGTAAATAATTTTTATAGGCTTGGGAGGAAACATTTCGCAACTGGGAGGTATCTACAAAAACGCTGACATCATATCCCAAAGCAAAATTAGAAGATGGTCAGGTGGAATCATTCCATCGTTCAATAGGCAAACGGCGGGCTTCCCACCAGAATTCGGAATACGAACTTGAGGTGAGCAGTGTTAATAAGCTGGAAAGGTTGAGATGGAGTAGTAAAACAGGTAGTGAGAGCTACATAGGAATATAATTTAAAGTTTTCATTTCACTGGGTTAGAGGTAAAGCTATTCCTGTAACAGGCTGTGGAGGCGCATAGAGTTGTGAGAGGTCAAGGCTTCAACATTTTCTAGACATTTGGCTCACAGATGACGATGAGGTTGTCAGCCTTATGTGCCAACTGCCCTTTACTCCCAGGAAAATTCCTGGTACTCATTTCTGTTAGAGAGTGAGTTATCCCCAGAGCCATTGTGCAGTTGGAAGGGTGAGGTCAGTTGAAAAATCCAGTCACCTCATTGGGAAAATTTCATTGGGATAGCCCATTATAAAATTTAACCAAAATATGTTCACCAAGAGTGTCATTGAGAGTAAATTATAGATGGACATGCACAGTCTTACCGTAAGATATTCTGTATTATGTTACAGGTAAACAGTATCTTTAAGCCATTTTGTTCACACAGTGAGTCCATCAGTTGTGAATGCTGTGTTTTTTGTTGTAAATGCTTTACAATGTAGTGAACATTTTTTCTTTATTGTGAGAATTTATTAGGGCTTTCATGTTGGGAAATATTCTTAACTCACTTTCTGTCATGATTATAATACTTAATTTTTTTTAACAAAATTTTTAATATGTGATTTTAGTTTCACCCAGTTGCTTTTTTTTTCTGGACAAAAAATTACTTTTCTCTTCAAATTTACTCTCCCATATATATATACAGTGCGTACAATCAAGTGCGCGCCGCGGCTGCAATTTGCCGTGTTGCAACTCCTCCCCGCGACTGCATGCGTTCTGCGGTGGTATGAGTCACGGCAAATTGCAGCCGCGGCGCGCACTTGATTGTACGCACTGTATATATATATTTGTTGGAGGAATATTATTAAGCAGCTATATGTGTTACAGGATCAGATCAATGAATGGGCAAACATGACTGGTTTCCTTTGTGCACTTGGGGGTGTCTGTCTGCAACGTAAGTCTCCATCAAGACCATCAGCAGGTTTGGGATTGCTTCCTGTGCCAAGTCTGGAGCTTCGTAAATTGGCCAACTCAAGTCAGGATGTACAGTATTGCCCTGTTACTCAGTAAGTGTATTATTAATTTATGAGGGAGTATTCATTCAGTACCTCATAGTGGCTGTTGTTAATTCTTTTTAACATAAGCAGAAATCATTTATATAAATTAATGGACATTTTGAAAGTATTGTATTACAGTGTCACAAATATCTCATCAAGTATTAGGACTTGCATCATACCTTGAACATGAATTGCACTTAGGACTAGCACAGAAATTACATTAAGACTGCAGTAGAGGAAGTATGACATACAACGAGGACTTCATTATAGCAACAAAAACCTTTGGAACTCTCAGTTTCTTAATGTTATATATATATAAGAAGATCATTGTATAAAATAGAATCTTCCCCCATGCACCTTCCTCAAAATGAGTGATTCATGACTAGTTGCCACTGTTTTCCTGTAACTTTTTGCACTAACTGTACTTACAGTTTTGCTTTGAAAATTATTTCATTGAACCACCCTGTAGGATAGGACCAGTAAAGGGCTCTTGTGAACATGGTAATGAAGCTTCAGGTTCCATAAAATGCTGGGAAGTTCTTGAGTAGCTGCATAATTGGCGGCTTCTCAAGAAAGGCTTAGCTCCATGAGTGAATGACCCACCATGTAGTTCTTACCCCTGTCTCAGAGAAAGTTTGCATTCCAGAATCTGTGGACAGCTTACCTCCTCCAGATTTTAACCATTGAGAAATATATATCACATGACACTCTCTGACTTTCCTCATCAATTCAATAGCTTGTTTCATCATGTATTTTGTCTCTTGGTTTGTCGATGGATGTACCATGCAGTATTTTCACCTCCTTGTAACACAGGTTTTTCCTGCCCCAGAGCTTCAACTTATCCTGGATGATGTCACAGAATATGATGCAGGCATGTGTTCAAGTTCTTTCCCTGTCAGATATCTGCTGTGTTTTGGTTACCACAAAATGCAAACATTTTGAAACTGTCCAATTATGGCAATGACATGGGAGAACTTAGACTTGAACAAGAAGCTTGAAATAATATGTGAAAAAGTGAAATGGGAAGGTGGGATGGATGAGCCTTTTCAACATTGTGTTATTGAAGAAGGGAATATTTGGTATATTCTAAACCCAAGCAAACTAAAGGCTTATCTTCATGTGACATGAAGTTGTGACACTGAATGTCACATGTATGTCACCATGAAAACTTAAAGCCAGAGTAACATGACATCTAGATTAAAGTTGATATACTTTAGTGTCACAGAGTCAAACTTAGTTTGATTTCTGTTGACATTTGTTGTGACTTTGCTACTTGCAAGAAATTTCACTGTTATGACTGCAAATGTGACTTTAAGTGTCATATGAAAACGAGCCTTAACATTGTTTCTTTTTTCCGTGAGTGAAATTCATTTTGCGAGTTTGGTTATTATTGGCTGACAGACAAATGAGACAGACCTATTTCATTTCATTTCATTTATTTCGTATCCATGGATCATTATACATGATATAAGACATGTCATTCTTGTGTAGTTATGGTATAATAAGTTTCATAATGTTACTATTGGGGGGGGCTGCATGTGAAGCATGCAGTGCAACGTGGAATTTGGGTACCAACTCAGCATTTGCTCTGGGACCAAGGAAAACCACGGAAAACCTTGATCGAATTGGCCGGTCACAAGACCTCCCAGATACACTGGTTTCTAGCAGCACCTATGCTTCCAATATATGGCTAGGTGGGCCCTAGAACTTGCTTGTACTCTGTGAGGAAGAGAAAAATCTCTTACCCTTCATGGGAATCAAACCTCGGCTATGCAGCCTGTTGCTATGTCAACTAAGCTATTTGGGCTCCATTTAGTACCATTAAGCATTTAGTTCTAAAGATTATGCACATGTGATCAAGCTTGTTATGTACTGAGATACTGGAATGTACCTTAGACATGGAAAATTTTACAAATTGCAGTGTAGATTATGAAGGCTAAGCTATATTCTTGATGTTGAATTATGTATAATGGATGGTGGAATCCAATATTTATTTTGGAGTAAGCAGTTTTTTTGGTATACTGAAAGTGGTTGTGGATTGTTACACTCCTTTGTAGGTTTGTGGGGCAGTTACTGCGATTACTTGTATGCAACAATGAAAAATTTGGTGCACAGATCCAGAAACATGTGAAAGAGTTAGTAGGACATGAGATGTCTCCAGCTTTGTATCCTATTCTTTTTGACCAGATAAAAGCCATAGTTGAGAAGTTCTTCGATCAACAAGGACAGGTAAATTTCTATGAAACTTATATGCTCTGACCACTAAACATTTTTGCACTGTTGAAATGCAGTCTTCAAGGACTGATTTCTCCCTCTATGTTTATTGTATTTATTTTTCCAAATAGAAATGTCTGTCAATTTCTAGCCTAATTTCCTGTAAACAGAAACTTTCTTCCATAAATACAAATTATATCTTAAAAACAGTGATATTTGTAAGTAGGAAACAGAAATTTGATGCAGGAAAAAATATTGATGTCTTCTACCATTGGTGTTAAAGGTAAGTATATATGAAATTCTTTTTCTAAAAACTGTTTGTCAGTACTCATGAATAGTTTTAGCCAGCCTCAAGGTTAAAATGTGCTGCCCATTGGCAGATGTGAGACTTTTGAAAAATTTGCTGATATGTATTCTGGCGTTTATTGGCTTAGCAAATCACTGTACCTGTGTGTGCATGCGTGTGTGAATAAAATTGTGTGCAGATGGACCATGATCAGATATGGGAATATGTTGTTTGGTAGAAAGTTAAAATTGACGCATTGCTTTCTTAAGAGTAGAAATCATTAGTTGAGTTTGAAGATGATATACAGTATTGATTTTGTAAGTTAAGCAGTTTCGCTTCAATGTGTTCCATGTAGATAAATATAGAAAAGAACTGAAGTTCATGACATTTAGGAGTATTTTAATGAAATGTGTTATACGTATCTAGGTACTGCATAATGATTAAGAATCCCCTGCGTTTTGTTTTATCCTGTAATAGGTACAGTATACTCTTAGTTGTCCATTATCCTGGAATCTAGAATTTTCATCAAACCAGTAAAATTTAAGAGACAATTTAGCATTTTTATAAACTTAAGTAAAATTCCTTTCAATCAGAAAGCCTGATTTGTCAGACATTGGTATCTCAGGTGTGAAAGGTATCATGTGAAGCCACTTTATTAGCCTCAGAATATGTTATTTTTCTTGATTAGCTTAACTATTACAGGTTTTGTTACAGTAAATAAAAAGAAGAAAATCACTCTTTTGTGCATCTGATGGTTGGAGTCCTACTGCCATGTGAGGGCTGTAATGGTATAAAATAAACAAAAGAATACTATATTTCTCAATATTTTGTTTTCTTATGAGAAAAAATCAGGTTCTGGAAATTCCAGGTTTGACCCTTTGAATGCTTCCCCTCTCATCTTCTTTCACCAAGGCAGTTGCAGCAATAACAGTCCGGGAACTTTCCGATAGTGCCTCATATAAGCTTGTGAAGCTGCTGCTGTCACTGATGTGATGTATTGATGTGTTGTATGTAGGTGATTGTGTCTGACATCAACACACAGTTCATTGAACATACCATTTTCATCATGAAGAATGTACTGGATAGTAAAACAGACCAACCATCTGAACATCTTGGTGTTACCAGTATAGAAGGAATGATGTTAGCAATTGTCAGGTAAGTTCATAGTTCACATACAAGGGAGAGTAAGTAAATAGGTCACAAATGGAAGTAAAACATCTGTAATGGATGTGATAAGTTTTCTCTGTGTATCACTGGGTGGCAGAACAGTCCAGCTTTATGTCAGTCTAGGTAGTAGACGTGCATTCGCATGTTCAGAGTCTGGTTTCAGTAGCCAAAATGGCAACCATGCTTGAGAATTGTGATACTGAAGGGCAAGTGTTCTGGTGTGCATTTTGTGTAGGCAAAAGGACTCAATGCAAAGGATATTCAAAAAGAAATTTATCTTGTTTATGGTGGGAAGTGTTTGTCGCGTAAAGCAGTTCACAACTATGTCAGGAAATTCTCTCAAAGACGTTCAGTAGTTGCAGATGAGGAAATGGAGGTATGAAATTAACTGAGACGACAGTCAAAAGATTTTTGTGCTGTGGGTTTCAACACGATGATAAAGTGATGGGGCAAGTGTATCAGTGTTGATGGAGGATGTATCGAGAAATAAATGTTCTGTCCAGGTTTGAATATAACATGTTTTACATTCTATATCTGTGGCCTATTTACTGACTCTCCCTCATATATGTATAATATGTATTAAGTGGAAGTATTATGTAGTACTTTGTAAGTTGGCCAAAATGATAATGCTTCTGTATTGTATTTAGAAGGTAATTGACTCAAATCCAGCCAAGGACACTGACTATCTTGACTGATGCATTTTTCATTTTTTCCTCAGTCATTCCAAGAAAATGTAGAGATAGTACCTTATTCATGTCATGACCATTTCATTATTCACTGATCATTCTACCATTTGAAGATATATAGTCTGAGATATATACAGTGTCATGAAATAATCCTAAAATAAATTAAACTGTTTATTTTAATTTCTGAATCACATTGTACTATGTGTGTATTATGTCTGAAAATACTTGAGTGTGTACTAAAGACAGACCTTTACAAACACAAAATTTGATCTACTACTTGATACTATGGTAGCATAGTTGGTTGAGTCACTATGCTACAAGTTGGAAGGTCACAGGATCGAATCCCATTGAGATAATTGGATTTTTTCAATTTACCTAATCCTTGAGCTGCTCTATGGCCCTGGGGTCAACTCAGCCTCTAACAGAAATGAGTACCAGGAATATTCTTGGAGTGTTCTTAGGGGTAAAGGGCGGCTGGTGCGTAAGGCTGACAACCTTACCGCCATCTATGAGCCATTTGTCTAGAAAATGTGGGAACCTCAACATCTCACAACCCTATGGGCCTCCAAGGCCTGTTACAGGGATACCTTTACATTTTTTTTTTTTTACTTCATACCACTTCTGAAGTTTGAACATTACGATAGATAGAAATGTGTGAAGTTTGCATGCTTGTATAAGATAGATTATACATAGAAGTATACAAAATTACTCTTCTCGAATATGCAGTTTCTAGCTACATTATAAAAGCTTGGAGGTTCAATAAAGGGAAAGTATATATCTTTATTCATTGTTCTCAGTATAGCCACAAGAGTGCAATTGATATGAGCCATATGGCCTCAAGGTTATTTGGGTACTAGTACAGGACTGGGCAGCATTACAAAAGGATAGTATTTTTTCTTTAATTAGAGAAAATATATCTTGTCCCATTTAGGCAATTCTGTAATACAGTATGCATTGTTATCTAAAATTACTGCCTTTATTCCTTAAATGTGCAGTGAATTTCTTTTTACCACTGACCTTCATCTTAAGTTTTACAAAGACGCAGTACTCTGAAGAGTTCGAAGTTCACTTCAAAATATGAAGCCACAAGGTGGCAATTAGAGAAAAGTTTCAAGATTTGGGTACTTGCACGTTCCTGAAAGTTATAATATTGTTTCTTATTTTATTATACCAGTTTAAATGTTTGTTGTCCAATGATATTGTACGAGTATGTTACAGATTGCTTTGTTGGACTTGTGTTTGCTATTTTGGAAAGGCTTGTGATAAGATTTGGGAAGTGCTGAGCTGTTGTCACTTCTGTAAATTTTGTACCATCAGTTAAGATGAAGCATAAAATATGTTTTACGCAAAAACATTTATCATAAACCCAATTTTTATGTTGTAAATTAAATATTGAAAGCATATGAGATGTCAGTATTACAAACTGATGTTGTATTTTTATAGGTATGTACGTTATCTTGATATGACTGTACGTGCTGTCCATATAAAGACAAAGGTCTGTCAGCTAGTGGAAGCTATGATGAAACGACGGGATGATCTTGCTTTCCGTCAAGAGATGAAGTTCCGCAACAAGTTGGTGGAGTATTTGACAGATTGGGTGATGGGAACATCACATCAAATAGCCCCTCCAGGATCTGGGGATATTACTGTCATCACTAGGTATGACTATATCACCTGTAAACACTACTGGATAATTAAATTAATGCGTTCATTCCTGGGTATTTGACCAAGAAGTTACATCTACAGTGCAATCATTTTTAGGCTTCTGAAGGACTAGAATTTCTTTAGAACCCAGAAAATAGCTGACCCAGTAGGTGTAAGTATTAAGAATGTGATCTTCTATGTTGCAACATTGTATAGTCTTGGAGGTGGATACTAATGTTTCAGAAGGGGATGCTGCATCATCATCTTTGTTGAAGGTGTAACTATTCCTTCTTTAGAAGCCTGTTATTAATCCCCATGTGCCTGTCTCTCCACCTCCAGAGATTCATATCTTATTTTCTCTGTATGGTAGATACTAAATAATTTTTGTTAAGCTGGTATAAATATCATGCCATTGTATACCACTCTATATTCATGCTTTTTAGTGCCCAGCCTCCTGTGGTACAAATATTAGGGCCAGACATCCATATTGAGTGGTAACATAGTGAGAACCAGTGTTTATTCAGCTAGTGTGCATACCAGCTTGCTTGTGAACTTGTCAAAAGTTGCACAATTTCAGGAACATTGAAATGGCAGACATGTTTTAGACAGAAAAATTCTTCATCAGACTATTCAGTATAAGGTCTGGAAAATAAATCTTCAAAAATTTTTGTTATTGCTGCTTCCGTATCCTTTTTATTTTCAGTCTCACTGCTACCAGTAGTGGGTTATTGCTTCAGAAATAACATGCATACATCATGATAATGGAAACGTTAGAGCTCCTGCCATTGGTTGCTGTTTGTACTAGAAGAGATGTCAGAGATTGTAGAAAGAACATGTGATCAGAATGTACCGATAAATTTGTAAAGCTGGTGACAGAAAGGATCCTTGGCGATAACAGAATATTTTACATTGATGATGACTAAAGAATCAGTCTAGCTTAATTAGTGAAATTTGTTTTTCAGATGGTTATAAATATATTGAATAGTTTCCACCTTATTGTTGGTTTCTTCTTTGTCATCCTCTTCAACCCTGAAGACAGAGGCAGTATATTGCTTATTAGTTTTACAGATTTTGATAAATGTTTAATTATGCCTGTTATTTATATAGCTCTGTGGATGTCAGTGTGGTGTTATTATCTTGTTATCTGCAATGTACAAAATATATTGCTGTATGTTATTTGTTATGTTTTTGTGTTTGTACGTTATTTTATTTTTATACTTACATGACCCATTGGTATGTATTTGTGTATGCTGTTGGACTAGTTGAGCTCGTGTCACTTATTATTATGGGTGTTCTGTGTGATGGTTTGCACTTTTATGTCTTTATTGGTGGTGTCTGTGTGCTGCTATCTGGTGTAAAGTTCACATAATGTCTGGATTATGGGGTTATATGTGTCAATGTAAGTGTCGTTAATATGTAAATTATCCCTACTGATTCTACAAATGTAATATTTTTCTGCCCCTCTTTCCTGTTTTTATGATAGCCATAGTATCTGTTATGATTTCTTATGTATGACTTGTGTTTAGTACATGGTTTGGATATCCAGCATCACTGTTACTGTTTCTGATGGCATGAATGTTTTCTTTATTTGTGATACTGAATGTTCTTCCTGTTTGCCCAGTGGACTTCAGGGGACAGTCTAAGCATCAGGCATTACATGAACTTTGTGCCAGATAGCACCACACACAAACCCCGAGTAAATATGTAAAAGTGGAAACAAGCACACATAACACCCATAATAATAAGTGACACACCTTGAACTGGTCCACCAGCATAGAGCCATACCTACCAATGGGGCTCATAAGTATAAAAAGCAAATAACATATAGGCACAAAAACATAAATAATATACAGTAATGCCCATAATAATAAGTGATATGCACTCAACTGGTCCAACAGTGTAGAGATATACCAATGGGGCACGTAAGTATAAAAAGAAAATAACATATAGACACAAAAACATAACAAATAACATACAGTAATATATTTTGCATATTGCAGATAACAGCAAGATAATAAGACCACACCGACATCCATACGAGCTACACAAATAACAGGTGTAAGTAAACAATTATCAAAATTTGTAAAATTAATAATAACAGAAATCATTAATATATCACACCATTACACATTGTGGAAAACACTAATGTCACAGGAGGAAAGCAGTGCATGAAAACGTAACAAATGATGTTCTCCAAAAAATGTCTTTTAATGAATGGATGATGAAGATTGAAAACAATGAAATATTTTAACTTAGGAAATAATTCATTTTAATTACACTGAAAATAAAATGTAGCAATCTTTGACAAGTCGGACAGCTGCCTGAGGATGGGCAAGAACATGTTTCAACATGTAGCGATTTCTAATAGTTAATTTTATAATATTTTTTTTTATTTTTATGTAAAGGAGATTGTAAATAAAGTTTCATTTAAGATGGAAGTGAATGTGTATAAGTTTAACATACATGTCAGTGTACAGATCTTGAGGATAAGGTCTTTTTCCCTGTTCCTCTTTTAATCCCCACCAACAAATGTTTTCCCACCATGTTCATGACATTTAATGTATTGAGATATATCTGAAATATAAATATTTCAGAGATTTGGACCAGGCATGCATGGAAGCAGTTGCTGCTTTGCTCAGAGCATTACCACTGCAACCTGAAGAATCTGATCGTGGTGATCTTATGGATGCTAAGAGCCAGCTCTTCCTCAAGTGAGTTAAACATTTCTGCACTGAATATGGAAATAGAGGATGTGAAACACAGTTAACTATGTTAAAGAAATGTAATGTGTACAATACATTATATAAACCCTGAATATATATTTTAAGAACTATAAGGTTTAGGAACAGCTGTGGAGAGAATGATGGATCAGCTACAGATTTTGGAACTAGAATAGGTTAGAGAGCGTAATACATGGTGTTAGTGATTAAATTATTGCCTATGTCAAAGGTACACTGATTGAGCACACATTTTATGGTTGTATTTTTTTGCCCAAAAACTGTTAAGATGTACAAATTTTTACAGTTGTTAATGTGATAAATACTGGAGATATTCTTAAAAATAATTTTCATCTCTGGAGTAGTGACAGTGTCTCAATTCAGATTTTATAAATAACTCAAAATCTCTGTAGTGAACATAGCATTTCTGTGATCTGGATCTTCTGAAGTTGAGTGCAAGTAGTTTAATATGTATCAGTGCTTAATTGTGATAATTATTATTGAATTTAATGGAAATCTAAATGCCCAGAGTGGAATATTTCTTATGCCTGGCATGGTTGCTGTAAGAAGTCAGGTAATTTTCTTTGAATTGAAAAATTCAGTAGAAACTGAACACTTGGAAATATTTTGAATGATTCTGAAATCAAATTTCTGGTTTACCTGTAGTCTACAGTTACTGAGAAATGGATGAGAGATGATTTATATTCTACAGACATGTGGTATTACCAGACTTTTTAGTGAAATGTTCTGTTTTATCATTAGGTATTTTACATTGTTCATGAATCTGCTAAATGACTGCACTGATGCACAGGATGTAGAAAAGGATGTGAACCGTCAGCGTTTGGCTGCAGGAAAGCTAAATACCCTTCACAATGCAACAATACAAGCCATGTCAAATTTGTTGTCAGCCAACATTGACAGTGGTCTTATGCATTCCATAGGTAAGGGATAATCTTGTAGACAAATTGAATATATGCAAATTCAGTCAAGCTTTGGGACTTCTCTGTCAGTTTGTAGATGATCCATATGGATTGAGCAGGAAGGATTTGTCATTTTATATGTATATATAGGTCAGTTTTTTATATTCAACAAATAAAATTATTTTTATTAAAAGTTCAAGACATGGTTGAATCATTGTAAAACCTATGTACAGAATTGTTTGGTTTCATGATTATATGACTTACAAATAAACTGTTCAAGAATTGTCAAAATAAATAGTTTTATATGAAGCTTGATGTTTTACAGTGGTCTATATCCAATATAGAATTTTGTAGCTCCTCTGTCACTTCGTGGAAATTTAGTGGCTAAGTGGATTTAGTGTTCAAGTTTGATTTCTCCCATGGAAACAGTAAATGTAAGGGGAAAGGGGATGTGCATGGTGACCATAAGGAAGTGTCTTTGAGAGAAGGGTTCAGAAACTGAGGTTTAACAGTATTTATATTTCACATCTTGTAACAGATTTGGGTTACAACCGAGATCCTCAAACCCGTGCTGCATTCATGGAGGTATTGAGAAAAATTCTTCAGCAAGGAACTGAATTTGACACATTAGCTGAGACTGTTCTAGCAGACAGATTTGAGCAACTTGTACAGTTGGCAACAATGATTAGTGATAAGGGTGAACTACCCATTGCAATGGCTCTTGCCAATGTTGTGACAACTTCACAGATGGTAAGCATGTTATTTTATTTTAACAATAAAAGAAATATGAATGTTTGTGATTTTCCACTACAGATTATTTTGGTTGAGGGCATAGTAATTATCTTGATATTGATGTTACATAAATTACAGTCATAGATTTTGGTTTACCTTTGCAAGATATTTTGCTATTTTGCTTTCAGGATGAGCTGGCAAGAGTATTTGTAACTCTGTTTGATGCCAAACATTTATTATCGCCACTTCTGTGGAACATGTTCTATCGAGAAGTTGAAGTTTCTGATTGTATGCAAACACTGTTCCGAGGAAATTCACTGGGCAGCAAAATTATGGCATTCTGTTTCAAGATTTATGGTGCTAGTTATCTACAAAACTTATTGGAGCCCTTGATCAGGCCATTACTTGAAGAACCTAATCAGAGCTTTGAAGTGGATCCTGCTAGGTGAGTCGTCATCCCTATTGAGTATTTTCATTACACTAATTTTTTTTCCCCCCTACAGAGCACTGTGTTCACTTACAGTTCCACTTCAGGCTGGCAAGGGTAATAGATTTTCCAGACGGTGACTTAATGTACATACCTTCTCTCCACTCTGTTTTTTGCTGTTTGTAAGGATTACTTTAAGTGTGTTTGGTTTCAGTTTATGTTTGGTGGAGACCAGCCCTTTCTTTTATATTCATGCGGAAAAACTATTGTGTCTGCGCATACATGGAATGTAGTACTGGCCAATTACTAATTGAATTTTGATCCATTTTGAATAGTGATCTTCACATGAAATCAGGTTTATGCTCATGAAGATAAATATTTTTATATACAGACTTTTAAGAAACTTAAGATTTTAACTAACACACTGACAGTTCTGAAAAATACTGTAGTTTATATTGAGTTTTTTTATTAATGTGCGTGCATGTGCACATGCCTACACTGAATCATTTTAGTGGCATTATTATGAAGGGCACCTGATTTCTGCTCTGGTTTCCAGTTTTATTGGACAACAATAAATGCTTGTTTTGGATTTCAGTTCAACCCTCAAGTAGGTTATATCTTGGATGATACACTGGTTAGCATATTTTGTATTTGTTTTTGTTACATATAGATTATTTTTCACAGATTGGATCCAAATGAAGACATAGAGGAGAACAGAAGAAACTTGATTGCACTGACACAGAAGGTGTTTGATGCCATTGTCTCATCTTCAGATAAGTATGATCATTTTTTTTTCTTTCCTACTGTTCGGGAATTTAATGCATGTTGATTTGTTTTAATTTGTCTGCTGCTATGGATAGACAGTGACTGAAAGTTTCATGTTTTGTGACAGAATCATTCTTTGATCTTGCATTTTGTGCAGATGGATGTTAACCTCTGTGATGATGATTACAGTGTTGCCTAATTGTAGTGAATGTTATCCCCCCTAAAAGTACTGTCTTTATGTTTGGTTCTTTGCATTTTTGATTTGGACCAAGAATTTGTTTTGTTATTTCAAATAAGGATGACAGGTACCACTTTGATGAAGTCTCAGAAACTGTTTAACTTATCATTGAATTTTACCTGTCAAATTTATCTTCAAATTCAATAGATGTACCCAAATTTAGTCAGAAGTTATTAGACCTCTCATAGTGGCAACTGTTTTTTTTTTTTTTTCAGATTTCCCCCACAGTTACGAAGTATGTGTCACTGTTTGTACCAGGTGCTTAGTAAAAGGTTTCCACTGTTTCCGCAAAATAATATTGGAGCAGTTGGGACGGTCATCTTTCTCCGTTTTATCAATCCAGCAATAGGTAAGTTGAGTGACATTATAAAGCTAATTTTTTACATTTTTTTAAACGATTATTGTAGTTAAAATAATTTGAGATTGATTTGAAGATTACTTTTATATAATTATTGTCCAGGAATTTGCTATTCTCACAGATGCTTTGTTTTCTGTTACACTTTTATTGGTAGATCCTCTTCTGTCTAATTATTTATACAACATATCATTCTTTTGCAAACTTTTTGCCTCATATTTAATGTAAATATTATTATTTATAGTGTCACCACAGGAGATGAGCATTGTAATTAAGCAGGTGCCTTCAACTGTTAAACGAGGCCTGATGCTTATGTCAAAGATTCTGCAGAACATAGCAAACCATGTTGAATTCAGCAAAGAGCAACATATGTTACCATTCAATGATTTTCTGCGTGCACATTTTGAGATTGGTAGAAGGTGAGATTTGATTAATAAATTCTTTTCCCTGACAGAAAATAGAAGTAACTTGATAGATTATGCCCCTTGATGTAAGTGGAATAGCTTGGGATAGGCAAATTATGTTCTTCAAAAATATGGTACTGTATATACAGTTATATTAGTGTTTAATTTTTGGTAAATTATACTGCCTTATTGATTTACATTTCTTTTTGTGAACTTTGAAATAAGTAGAATGGGATATAGAAATGTGTATAAAGTAAACCTTATTTTTTGTGTGATTCTAATTTGTTCTGACAGCGTCTGTAGTATTTCCATTGTACTTTCATAGCACAAGATGCATGTCCACTAATTCAGGACCTGAATAGCCACTTCTGTGCCAGATCAGTATGTAACAAGCCTTCCCATGCTCAGATTGCTTTAGATTGGCTTGAAATGTATATATTAGTTGTTATGTGTCTGCGTACTGTACAGCACTATAAATTCAGATCTCTACTGTCAGGTACTGTGAACATAACCCAGAGTTCAGTATCAAGTGGACATCTATGTGGGGCAGTCAAATGAAAACGGGTCAGAAGCCAAAACATATTAAAGAACATTTCTTACATCAGAAGTAATCTCCAAAACTGTTAATACATTTATCTCACTGGGAGATAAGACAGTCAGTCCCATCCTTGAATAAGCCTGTGGGCTGTCTACGGAACCACATCTTTACCCAGCCACACATGTCTTTGTCCGATGCAAACCGATGTCCACGGATGTCTCTCTTGAGGTATCTAAAAATGAGAAAATCACATGGGGAGAGATCTGGGCTGTAGGGGTGATGTTGAAGCACTTCCCAACCAAATGTCTGTAGCGTATTCCTCACAGAGTTGGCAGTGTGGGGGCGCGCATTATCACGAAGAAGGATAATGCCGTTCGATAGCATTCCAGGGCGTTTTGACTTTATGGCACGTCTCAGTTTCTGCAAAGTGTCGTCATAGCGCTGTGCGCTGATTGTGGCCCCATGCTCGAGAAATTCAACAATCAGAGGGCCCTTGCAGTCAAAGAAGAATGTCATCATCACTTTACCGGAACTTGTGTGTACGGCTTTGGATTTCTTTGGTGGGTGAGAATTCACTTGTTTCCACTATTGGCTCTGCCGTTTGCTCGTGGGTTCAAAGTGGTGGCACCAAGTTTCATCCCCAGTGGCAATAGGGGACAGAAAAGCATACTCTTCCTCATGGTATCATATCAAGTGACCCAGTGATGCAGCCATTCTCTGAGTCTTCTGTTCCTACGTGAGTTGATGTGGAACCCACTGTGCGCAGATTTTGTGGTACAGCAGGTGTTTTGTCACAATGGCGTATACAGAACCTTGACTTATTCCCATCAAAAAACTAATTTCTTCCACAGTGATCCATCAGTTTACCCAGATATGACCAACGCAGCAATAACATCAGGAGTGATGACATGATGAGCCTGTCCTGGGCGAGCATCATCTTGCAGTGACACGCGTCCCTCTCGGAATCTCTTATGCCACTCCAGCACACGCAAACGTGGCATGCTGTGTTCGCCGTAAACAACAGACATGCGATGATGAATTTCTCGTTGTCCTACTCCTTCAGCAGTCAAAAAGCGCACTACACTTTGCTGTTCTTATTACCCGCCTCCATTACTGATGTTGGACAACCACACGTAATGCTAACCTTACTTCCAGCACAATAAACAAACGACTAGTGTGCAAGGGCTTGTTGTCACTGTGCTTTCCTGAGTCCCCACCAGATGTTCTTACCGTAAGCAAATTCCAGTGTTACCAACTTGCGCGCCATGTTAGTTATGTGTGGTGACCCATTTTCATTTGACTGCCCCTAATACCATCACCACGTGACACAAAGAGAATGCTCTCAGGATGTGATAGTAAGACCTCTCAGGGTATATTTTTGTATGAGCTACTTTACTTACATGAATGTTCAAAATCTAATCTGTAAAGCATGGCATGTAATAATGAGATGTCCTATGTACATATGTGTGTAAAAGATTTTTCAGTTTTCCATTGATATCTCTGATTTTCGGTGTTTACATGTCTTCTTTCATGTCAGTTGTAACTGATAAGAAACCAAGTTCTAATATCATAATAAAAATATGTACAGTATTATAAATTTGGAAATATTAGAACACATTTTATCATCAGCTGAATAGTAATATTATCAAACTGCTGTTAAGGAGTAGAGCTGGGATAGCTCAGTCAGTATAGTGACTAGGCTATGGGCTGAATAACTGAGGAATCCAGGCTTGATTCCTGGAAGAAATTTTTCTGTTCTCCGTAATGTGCAGACTGGCTGTAAGGCCCACCTAGCCTGCTGTATAGTGGATACTGAGGGTTCTTTCCCTCAGATAAATTGCAGCAAATGAATGAAAGGAACACAGATCTCTGGCAAGAAACTACTTCACACTGATCGTCTTGGTTTTCGTTATACAGCTAATTTGCTTATATACATCATTCTTTCAGATTCTTTATCCAGATAGCTTCAGATTGTGAAACTGTTGATCAGGCCTCACATTCAATGTCCTTCATCAGTGATGCCAACATTTTAGCATTGCATCGCTTACTCTGGAATCACCAAGAAAAAATTGGTGATTATTTGTCCAGTAGTCGTGATCACAAAGCTGTAGGACGGCGACCTTTTGATAAGATGGCGACATTACTAGCATATTTGGGTCCTCCTGAACACAAACCTGTGGATTCCCAGTAAGTATCTATTCCTTTGTATCAGTAAGAAAGTAATGTTTGGATAAATCACACTCACACTGATGATGAACAGTGTCACCAGTTGGTATTTAGATGTGGGTGGGTTGTCTTATTGGATCTTCTTCAGTCTTCTATGTTCTTCCATAAGCACTTGTCTCATATCCACTCATGTCTGCTGTTTCACTACTCATGTTTTTAAATCTTCCCCCACATGACTTCTCAAGCTAATCCTTTGTCTGCCCACTGGTTATTTGTTCAGTATCCTCATTTTATCCTCTGAGAGGAATCTTATCATCCATGTGTTACCTCATGCTTATTAGTGTTTCTGCTTTAACAGTAAAGTAAAGTAAAGTAAAGCTATCCCTGTAACAGGCCGTGAAGGCCCATAAAGTTGTGAGACGTTGAGGGTCCCACATTTTCTAGACAGACAGCTTAAAGATGACGGTAAGGTTGTCAGCCTTACGTGCCGGCCGCGCTTTACTCCCCAGGAAAATTATTTAATTAATTCCTGGTACTAATTTCTGTTAGAGGCTGAGTTATCCCCAGGGCCATAGTGCGGCTGGAAGGATTAGGTCAATTGAAAAAAATCCAGTGACCCCATCCGTACTTGAACCTGCGACCTTCTGGCTTGTAGCATAGTGTCTCAACCAACTACGCTACCGTGTGCCCCCTCTGCTTTAACAGTAAAGACATAAATTAAAAATTGGTGCCAAATTAATATAAGATGTCTTTTTCATACATGATGTTTTGCTTTGGACTGTAATATGCATAGTTTATTGCAATACTCTTGGAACAGATCTATACAGAAAAGTTGCAGATTGCAAGAAGATTAATTGTAATAATTACAGCTGAATCTCTATTTTATGTTTCTCAGCAGAATAGTGAAATAACTAACTTCATAGAGCTGACCCGTTTTTGAGAAGCTGCCAGTCACGCAGCTTCTCAAGAACTTCCCAACATTTTATGGTTCATTACCGTATACATAAGAGCCATCCACAGGTCCCTATCCTGAGCCAGATCAGTGCAGTCCATACCACCCCATCATATCTCTACAAGATCTATTTTAATATTATCCACCCTCCTATATCTTTGTCTTCCCAGAGGTCCCTTTCCTTCTGTCTTTCTCACCAATATCCTATATGCATTCCTCTTCTCCCCCATTCGTGCTGTGTGCCCTATGCATGTCATCCTTCTTGACTTGATCTTTTTAATTATACTTGGTGAAGAGAACAAGATGGAATTTATCAAATACACATTCTTCTTCCTCATAGAAGCCTGCCTTCATATCCTGTTTTATCTTCTGTTGAGGCATGGATGTTTAGAACAGTGATATTACACCAGTGAACTCTTAGTATTATGTACATCTATTGCTAAAAAAAACTACCCTGTTGACTGCTGATATGGTTGTCTTATGTATGAAAAGAACATGCACCTAATTCATGATTCTCAGTTCCTTTCCATAGAAATATGTATATTCACTTGCTGGTTTGATGCCACCTCTGTACCATCTGACCTTGTGTACTCCCACTAAATCTACCCTATATTCTGATATTTCTTCTGCCACTGTCATGGGCAAACCTGCCCTATACAGACTTCTTACATCCCTCATACCAAATCTCATGTCCATTTTCCTTAGCTTAGGTCATTTATCCAAAGAATCCATTCAAGTCTGAGGCCTTTTGTGACATTTCATAACAAGTTTACTTTTTGTGGTGATTATTTGTTAGCCCACACTTAACCCCCAAGCTGGAGGACCACCCACTTGTCTGCTGTCCATGACTGGTTATTCAGCTGTCCTCCATACCTGGGGGCCTTCTCCATTCTGTGGTGACAGGGGGACCCATCTAACTTGGAGGACACTGAAATAGACTTTAAAATAAGGCAACTTTAGAACCACTGGGATTATAGAAATGAGGCCATCTTAAAATGGCTGGAATTATAGAAATGAATTCTTGTGGGAAGAAAACTTAAGTAAAGGATGTTTTGGATTCATTTTGAGTTTTATTGTAAACTGTTTTATCCTAGTTCTCATTATATGAAGGTGATCTACATTCTTATGGATTGAGGAGTATTAAATAATGATTCTGTTGTAATTTTTTTATTTCATTGTACTGACACTTTTCTTGGTTGAATAGCAAGTCTTAGCCTTTTTGCTTGACCTCCTAGTAATGCCATGCAGTCTGCTGTTTTCATCCTATGCCAGGTGGAGTTCTATAGACATGTCAAGTAACAACTTTGAGGAAATCATGGTGAAACACAACATGCATGAGAAGGAAGAATTCAAGGCACTCAAATCCCTCAATATTTTCTATCAAGCTGGAACCAGCAAGCTTGGGTATCCTGTCTTCTACTACATAGCTCGGCGATACAAGTGAGTTCGTGAATCATAAACTACTTTACAGTAACAGTAACTTAGTTATGCCACTCTATGTAATATTTCTTGTACAAAGTAACATCACAGATACACTCAGTGTTAACCCCTTGCCAGTTGTCCGCGCCATAGCTCAAGCGGTTAGTCGCTGACTTCCCACTGCTGCGGCCTGGGTTTGATCCCGGATCTGGTCAAGTGGGATTTGTGGTGGACAAAGTGGTGCTGGGGCAGGTTTTCTTGGAGTACTTCGGTTTCCCCTGCCAATCTTCATTCCACCAATTGCTCCACAATCACCCTCACCTATCATCTGGGGCTGGTACAATAGGCCAGAAGTGGCCGCAGTACAAGGGACTTAGTCCCACCCCACTAGCAATAAAAAAAACCCTTGCCATATCTAATGTAATAGAATGTGGCAAAATTTATGTTCACTGCCATACTTAATATACTGATATATGTTTTTTAACATTTAAATTAATTTAATTGTTAAGATAAGTTTACAGTGTATTAAATGATACAACGAGGAGTTGCGAGACAGTCACCAGCTGGTAAGGACATGAACACAGAAGAAGAGGAATCTACAGTGTTGAGAGCTGTTACCAGGCAATGACTGGTGAAGTCATAGAAGCTGTAATGTTTGAAGTAGTGATTTGTAGAGTTTGTACAGCCATGAAACTGTTATAGTTACCTTTAGTTTTGAGTTATAAGTGTTCATTAAATCCAGTTATGAATCCCAACCCCATGTCTGAGTACTAAGACAGGACATTACTTTAGTCAGCATGCGGTTTAATACATTCGTTCTCAAGCGGCCAAAGAGTTTAACTGCACATCTGTACTTCAATGGTACAACATTGTAGTTTTTCCTGTGACAGGCTTGGAGAAACCAATGGAGATCTGTTGATATACCACGTGATTCTAACTCTCAAACCATTCTGCCATTCACCTTTTGAAGTTGTTGTGGACTTTACGCATATGTGTTCAGTGAATCGGTTCAGGTGAGTGTGACGAAAGTGTGTTTGTTTGTTATTAAAATAATATAGATGCTGTAGATTTAATTGTAATGAAGAAGAGTTCAGATTGATTGATTGATTTATTTAACATCCATAACTATTACATTATGTACAATTGGACAAGTCAGATTGTTAAGAATGATTGTCTTTTGGTTGTCTGTATTTTAGTTATTGCAGCTGTGTTTGTTTTACTATAGGATTCTGACGATGGTGTATAACACACTGATATGTTAGGTTTTTGGACTTTATCCATCGTCCTGGTTTTTAAGATAACAAATAAAAACACGATGTTTCAGAAACAGATCCAGTTTCTGAAACGTCGTGTTTTTATTTGTTATCTTAAAAACCAGGACGATGGATAAAGTCCAAAAACCTAACATATCAGTGTGTTTGTTTTGTTGTTATTTCTGTCACAAATAAAATCTTGATATGGGATTTCATAAGCATGTGGATGCAGTACTTTTAAGAATTTCCCAATATTTTGTGTAGCACAAAGGTTAATTACCGAGTTCACAAGAGCCCTCACTGGTCCCTATCCTGAGTCAGATCAGTCCAGTCCATATCATCCCATCATTTCTCTCTAAAATCTGAGGTCCTTTGTGACATTTCATTTACTTACTTACTTACTTACTCACTTACTTACTTACTCACTCATGGAGTTGAGCCCTTCTGGAGGAGCCGCCAATTCTGCAGCTACTCAAGAATTTCCCAGCATTTTATGGAACCCGAAGGTTCATTACCGTGTTCACAAGAGCCATCCACTGGTCCCTGTCCTGAGCCAGATCTATCCAATCCATACCATCACATCCTATCTCTCTAAGATCCGTTCTAATATTGTCCACCCACCTACGCCTTGGTCTTCCATGTGATCTCTTTCCTTCTGGCTTTCCCACCAATATCCTCTACGCATTCCTTGTCTCCCCCATTTGTGCTACATGACCTGCCCACCTCGTCTTTGACTTGATCATTTTAATTATACTTGGAGAAGAGTACAAGTTATGAAGCTCCTCGTTATGCAGTTTTCTCCAACCTCCTGTCACTTCATCTCTCTTTGGTCCAAATATTCTCCTCAACACCCTGTTCTCAAACACCCTCAATCTATGTTCCTCCCTTAATGTCAGAGACCAATTTGTGACATTTCATAGCTAGCTTAATTTTTATGGTGAGGAGTTGTTAGCCCCCACACCTAACTCCTAAGCTGGAGGGCCACACCCTGTTGGCTCTCCACTTATTCAGCATATTTGCAGCTACCATTTGTACCTGGAGACTCTCTCCTCCATCTGCGACCATGCTATGCCATGGTGACAAGGGATCCACTTCATATGGTCATTCATCTAATTCAGAATGTAATTGTATGTAAATGTCTCTGTTATTTTGAATGAGGAATATTTTTCAGAACCGAATAGTTGGCTGCCAAACATTGAACGTTTATCCGTCATCAACAGCATACCTATGACCCACACTATTATTATGAGCATGCTGTGCATATGTATGCACATGCACAGATGTTCTGTACAAGCTGAAAATTAATTGAAAATGTAATGTCTGAACATGGTGGCTTAAAATTTATTTTCCGTGTTCTCCAGATCAGAAATTCCAAGAAATGTTATAAACATATACACATTTGTGTGTTTGTTGTACTGAAATACTCAGTACAGTTGAATTAAGTGGAATGTATTTAATGTTGTACTGGTTATTGGTGTGAATGGGTATGGGTATGAATGACAGTGGAAATGCGAGTGCTGTTTCAGCATCACTATCTTGTCTCAGTGAATAATAAGAAAGCTGATGACTAATACAGAACATTAGAGTAAGAAAGAAGAAAATTAGGTTTATTGTGGAATGGATTAGTTAGTTTTAGAATATAATTTTGAGTGCAATAGCAGGATATTAAAATGCTAAAGACTGTTTTGAGTTAAAGAATATAAGTCCACGTATTAGGTAACTTTTGTTACAGATGAAAGCAGATTAATCTCTGACATTGTGTTATAACTGTACATTTTTCTTCCCTCCTGTCATCAGGACAGAGTTCTTACAGAAATGGTTCCATGTCCTGCCTGAATTAGCATATGAAAACATCCATGCAGCATACATTTACAACTGTAACAGTTGGGTTCGAGAATATACCAAGTTCCATGACCAGCTGCTTGCACCACTGAAGGTACAGGAAATATTAACTTTACCAAGTGCAGTCATCTGAGAGCTACCAAGAAATCAGTCAGCCACTCAAGCTGTAGAGATGAACCCTCTTCTCTCCAGCTTGGGCTGCCCAGTGGACTCAACAGATTGACAGCCTGTACGCGTTATAGTTTAATTTCAGTATGTCCCCAATAATTCATTTACCAGCTAACATGCAACAAGCTTATGCAGTGTATGCTAGCAAGCTGTAATCCCAAGCCCCTGCTGCTGTATTGAATAATCAGTCAGTTGCTTTACATTTTGTATCAAATTGCAATACCTATATGAAAAGTGGTTGTGTGAGAAGGTTACAGTATAAATTTCAGGATGTTTTATTTCCAAGTTGGAAAACTCTTCATACAGTCATAAATAAATTACACTGATAAGGTCTTTATCAGACAAAAAAAAAAAGGACTAAATCAGGATACTGTGTATTCACTGAAGAGAAGCTGGATGAACTGATTGCTAGGCTTAACATTGTTTTAAAAATTCCTTGAGATGCCTTGCGCAGGAGACTTTAAGTTTCAAAGACATGAACATGAACAACCATGGAATATGACAGTGGTCAGTCAAAACACAATGCATAAGTTTGCTTCACATAACTACTTAATGGCATGCTGTGTTCAGATAAATTGTGATGTGTATGGTTTGTTGAATACACTACTAGTCAGCTTAAGTTGACTCAGTGAGCATAATTAACAAATGTTAGTTTTTCCACATAGTACATAATTGTAACCCTTTGTTATGCTCAGTTTTCTAATTTGCTCTATTATTCATTGTTGTAATCTGTAGACATCTGTATCATTTGTTTCAGAAGCAGGGAACAGTAAGTTGTCCAGGCACTGACTTCTTATTTCAAAAATTGAGTTTGACTTCATTTAATGCCTGTTTTTGTTGTATATACTTTCCATTATTTTGATGACTGGGGATCTACCCATTCTAAGGTTTGTCCTTGTTTTCCTCAGAAGTGCTTCTTGGCAAATATCAGATTACCACTTTGAAATAATACATGACTATTTCTGCTCATGCATCCCAATTCATGGGGAAACTGTGCTACAACTCAGTTATTGCTAAATACATTCTTGAAATCTCTATAATGTCGTTAAAGAAACTGCGATGAGCCTATAGTTTTGAAGAATTGTTAATGTTTATTAGTGAGGTGATGAACATATGGTTGTGACAGAAATTTGTCTAGGTTATGAAATACTCCACTCCTTTCTCTTAGGAAAGAGGGCAAAATCTTTTGAGCTTGTATAAGAATTATATGAGACGTTGAAGGTTCTTAAGTAATCTCCTGACAGAAGGCTCACAAACTCTTAAGATCTGTTGAGGCACCCATTGTACCTTTGTTCCCCATTTTTGTTACAAAAGAATACTGTAGCCTGTTTGTGTGTCACGCTACAAATAAGTTCACGCCGTCTTCTGATATATAGCGAATTCACTTGCAGTGTCACAATCACTGCTTACAATATTCCGGCGATACTGGACCCAGACGGATATTCCGAAGCTTCTTCTCCGATGGCTGTTCCGCGACTGACTCCTTCAAATGCTATTCCGAGACGCACTGTTTCTCGCAGAAGCTGGGCTATTTATAACCTTGCCCGCTGTTAGGCAACGAGCCCTCTGTTATAACCATGGAGATGTTGCTTTGTTTGTCGTTACCGTGGAGATTCGATGTTCTAGATACAACAGCTCACTGTTGGAATTACAGTATCGCTATTGTTACTTCTTATGCAACGGTGTGTTCTAGCGTTTCCATAGAAGTGACTTCTGGATTCCAGACACGTTACAATACATTTAAATTTCTGTTCTAATGGGCCTATCTTCCAACTGATGCTCAAGTCATAACACAATCACATTAGTCAGGTGATTGTGCATGTAGAGTGTGTTTTACTTTAGAAGTGTAATAGAGACAAACTTAATATATTGATTCAGAACTTTAAGACCTTTTCATTTATGTCCAAGGAATCTAATTGAAATTAAAAATATTTGTTTTGTCAGAGTAATGCAGTGATAGTACTAGTGTCAGAAAATATGCTTCTTACTGCAATGGGAACTACCGTAAAACTCTTCTCTTCATTCACTGTGGCTGTGGTACTAGCTTCTCTTGAAATATCCATTTACATTGTGTGGTAAAAAAGACAATAAATAATATACTTTGACTTGACTGAGGTAGATTCAGAATTTTAGTTTTTCTATACAGTTGCCAACTTCAATGGGCATAGCATACACTTGATATGAACTTCTTGTGATGTGTTTCATTTATATAGATTTATTTTATAGCCAGCATGTACGTTGTTATGTAGATATCCTATGATCACTGTGTGGTGGAGATTTACTTCACATTTTACTTGTAGAATAAACTGGAAAATTTCTGTTTATCTCTAGATATGATTTTTGTTCAGAGATAAAATATATATGAATTAACATATTGCATCCGGTTAAAAAAAATGTAGCAGTTACTAGCTAAGGGTTATATCTTAATGCATAAGGATCTACCACTGGGATATAATCAGGTCAAGGCATGTTGGGATGCAAGTCGTTTAAGGACATCATCAGTGTCAGAGCATTAGACACATAGCCAGGCATGTTATATTACATTATTGTTTTTTGCATTAATTGATTAATATGAAAGATGTTTTGCTCTTTTGTTAGGGAAATCGCAAACTTGTCTTCATTGAAGCTCCAGCACGCCTGAATGACTTTATTGAACCAGACCAGCAGAGGTTACCAGGAGCAACACTTTCTCTTGATGAAGACCTTAAAGTTTTCAATAGTGCACATAAATTATCTCCCAAAGACACCAAAGTATACATTAAGGTAAGCTGTAAAACTGGAATGAAAGCTTTAGGAATTATGTATGTACTGTTTTATTTACATGAACAGAAAACAACAACAGTAGACAATAAATAATTTTCAAATGTTGTCCATGAAATTCTTTTCTCTCTAGTTCATAGCTGTTATTGTCTTGGTAACAGGCTGTGGAGGCCCATAAGGTTGTGAGGCATTGATACTTCCACATATTCTAGACAATCAGCTCACAGATGGTGTTGAGGTAGTCAGCCTGATGCGCTGGCCACCCTTTACCCCCAAGGAAGAATCCTGGTACTCATTTCTTTTAGAGGTTGTGTTGACCCCAGGGCCCTAGTGCAGCTGGAGGATTAAGTCAATTGAAAAATCCAGTGACCTCATTGGGAATGAAACCTGCAACCTTCCGGCTTGTAGCATAGTGCCTCAACTATCTCTGCTACTGCATGCCCCTGAGGAAAGTGTATGGACTTCATCGAAATCATAATAATTGGTGGAAAGAGAAAATTTTATACTGATGATTTTATTATTACGTTGTTATGGTGGTCAAACATGCAACATGGAAGTACAAATGATGCTTTGGAAGGAGAGCTCTTGGAAAACAGCCGTGTAGAAGACTCAGATGTAGGTGAAAGCATAATATTAAAGTGGATTTTAGGGTAAGGTTGTCATGTTGGCAGTTGTCGTGAACTCACTGCTGTAGGGTGTACTGGAAGACTTATGTTAGTGGTTTAGGACCATGAGATCCAATTGCCATTGAGTTCATTTAAAAGACAGCTAGATTTCATCAACAGAACAGGTACATAAACTTCAGGCTACGGACATCTGGGATGTAAGCCATTGTGATTCAGTGGACAGGTAACATTGTTTCAGAGGACCTTACTGTCTCCAACTTCGGGGTAGAAGAGGGGTTACTGTTCTGTCCTTGAGAATTTTAATCTTTGTATTCACCAACATAAGGACTTCAGATATCAATACATTCTTTTCTTCTTGTATCTTGGTTGTATTTTTTTAAGTCAGTATTTAATGCACATTTTGGCGAAGCTCATTTGGAGGATTGTTTTGCCTAAAATGATTCTGTTATATTTATACAAATCCCTTCCTACATTAGTTCTTCTGCCTGTATGTCAGCAGCCCCTTATACAAATAAGTATTTGTATTATATTTTAGCCTGCTTGCTTAGTATATCCAACCAAGTATGAATTTTTTCTTTTTTTGCAGGTTGGCCCTACTGCAATCCAGATAACATCGTATGAGAAGACTAAAGTATTGTCACATTCAGTTCTTCTGAATGATGTTTATTATGCATCAGAAATTGAGGAAGTTTGCATGATAGATGACAACCAGTTCACATTAACAATAGCTAATGAATCAGGACTGTTGTCATTTTTCCAGATTGACTGTGATAACACTGTACAAGCCATCATACACATCAGGAATCGATGGGAACTCTCACAGCCAGTAAGCTCATTTTCTTGAGTTTTTTTTTTTAATTAAAATAGTTACTCAGAACCAATGTTAATCAGTGGACATATTCCCTACCAAAATACTAAAGGAGAATATGTCAGTAACAAGTTGGGCCATGCCATAGCTCAAGCAGTTAGTCACTGGCTTCCCACCATGGCAGCCTGGGTTTGATCCCGGGTCTGGTCAAGTGGGATTTGTGGTGGACAAAGTGGCGCTGGGGCAGGTTTTCTCCGAGTACTTCGGTTTTCCCTGCCAATCTTCATTCCACCAGTTGCTCCACAATCGCCCTCACCTATCATCTGGGGCTGGTACAATAGGCCAGAAGAAGTGGCCGCAGTACAAGGGACTTAGTCCCATCCCACTAGCAATAAAAAATAATAAGTCCAATATTTGAGCTAGGTGAACCGTGATTAATTTTATTCTGGTGTGGCTTGTTTATATAGAAAAGAACTCAACTTTTCTGGAATTACATGTACTCACAAAAGCAATATTTTTATGCAGACCTGAAGCTCTCCAAGTTGATTATGTTGTATAATGACTTGACAGTTGTACTTATTATTTTCACTACATATATATCAGGAAGAGTATTAATATTTGCAAAAACGTCATGTTACTAAAAGGGTTCATTGACACATTTACTGCAGGAAGGCAGTTTCTTTCTTCTCCCACATTAGTTATCAGTGCACAGAAAAATAATTACTATGCTGTGGCACAGTTCAAAGCTTGTAGTGCATTTATTTGTGACAGTTGTCATTAGCTAATAGCTCTATTGAAAGTTTACATGTTATGCATAATGACAAAAAAATGAAACTGAACAAAACAACAAGGAAAGGGAACTTTCAGAGTCAATAATAGTTTCATTAAAAAAAATAAGCATAAGAAGGAATTTTAATGCTCCAGTGGGAGAGAATGAAGAAGGATATGAATGCTGAAGAAAAGTCTGTAAAATATATTTTGAACCATTGCTGCCAAATCATCGACTCTTAGCAGAGGGAATCAAAAGCAAAAGTGGATATGAAATTTGGAGAAATATTGAGTGAAAAGATTGAATTAGAAGTTATGTTTTCAGAGAAGAAGCCATAATTCAAAATTCAGTTATAATGAGAAAGAGAAGCAATTACAATGATGTGATCATGTAATGAGAATGGCTAGAACAAGGCTACTGAGGAAGGCTTTAGAAAGAACATTTAAAGGAAGGTGGCTTTTTAAGACAACTCACAATGGTGAGTTTAGCCAGGTACTCAAAGACATCAAGGAGACAGGAAAAAATTGGCAGGAACTTCAAAAAGAGAAGTTGTGAGAAGAAAGATGTTGGAGGCTTTTTCATCCAGTGACCCATGTCAGATGGAAAGATGGTAGAAAAAGAAGTTGCTTCGCTGTTTTGAGCACTGTGATGGCTGCAAGAGAAGGCTTGCATGCAAAGAATACTGTTTTATAAAATGACGGTCTCAAACATAGTGATGCATTGCAAGAGGAGCACTAAGAATTTTAACACAATACGCCAGCTACATTTTATATTCATTTCAAAGGGACTAGCCGCACATCCTAGGTTTTTTGCCTGTATGGATATATGGAAAATAAAGGAAATGAATGAATGAATGAATGAATGAATTTAGTTTAATGCAGGCCTACTTCCAAATTGTCCAGAACACTGTAGTTCTCATGTTTGTTTTCCACATAGGTAATAAAAATATTTAAAAATACAGGTTTAAGAGGCGAAGTTCAGCTTGATGCTCAAATACTAATTTCAGAATCTACACCAACTTATAAATCATTTAAAATTTTACTAAATTTAAGAAAACAAACATATTTTGAAAGAAGTATTCTGTACTGATGTAAAAGATGTGAAACATGGAATAGCATTTTTAATCAATAAGATTAAGAAAATTGCATGAAGTCCACTAATTTTGTGAATTTTGATTTGTACTTTCTAACTGCTCACCAGTCCAAATAGTTGTCAATGAGGCAGGAGTGATATTTTGAGTTGACAATATTTATTGCTGAGAAAGCATATTTTCAAAAGTAAGTAGAGGTAAAGAGTAAGGTTAAGTTGGAGGCTGTTACCCTGTGATTTGGATACTTTTTTTTTTTTGTCATTTATCAGTTTCAGAAATTTCCATAAATTATAAATAACAAAAACATTACTATTCTCCCATGCATTGGCAGTCCACTCAATATTTGTTCACTATCCACTGATGAGCTGTGATTTCCATCTTACCCAACCCTGTTTTAAACTACAAACATTGCAGTGTTTATTGCTGTAAAGCAGCAGACTTTTGCAGAGAGGTGAGTATCAACCATCCCAGGTGTGCAAGTGTTCATCTCCAATTCAAAATCAGCAGTGTGTAATTTTATTGGATTTTTGGTTTTCTCTCTTACTCTGTGGGAATCTTGCATGATGGCACTCCCAGTTCAGAATCTTTTGTCTTCCTGCCTGCTGTATTAAAACCATACAGATTAAAATAGAGATAACTGAAATTGCATTTGTTGTTTTGTCTGTCACACTAAGTGAATGACACATCGGGAGTGTTCAAGAAGTGATTGCTCAGGAGAATATTTGGACCTAAGAGGGAGGAAATAACAGGAGGCTGGAGGTAACTGCTTGAAGAGAAATTTCATAATTTTTACTCTTTTTAGAATGATTAAAGCAAATAGGGAGGTCAGGATGTGTACTCATTGTTGGGAGCCCCTATCTAGCAATGACCAGTGAAGGCTGTAACAGACTGAGACTTAGCATGTAATGTAGTAATTTGTAAAGTGTGTAGATCACTGAGATTGTTATAGTTATTTGTGTTTACAAGTTAACAGGTGGTCAGTAAATCCACTCACCAATCCAAGCCTCATGTCTACTTGTTAACATATGACAATGTTAAAATGGACCTTCAGATTCCATAAGAACTGGGGAATCTCATAAGTAACTGAGCAACTTGTAGCTTCTTAAGAGAGGCTCATCTCCATGGAGTCTGTTAGTTATTTGGTATGACTAATGAAAAATAAAGAAAAGAGTAGTTCTCGTATGTAATAGTTTTCTTTGATTTATTAATTGTGTAATTTACAGTTGTGTTTGTTTGAATTCTTTTTAGGACTCAGTAAGAGTCCACCAGAAGATTCGACCCAAGGATGTTCCTGGAACGTTACTGAACATGGCACTGTTGAATTTGGGATCCGCGGATCCCAACCTTAGAACAGTAGCGTACAACCTGCTTTGTGCACTGACTGCCACATTTGATCTGAAAATAGAGGGCCAGTTACTGGAGACATCTGGTAAGTTCTTGTTTACTATATACATTGGATAAATTATGAGAAATAAATACATTAAATGTTTAAATTTCTATGTATATTGGAAGGTGTGACTGCCTCTGTGGTCTAGTGGTCCGAGTTCCTGGCTACAGATCCAGAGGTCCGGGTTCGATTCCCAGTACTACCAGATTTTCTGAGAAGGAAACGGGGTCCACTCAGCCTCCTGAGGACAGTTGAGGAGCTGTTTCAAAGAAATAGTGGCTCTGGTCTAGAAAACTGAAAATAACAGCTGTGAGGATTTGTTGCGTTGACCACGTGGCCCCCTCTATGTGCTAAAGTTGGCACTAACTTCACCAACAAGTGGCAGTCGCTCAGTCAGTCAGTATAGTTTGCTTGCGGACTAAAACCACGGAGTTTGCTTGTATTGGAATCTCCTAGTACAGGATAACGTTTCAGTACATTGATCTTTCAATGTTGGCATGTATTTTGATTGCATTCCATTTGATAATGCTCTATCAACTAACAAGGAAATGTACCGGCCTCTATTCACATTGAAAATCCTGTGCTATGACACTCCAATAAAACTGCACCACTATATAATGTACATATGCAGAGTACATAACTGGGAAGTCCTGTTATTCTGTGTTAATTAGTTAACATTCAGTTCATTCTTGAAACATATTGGGGTTCTTTTGATATGGCTCAAGTGTTTTCTGTTGCAAGATAGAGATAAGAAAATGTGTTGAGTAAACATTTTACATTTCTGCTGTTGAATCGATGAGTCATTAATAGTGCGCAGAGGATTCCTCATTCTTGAATCAGGGGGTCCTTGATCTTTTCATTGCTACAAGATATATAATTTCTTTGCTCTGCTTTTAAGTGAACTGTTTTATATGCTTCCCTTATTACCTTTCTACCTTGTTATTGTCGCATGTAGGGGGGTGTGAATGACGAAAATAATGGGTTCTAGTTTGGATGATTGGATTTGTAAGCACTTCGATTACACTCTCTCTTAATTACAATTAATACGGCACTATTGCTGATTGAGACAATTCGCAGTTCACTGTTGCACGTGCACTAGGATGCTCTGTCTTCTTTAGTCATCTCCTGGCAATGGATCTCAACACAGGAACTAGAAAAGTCTCACTAAATTACACACTCTCAATATCAATGTACTACAGCACATGTAACATCACACACTAAGATTTCTAATTGTTCTTCTGGTCACACTGCTATTCCCTTGGAACTTTGGAACTCAAGTGAAGTCCGTCTGTTACTCCTCCAGCTTATGACTGCCCGCAAACGACCTTTGCTGTCCCCCACAAACCTTCGGCATGGACCAACAGAAAATATGTCACATGGTCTCTGTCCACTGTTGTGTGATAACACTGCCTACACAGAAGTGTGTTTACCAAGCCATTGCCTAGAAACAGGTTGCATAACCCTGCTGTTCTATTGTTGCTTGTGTGTAATGCAGGGTGTTTATTGAGCCATCGCCTGCCAATGCTTTGACATGTCATGTTATGATTTTAAAAGCNATACAAAACATTTAAACAAATGTGATACTCACTGAAAAAAAAAAATCTTTAAAAATACATTGCCGCGGTTGAGCCGCAAAGCGGTTAAACAGCGCGCGGATAATCGAGAGTCTACTGTACTTGATCGTCTGGGGTGTAACACCATATAGCTTGGGAGACCTCAACATCTTGGAGGAATGTACTGCCTCCATCATAAGGGTCAGTGAATAAGCCAAGCAAGAAATCACTTCTCAAAGTCTGCTTGCAGAGAGTGGTCACTTTTCTCTTGGCTCTCCTACAGTTTCTTTCAGGCTTTGACTGGCCTATCGGGCCAGATTTTCCACAGGTGGTTTCCTTAGCTTGCCACCTACTTCAGGTTTATTGCTGGGCTTTATCTGTAACCCTGATTGTGGAGGCACTACATAGAATGTTGGGTTTTTCAGCACTACAGGGCACTAGAACACAGAAGATCATACTCCTCAAATATACCTGGGTTTTGAAATCCATATGTCATTCATTAGCATACTTGGCATGTTGATAAAATGCTAATTCATATATTTCAGAATTATGACAATCCTTTTCTAAAGTGCTCAGCTTTGATATAAATTCTGAGCTTGATGCAGATATTGTGGTATGTTGAATTTGTGTCTTTCTATTTTAGGTTTATGCATTCCTTCAAACAACACAATATTCATCAAATCTGTGAGTGAAAAGCTTGCAACAAATGAACCACATCTCACGCTTGAATTTTTAGAAGAGTGCATCCAAGGGTTCAGAGTTTCCAGCATAGAGCTCAAACACTTGTGCCTTGAATATATGACACCATGGTTAGCAAATCTAGTGAGGTTTGTATGCTTGGTTTTTGCCCTGTGTGCCATGTAATCATGAAGATTAGGATTGTTATATTGATTTCATGCTGTCTGTTTTATTCAATGTGTATAGGTTCTGTAAACCTTCAGATGAAAGTAAGCGTCAACAGAAAGTGGCACATATTTTGGAGAAGCTCATAATTTTGACCATTGAAGAAGTGGAGATGTATCCATCAATACAGGCCAAGATCTGGGGATCCATTGGTCAAGTATGTCATATATTTTGGCATCACATTCTTCATGGATATCATATCTGTTTCTGCATAAGAAGAGGTTTCCTTGTATGTAACTTTTGCTTTTGGGGTTTAGCCACATTGTATGTTGAAGTTGTTCATGTGTTTCAGCATACATTCTTCACAGTGAATGTTCACCCTGAAGATATGACCACATATTAGAACACCTATGACATACGACATGATTAAACCCGCAAAACTGATATTTCTCATTAGACACAGACTACAAAAACCTATAGAGAGGAAGGTTTCTTTTTCAACTTCACCATCATGAGCAATTTCTGCAGTTGAGAAATATCATTCAAGGTTAAATATATTTGTGTTATATTGTAAGATTTTAAATAAATTGTAGAGAACACTATAAATGATGAACAAATGAATAAATGGCCGAACTCTACGGTATTCTGAAAGAGAATGTTAAGGTATCTGTCCAGGGAGATAAGCATTAATAAGTACCTGTAAAAGGGGGACAGATATAATTTTTTTTAATAGAACATCTAGAAAGAATGGTGAATATCATATTTTTTTTTTGTGTTGAGCAATGTAGTACATACAGACTGGTATGCATAATGCATGCTTTTTCTAGCTAATTAATACTTTTGCACTGAAGATATATTTTAGTTCATTTTATACATGACTTAAAAATATTTCAAATTGTAATTACATTCTAAAGTGTCATGGAATGGAAATGTATTTCATATGTAAGGCTCACAAAACTTGTGGGTCTTCTATTTAATTAAAGGAAATTATTATTATACAGTCTTTCCTGAACTCATTAATTCTATTGTAATCAACTTGGTGAACACATTTTACTTAGTTTCATTATAAGAAACAGGCAAATTTTTGCACAGGTACCTGAGCTTATTGACATGGTGTTGGACAGCTTCATACATCGGTCAATGACAAGTGGGCTTGGCTCGCCAATGGTGGAAATCATGGCAGATACTGCTGTGGCTTTGGCTTCGGCAAATGTACAGCTTGTAGCTAAAAAAGTGATAGGAAGACTATGTAGGGTAAGATGGTGTTATTTTTGTTATAATATTCCCATTAGTATTTCTTTAATTAAATTATGTCATAGCTGTACTTACATATTCTTGATGGTTAACCATGTTCATGTTGAAATGGTAGTTACATACAAATAAATATTTATTGGTTTTAAGACTTTAATTATTAATTTATTATAGTGGAATCTGCAGTTATGTTCCTTAATCAAAGGTCTTTTATAATTTAATGGTTATTTTAACTAGCTCCACCTCTGTTAAGTCATTGTAAGTTCTTTGTCAGGTTAGTGTTCTCATCCATTCTATCCTGAGATTTCATTGTACCTGATAAACTAAACATTTAAATATTAGCAGAATTAATAGCAATGTGATAATATGTAGTATAGTTATGTACTTCCTTTGTAATTTAAAATAGAAGAAAAAGTAAAAATACCTATCCATTCTTGAGACCCCTAATTCAGGTAGATATTTTGTTACTAATTTGTATTCATAATTTTCCAGGTATTGGATAAAACTTGTACTTCTCCTACACCATTGCTAGAACAACACATGATGTGGGATGACATAGCAATACTTGCACGCTACCTTCTCATGTTATCCTTCAATAATTGCCTGGATGTAGCACGCCATCTACCATATTTGTTCCATTATGTGACTGCCCTTGTGTGTTCAGGCTCTTTGAGTATGAGGGCCTCAACTCTTGGCCTCGTCATCAACATCATTCATTCACTTTGTACTTGCACCAAGCCTTCTTTTAGTGGTAATTTCATTATCTGTTTCATTTCTATTCAAATCTAGTTTTAATAACTTTTTTAAATTACAGTTCTTAGAACTGTGAAAACAGTCATTAACTAATCAGATAAATATTTATTTTCCAACAGAGGAAACTCAGAGAGTTTTACGGCTTAGTTTAGATGAATTTTCCTTGCCCAAGTTTTACCTTCTTTTTGGAATCAGCAAGGAAAAATCGGCTGCAGTCACTGCATTCAGATCGAGTTATCGACATCCGAGTGAACGCTGGTAAGTTGCACCCATATTGCCTTTATGCTTATCCACCTTGGACAGAGCAGAACTGGTTCATTAAATAAGTACTGGCAACACAGTGGTACAAATCAAATAATTTATATTAACACACAAGTTTGATTGTGGAGTGTCAATATAGGCACCCCACACTTCCTAGATCTTTGGCAGCAGCCATAGTCCCTTGATAGCAGCTTCTTGTGACCAGAATCTTTATCCTTATTAGGAATTCCTTCATTTTTGGAAAGAGATCATGTCTAGAGAGCACAGAGGATGATTCAGCACTGCAACTTGTCATAGGTGGTCCACACCATATAACTTCAAGTACTCCCATGCAGCAGAATCAGTTTAAGATACAATAACACTGGCAACTTTTGATGAAGTGCTGGTGTTAAATGATGTTCAGAGACGGTGCAATATTATGTAAACACTGTGTGTCCATGTGGAACTGTGATGAGCAGTAATGGTCCAACCTTCACATGCCGTGATAAACATTACTTTGAGTTGTCCCTGTTCTGTTACAACTTATTGGTATGTAGGAAAGACGGATCCTGCTATTGCTTAACTGTTGTTTCATCTCCCTTTTTTGTTTGTTATGTGTCATTTTCATTCATATGTCACTCAAGATGAACACAGACTGTCTTCAAGTGATTTTACATCTGGATCTCATATAAGAAGTGTCGGAGCTTCATGCTGCAATTTTCCTCATCCCCAGCTTATCACTGAAGATGTAAATCAGTGTGGGGCACTAGTGTCTGCTTGTCTGGTATCACCTTCACCTGTCATCTGCCACCAGTTCCTATAGGCAAGCAGTGTGGTGTTCTGCTGGTGATACATGTACAGGGCACCCAATATGCTATTTGGCTTTCATATTCTTTATATTTTTTTTGAAGGCCTACACCAAACTTGCCACCATACAGTACAACATAGCATTGTCTCTGCATGGCATTGACATGCAATTTATCATGATCCAACTGAATCTTTATAAAGACTTAGTCCTGTGTGGGAAACATTCCTCAGAACACTCTGTAACAACACTGCTTCAACATTTTGCTCTAGATGCCAAAACAGCAGTGATGACTGAAGCAGAACTGTAGCAATGCATGTATCCAGCCTGTTGGATCATGATGGCTGTGTGTATCTATGCCTGGAATCAACACTGTTGTGTCAGTGGTGGTGTTGCCATGATGTATTTAATGACCCTCATACATTTTAAAATTAAAAGTGTATGTTGTTATACCATATAGAATTTTGCTGTATATAATGTGATTCAGAGCTAAAACTAAAGCAGATTGGGGTAGTGGATTTATGTATTTGAACTGTGAGACCTGGTGAAATATTGAGGTTGAATCTTTGTGAACTAATATGTATATAAGGATGGGAGGTTAATCTCCTTCAAGCAGACTCCTTCACTTGTTCCACTGTTCCAGCTATTACTGAAAGTGCCTCTCAAGTTGTGTTTTTGGAATCATCAGAGCTGCACCATTGCATTGTGTTCATTTGTTCCCACATCATCACATTAAGTCAGCAGGCAACACAAATATTGTGACTTTAAATGCTGACCACAAATGACTGCAGCAATTTTAAAAAGCTTTAAATTCATCTGGACTGGCAGTAACATAACAGGACATGTAGATTCTAAAGGGTTCTGACGATGGTAGATGACACAGAATTACTGGGTTCTTGGACTTTTCCATCATCCAGAATTCTAGGTAATAGAGGACACGATGTTTCGGATACTGGGTCTGTTTTCATCTTCAGGTGAAGCAGGTGTAGGTATCTTCCTTTCTCACCTGAAGACAAAAACAGATTCAATTTCTGAAACGTCGTGTCCTCTAGAATTCTGGACGATGGAAAAATAAAAAAAATCCAGTAATTCTATATAACAGGACAAGTTCATCGCTGTCATATTCATGTACAGCATAAAATATCTGAAATAAGAGTTCAGACTAGATACATTTTGATCACACCTCACATTTTCTATTTAGAATGTTTAAACATATCCAAACTTGATGCAGGTATGGCCAGGAACGAAGTTTCTCAGTAACAAACTACTCTGACCGAGAACGGTTGTCACTGACATCCCTAGAGGTCATCACTGATGCACTGCTAGAAATTATGGAGGTCAGTGGTAGTTTGTTCTTTATATACTTAAAGGTGCCCTGAAACATTATACTAATGGATGTGATAATTGCATTGGAATTATAATGTTTCCTTGGAAGAAAATATTTCAGAATTTATTCTGTTGCATATTATATGATGGGTACTTGTATTTTCATCATCTCCTTTTTTGATGTATTATCAATGAAAAGTTGCACAAATGTACCTGTTAGCTTTACATGTATATCTCTGTATTTGGCAGCTCAAGAACCACTGAATGGATTTTCATATAAGCTGATGTTGAATGGATTTACTAAAATTTCTCAACACATTCCAGTTTTTTCTGAAGTGGAACAATTTACATGAGGATCCATATATATTTCTGCATGCAACTTGAGCATTACTTTGCAAATATTGATCAAAGCAAAAGATGTTTCGAAAAAAAAGTTGTAAAGTAAAATGATGCTCATTTTTTATGTCTAATATATTTTTTCCACAATTTTTACATTGTGTATACATTTCCTAACTTGTTTATAATTCTTATCATTCTAATCTGTACTTGCTTCTTTGTAACATCCATTGAGTTTCTTGTTTTGTTCTCTATGTTTCCAGATGAATTTCAATTCATGGTATTGTTTTCTACATATGTGAGGTGACTATGCTTCTCTTTCAGGCGTGTATGCGAGACATTCCTGATTGTGATTGGTTACAAACCTGGACAGCACTGGCAAAAAGTTTTGCATTTTGCTACAATCCTGCCCTCCAGCCACGAGCTCTCATTGTATTTGGTTGCATCAGTAAGTAATGTGGCCAACAATTTTTTATATACACAAATTTCACTTATATCAGTTGTGTTTTTGGCTGCCTGAAGATGGTTGTAAATGTGTTCCTCTTTCATGATCTGCATTCATCACTGAACATTGTTTTACTGTGTGTAATAAAAAGGACTTATTTTATAATAGAAATAATCGATAATTTTAATCAAATTTTTATGATGTATAAGCATTGATTTTAATCTTCCTGGTTGGTGTTTTTGTTACTTAATGATGCCATTCACATGGGGATGTTATGTAACATTAAGAATAATTCACAGTTTCATGTTACATTTCAGTACTTCTGTTACTCTCTCATGTTTGTCATCTATTTCATCTGTGTTTAAAGAATTATTAACTTTTCAAATTCTGGTTTCCACAATACAGATTTAAAAAATAAATGTAGTTTTATAGTTGAGCATCATTGATATATTCAGCAGATGTAATTATCAGATAAAATATATAAATTATTTGTTAGTATTATTCAGTTTTAAAACATAACCTTCTACATATAGTAGAAAATTTGTATTTATACTTATTAAGTACATTTCTAAATGCTTTTTGAATAAATGTTGCATATCTTAATTTGAATACTGTTATTTTTCTTATTTCTTGCCAGGTAAAAGCATCACAGATCAGGACATCAAACAGCTCCTGAGGATACTTGTAAAGGCATTGGAGAGCTTCAGTGACATTGTGCTACTTGAAGCATTGGTTATGTGTCTCACGAGGTTGCAGCCTTTACTGCGACCAGTAAGTTCATTGTAACGCATGCCAAACTTGCTTAACAATAGAGAAATATGAATATTGATTAAAGTAGCCAAATGTAGATCAACATACGGACCAAGGAACATAATAGAGAACAACGAAACTGAAATTGCTCTATTATGTATGTGGACTTTCATGTTAATTAGAAATCTATATAATTTTGTGAACCATCATAGCTGTCCATCTACGTGCCTGCTTTACCCTGCCCTTTACAAATATTTTATTTTACTGCCCCATTTTTAAAGGACTTATTAGTTACCTTTGTATGGTGGTTTTGTCTTTCTTACCCTCTCATGACAAGATAATATTAGACCCACAAAGGTAGGTAGTTAGAAACTGCACACAGCACAACATAAGAACATTAAATTAGGCACATATATCTGATCAGTATTGCCACTGTGCTGGTGGTTTTTCACTTGAGCAGTAGTCCACCTAAAGCTCTGCCTGTGTAAATTGTGTGTATATGGTGTACAAGATATGTGTTACCAATGTGCACTAAAGGTGAGTCTGTAATGCCTTCAGTCATTTCAGAGGAACCATAGCTTCTGAGGAATCATACATTCTGGCTGTGCTACTATAACAGTAAGAATTGAGAGAAGGTGCAGTTTATTTTTGGAAGGACAAAGAAATAGGGTAATAGCAGATGTTGCCTCTGTTCTGAAGAAGAAACTATTACATTGTTTGCTTGGTGACATGTTTGGGAAATGTAAGGAATATTCTTTTGAGTGCTGCCATCAGAGATATACCTTCTTTTTTTTTTTTTGCTTGTTTAGGAATCACCTATACATTGTGCACTCTTCTGGGTTGCAGTCTCAGTGCTGCAGCTTCATGAAATATCATATGCATCTGGGTTGGCATTATTGGAACAAAATCTGCATACACTTGATTCTCAAGGAACCTTTGAAGAAAAGGTAAGCTTGCTCTTTGAATAGCATACAGTTATTCCATTACATATGGTAGAGGCAGAAGTAAGTCAATCTCATACTTAGTAGTGTATATAAGATTGAAGTGTCTGAAGTTAGGATCCGGTAGTAAGCTTTGTTTTAGTTGTGCTGAAACTTTGGGTTCTGTTAATAGAACTTGTATGATACACATTCCTCTGTTTCCTCTCTGTATGAAAGTCTGACCGGCCCTTCAACACTCTAGGACATTTGCATCTGATAACAGAAAAGTGAGGCGTGTAATATAAATCACCATATATACATAGTAAATAATTTAATTTTGTTTTAATTTTCACGTTACATTTAATATACCACACAGAATAATACTAATGACTTCATGATTTTTTTAATTGATAATTCAAGGTACTGTTTCATAATGCTTTTGAAGTATTCTTGTAGTTATAAATACTTTAGTGAAAGCAGTATATTCTGGATCACATATTTCATCTCCCTCAAAAAAAAAAGTAAAGCTATCCCTTTACCATGAAGGCCCATAAGGTTGTGAGACGTTGAGGGTCCCACATTATCTGACAATGGGCTCAAAGATGGCGGTAAGGTTGTCAGCCTTACGCACCGGCTGCGCTTTACTCCCCAGGAGAATTATTTAATTAATCCCTGGTACCCATTTCTGTTAGGGGCACGCAGTAGTGTAGTTGGTTGAGGAGCTATGCTACAAGCCGGAAGGTCATGGGTTCAAGTTCCGATGAGATCATTGGATTTTTTTCAGTTGACCTAATCCTTCCAGCCCTGGGGTTTATTCAGCCTCTAACATAAATGAATACCAGGAATTAATTAAATAATTTTCCTGGGGAGTAAAGCGTGGCCAGCAAGTAAGGCTGACAGCCTTACTGCCATGTGAGCCAATTGTCTAGATAATGTGGGACCCTCAACGTCTCACAACCCTATGGGCCTTCACGGCCTGGTACAGGGATAGCTTTACTTTACTTACTTACTTTACTCATTTCTGTTAGAGGCTGAGTTGACCCCAGGCCCATAGTGCAGCTGGAAGGATTAGGTCAATTGAAATAATCCAGTGACCTCAATGGAACTTGAACCCATGACTTTCCAGCTTGTAGCATAGCCCCTCAACCAACTACGCTACCACATGCCCCCTGCATCTTCCTCAAAACTGGAGGAATTTATTGACCCAGTATTCTCTGTTTTGATACATATTTGTGTACTTAAAACATCTATAAAGATTCTGGAGGAACTTTGACTCATGTCTGTTTATTTAAAATCATCTCCAGAGGCTTGGGAAGGGCTTTGGTTATAAAAATCATGTTTGCTGATACTCTCACACTTCGTTTCATGCTGAAGGTCAAAACATAGTTCCACTGGCAGGTCTGTGACTTTCATCATTTTTATCATTACGTGTCAGTTGTTTTCTTGTATGCATATTGGCTGAAAAAAGTGTCAGCTGTAATTAATACAACCCAACAACTGGTAACCTATTTACGTTTTTCATAATTCATATTTTGATATATACCATGTATATTTAATGGCTAAACCATATACTGAATGGAAGCTTACAGTTTATTCTATAAATTGCTATTGCAACAAATGTCAGTTTTAAAAGGCTGCAGGAGACCGCAGGAAGTTATGGCTGTGCAGTGTGTTTTGTGTAAAAACACATCAAAGCAGCTTTGAAGTATTAAATGATGTCATTAGCTAACAATACTATATCAGCTACTTAGGTTATAACAGTAGAGAATTTACTGGATCAGAAACACAGAAAGTTGGAAGTTGTGCCCTTTTAATGTAGGCCATCACAATTTTCTGACTAAGTTTTGAATCCAGTTTCTTTGGTTGATATGTATGTATGCAAGTCACAAGACATACCACATAGCCTGTGATGTGATTGTATGAAAACATTTATCCATACAAATTTTACATGAGTATGTTTTGTAACAGATAACCTATCACTTCCATGGTCTTCAGAAGTGTAACATTACATTTTCAGACCCTGGCGGAGGTGATGATGTCAACCCGAGAACCCTTGGAGTGGCATTTCAAACAGCTGGACCATGCTGTGGGTCTGAGCTTCAAATGTAGGTGTAGAAATATTTCTTAGAAATACTGAAATTATTATTTTTGTTATTATGCAGATTTGCTAACAAATGAAAACCTGTAGGCATTTCTTGTCTGACAGTATGCAAGAGAATAGTGTAACAGTGTCTTTTTTTTATGAAACATAAAAGTGGAAAACAATTAAAAATCTGTTACTAGAAATGAGACTATAACAAAGACTGAAAAAGGATAAACTCCTTGTTTTAATGTAAGTTATTTGTGCCTTGCTTCTCCAAAAGCTTGAAATGTGGCTCCCTCCTGTTTCTCACACTTTCCTTTCTATAAAAAGAAAATGTGTACTTTCAGTTATGTTGAATGAAAATTTAGAAATTAATAAATTGAACATTAATAGATCTTGAGAAATTGCTGTAATATCAGCATTTCCACTGAAAGGATTTCAGGATTTTATCAGTTATACATTGGTTGAAAAATTTAAACGTAATTAATTACCTAGATTCAGATTTATGAAGAAAACCTTTTGATTATAAATACAAATGACATCAAAGCATTTGCATACATAATACATTTCACATTTCATATTTCACAAGTCCAAAATACAATGGACATGAAACTAGCACAAGCGTGTGTGTGTGTGTGTGCGTGCGTGCGTATGAGCGCGCGTGCGTGGGCTACATGCTACAGCTAGTAATGATGAGGGTTTTAGAAATTTGAATGATGGTAGCTACAGTAAATGCAATGGTCCCTTAGGAATCCACATTAACACTTACAGAGCTTTGTGCTGGCTGCCTCACTTGTAGTAATACACATTGCAATGTGTATTTATTTAACTTACATAACATACAGTCTTTCTGGTAGATTTTATTCCAATTTTCAGTGCTCATCATGTAACGTGATGAGTGTGTGAGATGATGGAGACAGTAGTATCTAGCAAAACATGTTTTATTGAGACTCATGTTCCATGCATAGAAATGTGCTGCAAATGTTGTCTCTTTTAATCCTTTCAAGCGTGAAGTTCATCTAAATAATATATAACAGTTTAGACTGTACAACTTTATTGAACCGTCACAACACAACAAACAGAAAAAAATCAAGGTCAGTGTTCAACTATGGTTTCGCTACGTGTTTCCGCCACTAACGGTCATCATCAGGCAAACACATATTAACAAACATATACCATTGAACTGCAGTACATTAGATTGGATACAGTGTTATTAATCATTTAAAATACTTTGCGTAAAAATACAATAAGTCAGATTATATAAAAAACTAAAAGTTATTGTATAAAACAAGATAAAATTTAATTGATGTTATATAACATCTAATCAGTCACTGATTTATTACTTTTCATATGTTTCCACAGACGAATTGGAAATTCGATATCTCTTTTATATAAGAATGTATAGGAGGCCCATGATGTTGCAAATTAATTAATTGTATAGTCAGTGCCTCATCTTACGAAGAATTGTCCGTACTGTATGGAAAGTAAAGTTTAGATTGTATTTCAAAAAGCAGTATCCAATACAAAGATCGGTTGGTTAATGCTGTTTAGGGGAGTAATTGCAGTTTGATCTAAGGATAATATGAAGTCTATAAATACACTCTATGGAGAAAATGTACAGTTTTTTGATGTTGAAGCAGGTGGGATATGTAGTTGGCATTGTGCTTTGAAGTTTAGTCTCTTCCTTTATTTGTGTTAAGCATGTTAAGATGATTGTTTATCTTAATACCTGAGATGTAAGCTTATCATAGAAGCACCAGCCAATGACAGCAATGAATAATAAATGAACTACAAGCTTTAATATCTGCTGCAATGCAAAATTCAACTTTCTGTCCTGGAGCAGCAGAAGCAGGAAATTGTCTTCCTGCTGTAAATATTTTGACTCTGGGAAAGTGCAGATTAACAGTATTGTTGAGAATATTGGATCCCTGGTGGTCTTGGGATCTGACACTGGAACTCATTCACAGTGTTCTGAGTTTGATTACCAGTCAGATCTGTATATAAATTTTTCTTCTGTTATGATTGACCTCATCTCCATCAAAATGGAATGAGAAGAATACCAGGCCTCTTCTTACTTTGTAGCCCACATTAAAGTATAAACCTCTGTGCAAACTTTATACTGTCATGTATCCTCATAATACGACAAGAAATTATTGGGTTCAAATATTATGTTTTTGGTCATTATCCATCGTCTTGTCTTTATCTAAAAACTGTCCTGTTTATTTTTCAAAAAACAACGTTTCAGAGACTGGATTCAATCTCCGTCTTCAGGTAAAACTTTCTCAGTTGGGCCCAATCAACAGAGCTTGTCCCTATGTCATAGGGCAGTAGAGGCACTAGAAACCAACCATACTGAAAAGACTGAACAAAGTTAATGCAAGGCCTTGTGAAGCAGCTCTTGCACTGAAAGTATTATAGTATACATATGAATTATCCAGCAGTCACTGTGCTTACAACAAATCTGATTCGATTGCCTGTTGATTGAATTTCTCCTTATTTTTTCCTTTGCAGCTAATTTCCATTTTGCATTGGTTGGACATTTACTGAAAGGTTTTCGGCATCCAACACCAACAACTGTGTCCCGTACGACAAGAATCTTAACCATGCTGCTTGGCATCATAGCCAAACCACACAAACGAGATAAATTTGAAGTGACACCAGATAGTGTAGCATATTTAGCAGGTATACATATGAAATGGGTATTATATTTATATATATATAGTGATGTAAGTGAATTCAGGTCCTGGCTTTGTATGAGAATTATTCATTGTTCTTTATGTTATTATTCTCATATATTAATATATAATCCTTCCAATATGTATGTCGAAGCCCAAGAAAATTCAACTGTCATAACTTATCTATTTCTTTTTGTTGACAAAAACAATTTCAACTTTGCCTTTTGCTGTGTACTTTCATTACTGCTTATTCCCCCACAATAGCATAATCAGTTTAGATCCAGACTTAAGTGATACAAATACCCACTTCTTAACTCTGATTAAGCCACTGAATAATATAGTTTCACATTATTCTATAGTGTCTTGTATGGTTCTGAAACTTGGCCTCATCCAAAACGAAATCATAGATTGAAGGTGTTTGAAAATAAAGTGTTGAGGAGATCAGCAGAGGTTGTACATGTAGAACATTATAAAATGGGATCCATACTTTCTGTTCTTCACTCGATATTATTAAGGCCATCAAGTGAAGGAAAATGAGATGGATGAGACGTGTAGCCCACTTGTAGGAAAGATGGGAATTCATACACAGTTTTAGTTGGAAAACATGGATGGGAGAGGCCTAACAATTGATAGGAGGATAAAATTGGTCTTAAAGAAGTGGAATTTAAGGGTTTAGACTATATTTGACTGGCTTAGGATAGTGTCTGCTGGTGGACTTCAGTGAATGTGGTAATGGATCTACAGATTCCAAAGGTGACATGGAATGTCGTAACCAGCTGAGTGACTGTCAGCTTTTGAGGGAGTTAGTAACATATTTGGTTGTTTCAGCATTGGTGTCTGTATCAGAGGAGGTGAGAAGTCGTTGTCATGTGAAACATTCCTTAGCAAGAATGATTCCAGAGTTGGGTTCTGGTGAGAACTTTGATGTGGATAGTCACCTTAGTCTTATGCCTCATGTGAGTATTCAGAAGGTAATTTTAAGGTAAAGTTCTAGTGAGTAGTAAAGAATTAAAATGGGTAAATATACAGTGGCTTTCAAAAACAAAAGCAGGCTTTGGGCAAAGTATTTTGTGTGATGGAGCAAGACAGAGCGGGAAAGAGATATCTTTGAATCAGTGTGCTGATGAATTTTATAACATATCGGTAAAAGTTACACTTGTTCCGTGTCTATTTAACACCCTGAGTCTAGGCCATTTTATGTACAAAGTAGTCTGATGTCTGGATGTTTTTTGTATTGTGACATGATGGCTGAAAGCTGGATTAGTGGAAGAGGAAAAGATGTCCATTGCTAAGTAACGCTGCTGTAAACACACTTCAGTGGCAGCAAAAGCTGACACAACAGTGGAGGAATTGTTGGAGAAGAACTGTTGGAGACATTGTTTTCCTTGTTGTCCACCCCTACGCTATGTACTAGGTACTGAAACAGAGCTGCAGTATAGTGATTACAGTTGAGATTGTGAGGGAGTCTGCAGGCAGTCTTCAGACAGAAGAGTTCCGAGTCTGAAGTGAGTGCCAGACTTCGATAGTAAAACATGGTTAGGCAGTCAGTGGTTAGGTGATGTAGCCATGAGTCGCTGTGAGACAGTTGGCAGCTGGTAAGGACATGAACATGGAAACCGAGGAATCTATGGTGTTGGTAGCCTTTACCAAGTGACTTCTGATGAAGACATAACAGACTCATAAGACTTAATGCATACCATAGTGAATTGTAGAGTACTTGAATTAGTGATGGTGTTACAGTTAAAATTGGTTGTGGTTCGTAAGAATCCAGCAGATCTAGTTATGAATCCAAACTCCATGTGTAGTTACTAAACACGTGATAGTATGTAATAAAGAAATTATGACCCTTATAAATATACATCCCCATGAATGGTATCTCCACCTTATCGTCATGGTGGGGTTTGAGAGCACCTGAGAACCTGAGAGCTATGCATATTTGTATACTTCATAATTTTGCCTTTGAATTAAAATTAAAAAGACTGATAATCCCAATAAAATAAAAAAAATGTGATTTATCACTGCCAGAATTATGTACTGATACTGATAAAAAGGAGAATAGTTATGCAGTTTGATGCTATGGTATGAGAAATTGGATTGTGGGATTTTTCCCTTTCAGAAATTTAGAATTAATATTAATTTATGTGAAGATCATGTCTGTGTGTGACTTAATATTGTCATGATTTATGTGTGCCCACAGGTGAGGTAATGATTGGTGAATAAATTTGTTAAACACTTATATGTCATTACTGCACACACTTACAACACTATTGTTGATTTGCACACTTTACAAATCACTACATACTAAGTCTTCTTCAGCCTGCAATGTCTTCACTAGTTGTTGCTTGGTAACAACTCTCAACAATGGGGATTATTCAGCTTCTGTGCTCAAGTCACTACTGTCCAGTGAATATCCCATAACTGAACTGTCAGCTGAAGCACAGTGCCATCTCTTTTCAGCCTCCTTTGCAGAATTTGAGTCTCAATTGAACGATAGCGCCATCTCCTCTCAGACTGCCTTGCAGAACTCAACTCTCAACTGACTGGATCACCCCAATTGTCTTTCTTATAACCCCTTTGCACAGACTGAGTAGAAAACACTGTTTCCATCAGTAACTCTATTGTGTGCATATTCATTGGCACAGGAACATGTTTACCAGTCCATTTCCTAGAAACAGCTGCTGTTTATTCACCTGTTTTGCAGTCATTGCATAGCAATGGTTGTACACACTACAATAGCATTCCCTAAACCATTACAGATTTCTTTAAAATTCAGTTTAGGAGACTTTCACAAAATGTTGTCAGCGGTTCTTATTTCCAGTAATGTTGATCAATAGCAGTGCTGACTTTACAAAGGCCCATGAAATGACTTTCATAAATCAGAAACCAATCAAATTTTGGTGAAATTTCATATGAGAGGTAGGTGTAACATTTATCAGCCATTCTTATTTTTAGCCATGTTGGCCGATAGCAATGCCTAAGGCCATAAGTAAGATTAACAAATGACAAATGCTTTTGAGAATTTTGTGCACTATATTATGGAGTACATCCTTTCTGATCGTGTTTGTCATTGCTTTGTTTTAGCCCCCCGCCACTAATGTTTCACCTGCTATGAATGTTATGTTAGCAACAAGTCCTTCCCAGCGAAGTGAAGGGAGTAATGGACAAAGCTATCAGCAGCCTCCACAGCAAGCAAGTGGGGTAGGTACCCCAACCAATAGGAGACAGAAATCATGGGATCTGTTAGATCAAACGGCAATAGCACAGGCAAGACAGCAAAAGCAGCACACTCAGCAACAAGCTCAACATCAGGTGAGTCAAAACAGAATTATGTGCCCTGTAAGTTACAGCATCATGAAAATTAGAAATTAATTTCAGGCTATTTAAACTACAGTATGGTAAAACTTGTGAATTATGTAAAGTCAGAGCAGAGCCCTGGAAAGACATAGAAATAACTGAATAATGGGCTGTCGTGAGACGCAGTGCAGCTGTGTTATGTTTCAAGAACTCTTGTATAATAGTATTGGTTCTCTAAATGTTGCCCTAGTGACATTGCAACGCGTTTTGTGTACTGTAGACTTTGAAGATATGTAGCAGACACTTCATTTACAGGGGTCACATTGTGATTAAAGTGTATGGTGTTAAGGTTCATCATTGTCTTTCAAATCTTTGCTCTGGTAAATTTGCCTCACATGCATATTTAATTTATAAATAATGCAAAAGTTATGTATGAAGACAGGGCAATCAGTCATGGTATTTAAAAACAAAATGTGGGAAATTGTCAGGTAGGCATCTCCAAACAGTGTAGGTCACCTGACTGGTTTCAGCAGTTCTGAAGTTTAAATACAAATTAAAATTTTTGCAAATGTTCTAAGTTTCCCTCTCTCTTTAAGTAATTCTGCAATAATTCTTTAAATATTCCTTGAAGATTTCCTTCTTCATTTTGTGTTTATTCTCATTCCTCCTCCTATGACATTGTTGAACTCCACCTTCATCTTTTATCTATTAGAAAAGGAAAAAATTTGGTAAGATAAATAAGTATGATGTAATAAAAGATGGAACACTTACAAGTATAAGGATATATAGAATATCAAGACAGACAATAAATATAAGTACAGTATTACATGAGAATACCCCACTCAGTTACAGTACAGTCATATTTATGTATTTGTATGGTTTGTACACACAACAATGTACAGTACAACTAGATATGAAATTGTTGGCTGGCAGATTTGTATGCTTTAGACGAGAGGGTCTGTTCTCAGGAACTGAATGTTTGTACAGTTTGCTGTTGCACTCTTACGCTCGTTTGCCTGGACTCTTCTTGTGTCAAGAAGCATAGTAGATATAGGTCCTGGGACCTATTTATTGAGTTTATTTAATAAGTAAGCTGACAGTGCTCTTAGTAAAGAATTCTATTTAGCTTTTCCTTTACCAAAAAAGAAAGAGTGGTTACTGTTATTTAATTATATGTAATTTCTTGTATAAATATTCTCAGTTCATAATGAAAGAGACATTATGTCAGGCTAGATCAAAGGGCATCGAGACTGAATTAAGGTAAATTATATTTTGTAGGGACGTGGGTTGATGAAGATGTTCCAACCTGTTACTGCATGTCGAGGTGTGTTTACAGTTCATTCCATGCTTCAGACATTTATGGTAAACCAGTAAAGTTGGAACGTTTTTGTCACATGTTTATTTAATGATATCCAAGAGTACAGAGCAGTGCGTACCCATTAAATTTTATAAGAAGGTCAGAAAGATATTGTCATGTGATAATTGTGACTGTAGATGGGATTTGGTTTTGGTACTCAGATTTATTGGACCCTTAAACACACAACTTGTGACTACACTGTACAGATCACTATCACACTCATGGTTTTCACTGTGCTGCTTGGTAGCAGCTTCAACCATTGGACATTCCCCTTCCTTAGGGTTCCCAAACTGTCCCCAGCCACAGCTACCAGCTCCTCACTTCTCACAACTGCAACTCTCAAGTGACAGATCCTGTGGCAGCTGGAATTTTGTTATATATAGCCTGGGCAGGGACTGCACAGAAAACACTGCTTCTAACAATTCCTTCATTGTTTGCATGTTCATGTTGCTTATTAATGGCTCTGATATTGTTGTGTGCTTACAAAGCTGTTGCCTAGCAACAGGAATGTTAGCAGAGATGTTCTCTAGCAATGGGAGTGTTTGCAGAGCTGTTCCCTAGCAATGGCTGTCTCTGCTATCTTCACAATTCTGGCTTTTAGCAGACATGCCACATTGCTCCCACCTTAAGGCTATTTGTCCCAAGTAGCCTACAGGTGTACCGTCATTTCTTCTTTTCTGCTTAGTGCAGACAAAACTTCTGAGAGTGGCCAGCGCTCCTGCATCTGTGACTCTTGCTTGGATGGTGGTTGGCCCCTCTGCACTGTGTTGACACTCGTTTGTTGAATCATCATTGAAGTCCCAGTAGTGTGCTTCCCAATCTCCAGTCCGATGATTTGTCCAAGGGCCTCATAAAATGTCTCCTCGTTTCTCAGATGTGGCTGTTTTTTTAGAATGCAGGTCTTTATGCAGTTGTTGAATTTCAGCTGCATGCATCATCTCTTCCAGAACGTTCATCCTCTTTAGGGGTTCCTTGAACAACTTTGCCCTTGATCCACATTTTCCATGGGTTATGGTATCCCACTGCCAGTTGCTGGCCCCCAGATCGAACCTCCAGAGCTCTGATAGTTTCCACTGTGGCCTCTCTGTTAGGGACTTTCTGACACCCCACTGCAACCTCTGTTTCTTCTGAAATTTCCACTCACTTCTCTGGACAGGCCTTTGTCTTTTCTTGCCAGGACTTCATCTCTTGTAAGATGGCATTTACTCGTACTGTGGCTTTCATTTCCCCCTGCCCAGCCTTCATTTCTTCTTTCCTTTCCTTTAGATTTATGTCCATTTTGGCTTGGTTGGCTCTTATTTCAGCTTCCGTTTCAGCCAACATGCATTCAGTTATTTGTTCCATCATCATAGTGTGGCGATACAAGTATCTGCTGCAATCCCCAACCCAGTTAGTCGGATCAGTCCAATCCCACTGTCACCAGTTTTCACAGGATGGAGTGCCGATTTATTGGACTCTTAAACACCCAACTCATGACTGCACTTCATGTATCACTATCACACACAGACTGGTGTTCTCAGTCACAGTCTTTACTGAGCTGCTTGGTGGCAGCTTCCAACGGCAGATGTTTCCCTTTCTCTGGGGTCTTGAAGTGTCCCCAGTCTCAGTTACCAGCTTCTCACTTATCACAACTTCAACTCTGAACTGATTGTCTGCCTGCAGACCCTCTCTTGACTGCCTATGTCTGGTAAATTGTTGCTGGCCCTCACCAGTGCAGTCATTCTTAGTTTTAAGTCCCGCGGGACTCATGACCATATTTTACTGTCTCATGACTCTGACTGCCTATGGCAGCTGGTCCTCATTGTATGTAGCCTCAGCACAGAAAACACCACTTCCAGCAGTTCCTCCATTGTTGCATGGGCACGTTACTTAGCGATAGCTCTGGTATCATTGCATGCTTCAGAAGCTGTTGCCTACCGACAGGAGTGTTTGCAGAGCCATTCCCTAGAAGCATCTGTCTCTGCTGGCTTCACAGTTCTGGCTTTCAGCAGACATTCCACAGTATCAACTGAAATTTGCATGATGCAGTGCATTGTGAAGGGCTGAAAAAGTGGAATTTGCCATGACAGTGCACATGTCAATTTAGCTCACGTGCATAAATATTCACCTGAACACAATATTTTGCAAGTGAGACAGCTCCTCTGCTGGTTAGTTATGGCTCTCTATGACCTTTTTCTGGTCTCTAAATCTAAAAATCCTGAAAGGTAAAAGATTTTATGATGTGAAAGCAACTGAATACAATGCACCATAGAAGTTGTTGATGTGTGGGAACATCCCACATTATCACGCATTTTCTGCAACGCACACTCTTCACATCACTTTTCGCTGATTCCAAGACTGAGTTTTGAGAGGAGTTCCCAGCATAGAAGAAGCAAGGGAACAAGTGTGTATGTGCTGAAGGAGCCTGCTTTGAGGAGAATTAGCCTCCTATCCATCTAAGTACAGTATCTTAATATTCACATGTTCAGTCACGATACTTTTTGATTAGGCCTCTTGGATGACTATAGTGTAAATAAGTTATTGTGACTTCTTTCTAGATGTAAGTATTTCAGCCTGTATATGATAGATAAGTGCGAAAGTGTTTCAAATGAGTGAGGAAATTAATGATCACATTTCAGGAGTAGTATCTAATGGTCGTCCTCAAAATTCTCCACTGAACACTTTGGCAAGCAAGGAAAATGTACAAATTTAAAAAGGTAATGGGAGTAGATAGGATTTGGACTAAATATTCCTGTATACTGCAGTACTCTGGTGGCCATGGTTGGACTTCTCTGAATTTGGAATGGGATCTAAGATTTGGAAAGTGGTGTGTAGAGGACACATTCCTGGTCAATTTGGTATAAAATATGTTTCAATTCCCTGACCATGTACAAGTGTTTTTTTTTTTTTTGATTAACATGTGTATGTAGGTTCAGTCTGCTGCATGTGGGGGGGAGACTAGTAACAGTAAGGGATGGCGCAGCCTGGACCTGGGGCCTCAAGCCCCTCCCTCAGCTCCCCCAGGGGGACCTTCAGGTGCAAGGCCCTTGTTCCGAACTCAACGATCTTCATCCGTTCCAGCCCCCAAGTCTGGTGTGGAGGCTGGTGCTGCCTCTGTAGGAAAAGTAAGAACTGATCTAGCCCATGGTGTATGCTGATCCAAGGTTTCTTCACTTGCATTGGAATGACGTGATTGCCACTGATATCTCTCTCTTTTCCAAGGATTGCTGTGCACACGATATCGAATCTAGTTCTTGGAGCCAGCGCAGTGTTTGGTTATCAAAAGTGATAGGTAATAATGCTTGTTGTTTTAACTCCAAAATCTTTGCCATGTGCCTAGTGATTCATGCAAAATTGTAACTTTATTTAAATTCTGCATATGGCTCAGCTTCTTATGTCTATCTAATATGTCTTCTTTATTTTTCTTTACAGCTTTATCTCCACATACAAGCATTCCTTTCTTAATAATTTATACATCATAGAATATCTAATGGTGCATTAGAATATCTTTTTTTGTGTTTATTCTTTGCCAGAGTAGAGCATGAGTTGCAAAGACAAACGTTATTTTCAGCACGTCAGATATGTTATGACCAAGGCCCGGATTTTGATGACCTGAAAATATTTAAAAAATTACCTATAAAATGACCGAAAAAATCCAGAAAAATTACTTAAAGGAGAAAAGAAAGAACACTTCGCTTCCATGTTATTCGCATTTCAGAAAACATGAAGAAAAATTCCCTAAAATGGCCAAAAATGACAAGAAATACCCTTAAAAGTCCAAAAATTTTCCAGAAATTACCCCCAAAATGAAAAAAATGACCTTAAACCTAAAAATGTCAAAAAATGACAAAAATTACCTATAAAATTTACGTTTCTGTAACCAGCAGCTCATATCCAAGATTTATATATTTAAGAGCATCGCATAGGATGCAAGGGAAAAAAGATGACATGTCATCAAAATCCGGGCCCTGGTTATGACATTTAATTTTTCCTTACACTGAAATCAGTCTTCCTTTTCATCAATTGTATGATTTTCCAAACAGCTTCAGCTAAATTTTGATTTTGTTTTCAAATGTACTGTCAGAAGAAGAGCAAATTGGTTGGCCTGTTTATACTGCTATAACACTTGTATGAATATGAAGTTTGACATGAGAAATAATTTCTCACCTCTTCATTTAAGTATTTTGCTGTTTTAATAATGACATATTATTTTGCCATAACCTGTTCATATAACTGAAGAAAGAGAGACCCGCACTTTGGCATTTTCTTCCAATAATTTAGTACAAAATCTCTTTTGATTTCCAAACACTAGCCGAATACATATTTAAAAGTGAATGAATCTAGTAGTACTGCAGGAGGTGGTGATTATTTTCAACCATTTCGCACAGTCTAATTTCCAGGTTAAGTTGTATTGGCAGTATTTCATGTTTCAGTGGTCTACCACCAAAGAGATGCAGTATTTACTAGTTCAGCTTACAAATCAGTAACAGTGACGACACTGCCGATATCGTCACAGCTTCCTCAGTTTTCTTGGTCTGTTGTGTTTTTGCCTGACTTCCAATAATTTTTTACTATCTCTCTCTCTGCGTCTGTTTCTACCCCCTGCTTGTTGCATTTGTGTTGGGTGGAATCCATCCAACTGACTGATCAATCAACTAATCACCATTGGTACAACTTAGTCGAGTGCACGAGTTCTCTTCCGAACGCAGCGTTCATTCTCCGTTCCAACAACTAAAGAGCCCAAGTCGGGTGATGAGTCAGATGTCAAGGTAGGCAGTAATGTTTGCTGTGGCTGTAGAGAGGAGTAGTTCATTTGTTTGCTGGGTAGGCACTTCTTACTTTGGAAATATTTCTTAAAAGAATCATGTTTAGGCATATATGATGCCCATAGTTGTCTTGTGTAGTGTATTTAAATAAAAGTCATTAAACGTGGGATTCCATATAAAGTTCATATATAACATTGAAATTCTTTTCTGTTTTAAGTTTAAAGAGTGTTAAGAATTATTTTATTTTTTGCATATTTGATGGAATTATTCAGTTATCCCTGAATATAATTAAGCACCACACATGAAGATGCATGGGGAAGTGGAGGTATATTATTTTTTTGTATTGCTAGTGGGGTGCAAGTCCCTTGCACTGTGGCCACTTCTGGCCTATTGTACCAGCCCCAGATGATAGGTGAGGGTAATTGTCGAGCAATTGGTGGAATGAAGATTGGCAGGGGAAACCAAAGTACTCTGAGAAAACCTGCCCCAGCGCCACTTTGTCCACCACAAATCCCACTTGACCAGACCCGGGACTGAACCTGGGCCGCCGCAGTGGGAAGCCAGCAACTTGAGCTATGGCGCGGCCAAGTGGAGGTATAACTCCATGCATTCATAACCTTGACACTGGGTGCAGCTGAGTGAGCTGTTTTATCCCTGAGGAAGGAGCCCCCTGGTACCTGTTGGATAGGAGGCTGGCTGGGCCCTAGAGCCAGCCTGAACGCAGTGGAGAAAAGTATCTTGCTCCTGTCTGGAATTGAGCCCTGATTCCTCAGTTGTCCAGCCTATAGTCTAGTCAGTATACCAGTTAAGCTATGCTGACTAAGCTATTCTGGCTAATATAAAGTAACTAAAAGAACCATGACAGGTTTAGTTATTTGTATACAGTTTGTTTAAATAGTTAATACTGGTATAATTATTATGGGGAAAAGGAACATGACAGTGCATGCACTTTTTTTAGGGCCCACAGAAACATACCAGAGAAAACTAGCTTGTGACTCTTTAATACTGTATGCTATTTTAGGACATCCTATACTGAATTAATATTATGTATTTCTCTAGGCTGTTTTTTTTTTTATTTCATTGCTTTATTGGGTCTTATTTCTGTTACATCTCAGGGCATTCGTACATCATTGAATATTTCCAAATGAGATAGTACGCCCAGATGCATGCGATCTTGAAGTTGGATTGTTGCTACCTGCATGTTATGCTGATCATTATGTTGCATAATGGCTGTTAGTTCAGTTGTAGAATCACAATTGTTGTATTTGTTCACTACATGAACTCATGCATAATGATAATCTTTCTACCCCAGTGTAGAGTATTATATCAAACACATAATATGCATTGTCTAGTAGTCTGTTTCATGGTGTAAGACTTGTAAATTGTGGTACTGGACAGATCTGTAGGGTTTCACCGAAGCTTGTAGGATATTTTAGGCTCTTTCAGTTTATAATATTTTGTGTTAACTAATATGTTATTGTAATTATCAAGATACAGGAATGACATAATAGAGATGGAGAGTTCTGTAGTTTGTTGATACAGCAGAGGAAATAGAATTTCAGGTGAAATGTTATGTTTGCTTATGTTATGTTGTTTCATGTTCATATAGATCTGAATTCTTTCCTAGGTAATGTTTTGAAAAACAGTTTAACACAGACATAATTTCGAATGTGTTACGGGTAGCAGAGTAATAGAAGCAGTTAGCCAATATGAATTCTTGAAGAGTACAGTGATCTTGGTTTTAGTGCCAAATGGTTTGGAGAGAGCCCGACATTTTGGAGGAACATATTGCGACCATATTCAGGTTTAAGAGTAAGCTGAGCATGAAATTAGCTGCCCTGCCTCTTTCTTACTTGACTTACTTTTTGACCCATAGGATGGAGGCAGTATATTCATTGAAAATGTTGGGCTGTCTCAAAATCATATGGCACTAAGACCAAGAAGCCCATCCTGTTCATAGTCACCACTTTGAGAACCTTTGCTTCAACAATATGAATTATGTTTTTTGTTTGAGCTGCTAGATTTTCCACAAAAAAAATTGCTATCAGTTTCCTATTTCCTACAACAGACAAAATAGAGAACATTCAGTCATATTATGAAATTTTCTTTATACTGTTCCAAGCATATGTCATAGTCAAGGCTGTTGTGGCAATGCAAAAACATTGGTTTATAGTTTGTGGGTGTGGTTCAAATCCCCAGTCTTAAATTCTTTTAATTACACGAATTGTTTGTGCTTAAATACTGTGACTAAAAACATTTCCCTGTAAATGAGGCTTGGTCATCATTGTCTTCTTCAGTATAAGAAGCAGTAGGTCATAGATTACATATACTTACATGAAATCTACTGCATAGTCTTAAACATTTCCTTGTGGATGAATTTCAGAATACTGCTTTTAAGGTTGGCAATATGCTATATTATTTCTTGAAGAGCCATGATTTTTATTGATCCATTTCCATTGTCATATATTGCCACACATTCTTCGTTAAAATTGTGTGTTTATTAATTCTCATGCTGTTACCAAACAGCTGAGCACTTAGGTTGATGATTATAATGTTTCATAAAAATGTGGTAACAGATTATTCAGTATAATAGATAGGGAATTGTTTATTTGATTGGTTTGCATTTTTATTAAAAAAATAGTTGACACTAAACTAATTGGCAGTGAATATGGTATTTGAGTGTTACTCATTCCCTAATGTGTTAGCTACTGTATATTGTAATATGACTGGGAAAGCAGCTGTATCTCACATGAAGAAACAACTATACAACTGTATATACTAGTATACATACAGGTAATAGTAAAGGAAGGTAAATATATAAAAGTACTGTTTGATAGTTGGCAAGGCTGGAAACGTGCATAGTTAGGTGTATTTGTGTTGGTACTAAAATTCATTACAAGTATTGAAAGAAGGGTAATTTTAAAATGAATTCATTGAACTTTGTATATCTTTTCTCTAAGTTAGTTAGTTAACAATGCTGTGAGTATCAATACTGTATAGTATCAATGGCAGACAATTAATGAACGTGGAGCAATTGGTGGAATGAGAATTGGCAGGGGAAACTGAAGTACTTGGAGAAAACCTGCTCCATTGCCCCAGTATCCACAACCTATCTTAGATCACCTGATCTAGGATCAGTTCTGGGTCACTGTGGTGGGAAGCTGGTGACTCAGTGCCCAAGCTATGGTGTACCCACCATTGCATATCAAGGAGTTAGTGCATTTTGCACGCTTTTAAAGTCTCCCATTTCCTCCAGCATTTATAGTTTTGATAATTTTTGTAAATAATTTTTTTTAATGTGAAGGCCAAAGAAACAGAATATTATATTAATTGTAATACCCAACAGAATGCAGTCTCATCAGTTGGAGTTTATTGTAATAAATCAGATGATCTTGGGTGGCCACTTTGGCAGTTCAGCAGTTTGAATTCTGTAATGTCCACCAAATATCCTGGCATGTTTGCATTCTCTTGTGCTGTTAGTATTCACATATTTTAACAGAATGCGAATTTTTTTTTGTATAAGACATTGACTGTGCACTGCATTGTCTGTAAGTATGCTTGATTCTGTTTATTTGTATTTCATTTTCTTGAAAACTATAATACTTTAGCTGAAGTGGGTGAAATGTTTTAGAATATTACTTTGAACTTAACAAAACTGTAGCATATTAATTTCACTCTGAATGTGTATTATACAGTCTGGTCCAGAGGATGTTAGGTCCCAGAACTGGGACAAGGACAAGGTGAGAGGATATGAGAGTTTAACTAGATGCAGTATTGTGAATGCTGAGCCTAGCAGGTAGACACAGTGAAAGGAAAAACAGTTGTATCACACAGTGACTTTGCTTCCTTTTTTAAGTAATCGTAGCCCATTAGTCATTTAACCATTCAATGTGAGCAGGGAGGATGTGCTTGCCACACCCTGACAAGCAAATATAACTTCTGCATTACATAATTTCCGTATGTCTAATTGTGTTTTACTCTGTGTACAAAACATATGTTACAGACCATATAATGTGGTTGAATGGGAATCAATCTTTTGTACCTAGTTCTATGTTCAAATTTTGGCTTGGAAACTAGCTAGCATGGACGAGATTATTTTGTGGTATTCTTCATTATCTTCAAGCAAATTTTGGGGTATCTTAAAATAGGCCACTACTGCTTTATTTCAAGTTCTTTTCAATCATTATCTTCGGTCAGCTTGAAGTTCAACACTTCAACAGTTGAGAAAACATTGTTAAACAGTCCAAATATCATCAGAATATATGACAGAGTGCGGAAGAAAGTCTAGGTTAGCGTTGTGCAGTAGGTGTTAAATGAATTTGTAATTGTTCAAATTGTGCAGTATGAAACTGGTACATTTATTTACAAATACTGTAAACATGAACTAAAACTTAGATCCCACTATGTCGTTACGCTCTTGGTACTCTGTATAACATTTAGTATCATCTGTGATACTGTCATGACCATATACTTTTCACTGCAGCATTCAAAAGAATAGTTCTGGGGAGGATGTATGATACATAATTTCCTGATATGTATCACAAAAAACTATGAATTCATAATTGTACTGTAAAATTTAATGATACATTCCTATGTGTAATTTTCTCCAATCCATAGTCTTAAGTCGGGCTCTGTTAAATATCCTAATATAATGTCAAAGTTTTGCACATTTATATATATTTATATAGATTTGTAGGTATATGTATGATCTATCCCAACAAAATTTCACATACCTAACTTTAGTGGTCTATTATTATCATAAAACCAAAAGCTGAATATAGGACTTATGCTGCTTCAATGTTTTTTTTTTCTTTACATTCTACAAAAGAAAGTTGTTAACAAGGAAATGTATATTTTTCAGACTGTTGCCACAAGATTTCCGAAGTTTACACTGGTGCTTGTGTTGGTCTGAGCTCAGAATTTTGCAGGGTTGCCACATTATTGATAGCAGGAAGTTAGAGCATACAGACATGTAATGGCATTTACTGACATGATGCTCCTGTCATTTGTTATGAAAATTACTGAGGCTATGGAAGAGAGACACATGGACATGATAATATCATGTGTTGTGTTCCCTTATGAAATAAGATATTTATCAGTAGATTTGTGGGTGAGGGGGTTGGGTCAGCCCATTTTCATGTGACAGGCCCTTGTATTGAGATGGGTGATGTGAATATTTGTCACTTCCATAAACCTGAATTGTATTTTTCATAATAGTTGTGTATAACTTAAAATCAGTACAAAGTCACACAATATCTGTGTTACCATTAATGTTAATTACATTTTTCTTACACATCAACTTTCATGTGTTAAATAAGGTTATCTTCTCATATACAAATTACATTTATTTCTTTTAGTCCCCTGAAGTAAGTTATATGTTATTTTTATGTCTGCAGGATCGTAGTGCCCGCGTGTCAGTGTCAAACGAAAACAATGTTCTCCTGGATCCTGATGTACTAACTGATTTCTCAACACAAGCATTAGTACTTACTGTGTTGGCCACACTTGTAAAATACTCAACTGATGAAAATGAGACACGAATCCTGTATCAGTATCTGGCAGAAGCTTCTGTTGTGTTCCCCAAAGTTTTTCCTGTCATGTAAGTTGTCTAGTAATGTGATATTTAGATTATAGGCACTTATAGACAATAGGTCCTGCCATAGATATTATAGCAAGTGTCATGTAACTTCAAACAAGGCCATGAGCGCCAAGAGTAACCTTGAACGCGCAGAAGAAAAATTTCAGACAAGGGGGTGGGTTGCAGGAATGCGGGGAATGCGTGGCCTTGTTCGAAATTATGTGACACTGTGTCTAGATGCTGAGCCCCAAGTTAAGTTGCTGGATGATCCATGTGGGATATCAATATAGTAGCAATGGGGCAAGTTTTCACCAAAGATAGTTTTACCCTACCATTCATTCTGCCAGTACTCTTTAAACACTTACTGCTCATGATGTATGACAGGCCTGACCAGCCATCATGTTGTCACAAACTCACTTCCTAAATTTGAACTTTATCTTTGACCCAACTGTAATATGGACACAGAATTTAGATCTCTTGAAGTGTAAGGGATAGTATAACTAACTAGCATTGTGGTAGAAGAACCAGAAAGTTCAGTACTCCATTGATTGATTGATTGATTGATTTATTTCGTCACTGTAGATCATTGTACATGATATATGACAAGTCAAGTTAATTCTGAATATTAACAATTTGATATATAAGTAGATTAAAATTACTATAGTTACAATTTTTTACATTCTTATTTGTGGAGAATTTGATGGAATGAACATTGGCAGGGGAAACCGAAGTACTCGGAGGAAACCTGCCCCAGCGCCATTTTGTCCATCACAAATCCCACTTGCTCAGATCACAGTGGTGGGAAGCCAGCGACTAATCGCTTAAGCTATGGCGTGGCCTTAGAATAATGATATTGATAGCTAATGTAATGTTCTCAGCAGATTGGTGCCCTTCTTGATGGCCTGGTATTCTCTATCTCTCTCTAAGCGGCCTACGTAGACGTCCCTCCATCTCATGATGTCCTTTCTATCACATCCATCATGGTGTCTTGATTCCTTTAAGCAGAAGAGAACTGTGCTGTATACATTCATAGCATGCTGGTATAAGCTCAACAAGTCACTTATTCTTGAATTATCTGGTAATATTGATGTTAACTAGGATTTATCCCCAAACAAGAAGAATTCATCTATACTATAAAAACAATGTTCAAGTAGAAATGTTTTCAAAGTCTTTTTAAATTTGTATAGTGCTGGTATGTCCTTTATATATTGCGGCAAGTGGTTTAAAAGACGAAGTCCAATATTATTGAAGTTGTTTTTACACAGACTCGTCCTACATGGAACTATGAATAAGTTGTCTTTTTTTCTTGTATTGTGTGAGTGTACTGCTGAATTAGTGATGAAAACATTCAAGTTGGATTTCATGTAAACTAATATTTCATATATATACAGACTTGGTAGAGGTAATATATGTAACAATTTAAAATATTGTTTGCAGCTGGTTGTTTTTTGTATTTGCATTATAGTTCTAATAGCTCTCTTTTGTATCTTAAAGATCAATTTTGCATTCGCTGAATTGCCCCAGAATATCAATCCATATGATAGCAGGGATTGAAAATACGCATAGTATAAAGCAAGAACAGTCTCTAATCCTGATACTTTTTTGACTATTCGCAAGCCAAAACATATTTTACATAACTTACTTGCTAGTGTTTGAGTATGTGTGGACCAGCTTAATTTTTTGTCTAACGACATTCCCAAAAATTTGGTATGTTCTGTATAATTGATGACTTTATCATATAGTTGGATATAGTTGGAATATTGAAGCTTCTCCTACATTAATGCCAACCTTCACCTTCAGATGGTTTTCACATGCATGTTCTGATGATATAAATCATGGCTATATAACTGTTACACTGGTGAGAAATTTAGGTTAAGTTAGTTTGAACTTTAAATTGGCTTATTTGATTTCTGATGGTCGTGAATTACTAGTTTTGTTGTGTCAACTTTGAAAAAGTTAATTGGGCAGTCATTAAGTTTTGTTAATGGTTCATTAAGAGCAGATTACTTAGTCCAGAGCAGATTTAAATACTGTATGATTTGTACAGGACGTTCCTGAATTCTGAAATTTTGTTTGTAACAAAAGTTCAGAACTTGATTTGCTACGGACACAGTTCCGTATATAAATGATGGTTAGGTTCCCAAGTCAGCCCACAGTAACTTGTTTAAGCTGAAATTCTATTCACTTGGAGTAACTAATAATAGAATGTTTTGTTTTGTTTTTTTAAATGGCTCTTCCAGCCCCTTCAGGGCCCAGGCCTCTTATTTAATTCCATAATCATTTTTCACAGATGGTAGGACTCCTTGGGCAAGTGATCAGCCTGTTGCAAGGGTGCTACCGGAACCCAGGACAACACAAACACACAATAAACGCATATACACACCAAACATCCATGCCCTGAGTGGGATTTGAATCCATGATCCCAGCATCTGAGCAAGCAAAGGCAGTTCATGCCTTAGACCATACAGTTACTGTGACTGGCAGTAGAATGTAATAATAGCTTTATATGGGGAAGTAAAGTAATAAACTGAGTTTTTGTTGAGACCTTAAATTGAATTTTTGGCAGATTCACAGGTTTTAGAAGTTGATGGCACTTATTCTGGTGGGGTACTTTTCTTTAAATATGCTTGTGGTGAAATTTGGACATACACTTTCTTTCTTTCTTTTTTCGTGATATATTTCCTTCTAACATGAAGGGTTTTTTTTGTTATTTTTTGTTTTGTGTGACTAAATTATTGAAACATTAAAGTTGGTAGTTTGGTAGTAGCTTGAGCGGCCTTCGTAGTCTAGGGGTAATGTTCCCACCTCATGACTCAAGGTATGCGGGTTCAAACCCGGCGGAGGTTGTGGAATATTTAAGGGCAGAAAAATTCAGGGAACAAGTCCTCCGGGAGGGACTTTAAGCCGTGGGTCCCGTGTCGTAGATTTACGGCACATAAAAGAACCTTATGTCTCTAAGAGACCTCTGAGCTAAATTAGGCAAAAAAGTTTCCCGCCCAAGTAGTTTCCAATGCCTCTGGTAGATGGGGAAGAATTAGGTACCACTGCCAGAGGAGGGATGACCTCATTGACAGAAAGGGACTAATTATCAGATACCACTGCCAGTAGAAGGCCGAAACCTTGCTGGCAGAAAGGAGCTGATAGTGAGCACCAGTACTGGTAGGGTATGGAGACAGTAGAAATTTAAAGGGGGACATACAATGGACTATTAGTTGTGGTGCATGGGGAAACCCACCCCCTCAATACTGAATAACTGAATAGGTAGTAGCTTCAGTCATATTGCCTTGTATTAGTGATTAGTTATGGGGTTTGGATTGATAATTGGACACACATAACTCTTAAGCACAAGTAACTATAACAGTTTCATGGATCTATGGATCTGCACACTCTGAAAATCACTACTCCAAACATTAAGGCTTCTGTGACTTCACCGCACGTTGCTAGGTAATGTCTCCCAACATTGGATACTCCCCTACTTCCATGCTCATGACATCTGGCTCTCATCTAACTCATATGATAGCAACCAACTGACTTCAAGTCAAAGTCAAAGTCACATTGCGACTGACAGTCAGTCAGTCTGTCTGTCTTGGTGTCCAGCCCTGACTGGGGCTCATGACCAGATTTTTTTTTCCTTTATATGAAAGTTACTGTCCTGTTCATTTGGAACGCCCTCCCTGACGAGAGGTTGGGTCTGTCATTTGTGAGTCATAGTCTGTGTTAGTAAGTCCATTGTCTATATTTACATATATTTACAATGTAATCTTAATTCCTATTTCTATGTACAATATATACAAGGCCTCTGTCAATCCAGGCTCGGTACAGCAGATTATGCCCTATTTCTAGTAGTATTCGCTACCACAGTAGCCTAGTCACTTGAACGGTCGTATACCTGAACCTAACGGACTTCTCCCATTGGTCCCTGTTATATAGCCTTAGGTCAGAATGCATACAAAACACTGTTTCCAACAGTTTTTGTATTATCACATGAGTATCCATTGTTGTGATACAAGCTTATTGAGCTGTTACCTAGCGGCAGACAATTTCTTCTGGCTGCATTATTCCACCCTCCCAGCTGCCATGTTATAGTATGTTCAGATGTTTGTAGATTGAATGTTTTTAACTGGAATTCTTATATTGAAGTTGATACTGTATTTCATATTTTACTGTGTCAAAATTAACAAGTCTCTACATATGTCTAATGCAGTCACAGTCTCCTGGATGCCAAAATAATCAGCGTGCTGTCAGTCTGCCATGACCATGTGATCTTGAATGCCGTGCAGGCCATCATACAGAACATGATTTCCAGCGAAGATACAACCCAGCAGCAACTCCACTATTTGCAGAGTTGTGGCTTTGGAGGTCTCTGGAGGTTTGCAGGTCCTTTTACGAAGGTAATTGTTCATGCTTAAAACTTGAACATGAAGGTACCACATCACGTCAGTGTCCATCAGAATGTTCATCTTATGAAAGAGGTAACTGATGTTACAGAGCTGGGCACTGAGTCCATGAAGTGTTGATGTTAAGGACGTGTGTGATAACCTTTTAATGACTACTGATCATTTTATTGGGTATCGGGGTTTGATCAGAACATACGAAGAAAAGAGATCACTTTGGAGACTTAGAGATAGATGGAAAATGATGTTAAAATCGATCTTAAATAAGTGAGATGGGAGAGTGTGGACTGGATGCATTTGACACAGAATAAGGATCAAGTAGGTGGATTCTTTTGAATGTGATAATGAATGTTTTGGATCCACAGTATGTAGGGAATTCTTTCTTGAATAACTGAGCAACTGTTAGTTCTGTAAGACATATTTGGCAGACAATTATAGTAGTTTTTAATATTTGTTTATCTTATTCTGGGCTTACAATCCATTGTTACTTTAAATTACAATTGCATGGCTCCAAAGGGGAGATCCTTGCTACCATATAAACAGGACTTCTACATATGGATGCCATTAGCACATGATCCAGAATTATTGGAAAAGTGACAAATTTGTGTTCAAAATGGTACAATAAATCCAGTACATCAAAGTTTAAAATGGTGAACAAGCTGATAGATCACACTGACTGATGTGATATTTGTGTGTTTCAGTGCAACTGCACAGCAGAGAGTGCAGAGCTGTTTGTCAACTGTTTGGAAGCCATGGTGGAGACCTGCTTACCTATTGAGGAAGAGGAAGTGGAACTGGCCCAGTACCCTTCCATGTTGAGTGTTTCAAGCAATATGAACCGTAGCTCATCAATGTCCAGCCTGACTTTAGGATCTCCTACTGAAAAAGGTTAGTCGTTATGAAAAATACTGCTTTGTAATCACTACTGTGTGACATTCAGATTCGTCTCAATCATCATAATTAGTAAATCATTTGCATGCATGTTATATTTGACATAGCATCCACAGTAGTGGCAAGCGTGTCACTGAAAGTCAAGAACTATCTGTGGGCCAATTTCCCTTCACTGTAGCTAAGTAACAACAGTTAGTAGCATCACTGATGTATCTCTGAATATGACTTATGTTCTAAATGAATGTACGGAAGTTTGTAGACTTTTATAAAGAGAGATGGAAAATGTNTGCTTGGGGGGGTGGAATCCAACTGGGTCCACTTGGCATGGCAGCCACCGATTGGCCTATTGTAGCATGCCCTGGGTGATTATGATGATGGAGAATTTGGTGGAATGAAGATTGGCAGGGGAAACCGAAGTACTTGGAGAAAACCCGCCCCAGCGCCACTTTGTCCACCACAAATCCCACTTGACCAGACCTGGGATTGAACCCGGCCGCCGCGGTGGGAAGCCAGCGACTAATCCCTTGAGCTATGGTGTGGCCCAAGGATATGACTTACTTTAAAAGAGATATTTATCAGTAGTTCACTTCTGAAAATTAAAATTTTCTCTCTCTAGATATAAAAAGAAAGTTTTGTAATAGTAAGTCAGAACTCTGAAATTACACAATTTTGGGTTACCATAGCAGTGAATTTGTGAAACATTGCAGGAATTGTGTTATGTAGTATGTCAGGAATAAGCGAGCAGTCTGCTTTTTAAGAAGGCGTGGCTTTCTCTAGAATCAGATAACTTGCTGGGAAATACCTGTATGCAGGAATATATTAGATGTGACTTGAAACTCTGCTGGAAAATGTGTCTTCACAGGATACTTATGTAGGATGAGGTCTGCCCTTAATCTAATGTGTCTGTCAAGATAAAGAACTTCCTTGCTGATATGGTTGACATTATTATTACCGTGGTTATTTCCTTCCTTTATTAATGCAGTATGTCAAATCAATTATAGATGTACTCTTTCCTGATTTTCCTTAATTAGTAATGCATTGCTTATAAGTTGTTTTGGAATAGTAGCAATGTTATAGCCTAAAAATGTATGAATCACGTTGCCCCTTATTACAACAAACCTCTAAACTTTACTATTCCTTCTAAATAATAAGTTGTATTTTTATGTCTTTTAATAAGGAGTTATTTTCTCTGGAATCAGATAGCCTATAACAAATAGGATTCTTGTATTGATATTATCATATTTGAGTGGACCCCTCTCTAGTTATTCCATAAATGTCTCTTATGACAAATCATTCTGGGGTTAGAACATTTGATACTGCATTGGAACTTGAACCTGTTACACATTTTTAATTATTTTATACATTTAACCACTGGTAGAAGACAGCTTTTCATGTAAGTTTTGTCAGTATTTATCTGGGTTGCCATCTCTTCATTATTTTTTATCAAAATACGAGTTGTTATAAAATAATAATATTCTCAGTGGTGTGTAAATATATGAAAGTATTGGCTTGTAATTTTTACATTAATAATTTTTAATTTGTGACCTGCCCACTGCTGAGCCACAAGATGCATGTGATTTGGCAGTGGAAGTTTTTTATATATACAAAAGTGGTAAATAATTTGCATTTCTGAACTGAAATAAATTTTGTCATTAGTCAGTGGTGTGTTGCAGAGCCAATACTTGATGTAGGTGGCTGTTCAGATGGCTCAGCAAGTTCTTTAGGAAGATCTTCATTTGCTAAACAACGAAGTTTCAAATGCATGGGCAAAGCTAGCAGCAAATCTTCGAGTAGCGGGGCAGAGGGTGCAAAGTGAGAGGAGGTAAGGCATTTGTAAATCCACTTGTGTCCAATAAGTGTAAGTAAGTATCTTATAACTAAATCTCTGGTAGCAGAACTCAAAGGTTCAGTACCACTAATAACAAAGCTTACCATTGAACTTAATCCTGAACCAGTTCCATCCACCTCTTAACCTCACAATATATCTTCTAAAGATGGTGTCTTAATGTCTTGATTCCAATTTTCTCAGTCTCGAAGCCGCAACTTTCCAAAAGATTTTTACATGAATATTTTGGATGCATTCCATGTCTCCTCCAGCTGAATTATATTTGCATTCCATCTTAATCTCCTAATAATAATAGGTGACCTGTATAAATCATGGCATACTTTGTTATGTTATACCATAAGTTGCTCACATACTTTATCCTTCTTAGGCCCAGATATTTCTATAAACACTTTGGTTTTGAAACACTTAACGTTTTTTATTAGAATTGGCAGCTGAGGCTTGGAAGGAAGTAATGGTGCAGGGAGCAAGCAAAGAAACATAGACATGCAGTATTGCCAAGTATAACAGTGTAAAACATTGGTTCTCAATGAACCATATGTGATAATTAAATATCAGTCATATTATACTCAGAAGGCTGCAGTTACAGTATCAAAAGTAAACTTACTAACAGTAATTTGTTCCTCAGTCTGTTGGTATTTCTGGAACAAGATCATTTTCTAAGAATTCTTCTTCACACCTTTCTGAATTATCTGCATGTTAGCTACTGTGTTGTAAATTGTAACAAATTCCATTGTGGTAGCACGTTGCTGTTCCCTGCAGAAATCTTCATCTTGAAAATTTTCTGTGTTTGTAACACATGGCTGCCAAAGAGTTTTATAATGTGTAGCTGTGTATCTCTTAAACTGTTCCACATATCTTGTTGGCATTCAATACTGTGCATTTTTCTGTTGTTGAAATATTAAATTTATTCACTTTATCTGATAATGTATTTTGCTAATATTCCATTTATAAGTTAGCTGCAAGTAAGCTTAGTAAACTACATAAAACACCATTGGAAATTGGAAATTAAGGAGTACATCCCTTCTGGTTCTATGATGGATGGATATTGATTGTGACAAAGTTATTTTCTTTCTCATTTTATTTGTTACCAGGAATGGGAGGCCAAATTCTGTTCAGCTGTTCTTGGAAACACCACTGATCAGGTGATGCTTCTCATTCTTGAAGGTTTACTGGTGTTTATTTGCATTGAAGTTTCCATAAAAATTAGTAATTAATCAAGAGCCAAGGTAACTCATTCAGTATGGTGACTAGACTACAGGCTGAATGATAAGTTTTCTTTTGTTTTTGGAATTTGTGCTTGCTCTGTGGGTCAAGCAGTCATGGAATGAAGTTGGCCACTCACCGTCATCTAGTGCTGGGGTTAACAGTGTGTCAAACAGTGCATACAGTCCTTCATGTGTGTTCATGGCATGGTGATTTCATTAAGTTTGCAAAAATATTTAATAGTGAATGAGTCCACTATGTGGGAATGTTGGCTGAAACTCATGACTGGTAATGACAGTCCATAGTTGGCAATAACATGACTCACCTATAACAGTTCTGAAGTATCCCTGGCATTTTATATTCTCCTGTATTCACAGATGGCAGGGAGGTAGCATATCTTTCGTTTAGCAACTTTATAAGAATCGTTTGCTGTTGGTATATTTTCTGTTTCTGTGTCGTTTGGTTCCTAGTTTCTCATTATGTCCTTTGATTTCCAAGATAATGGCTGGTAAAAGAAGCTATAGTGCAGATTTAAAAGGTTACTGCACATATGACCGCAGGCCATTTAAATGCCCATTTTGTGCACCAAATACAAGAAATGTTATTTGTCATTTATAAGTCGTGGACTGATGTGTAATTTATGTTTAGAAATGCAGGTTTACTGCAAGTAATGACTGTCTCTTTAGTACTGACCCTATTGACATGGCATTTGAGGGGGTTAAGATATTATTCTTCTTATGCTGTATTTCTATTTCTCTTATAGTACCATTATACATATACGCTTACATACATATTCCATCAGTGAAGTAGGTCTTCATTATCTTCTTTACTGTAGCTTTGTCATCACTAAAAACTGAGACATTGTTTATCTTACAACACAGCATTGAAAGGTATTACAAATTGAAATTTCAGGTATGTTGTGGTGCATTAGATCACACACCCCAGACTGACTTCCACCTGACCTGTATTTTCTTTTATTTGATCATAATTATGATCAATTTTTATAATTTGCCTTGGTATGTAACACAAGTAGAGTGATTCGTTAGCCATGCAGTAAAATGGTTGAAGCTCAAAAAGGTTTTTTAGGTTATGATGTGTCTTGCTTGTGATCAGGCTTCTAATATTCCACTTTATTTCAGGATGCCTTGGACGAGGCATTGCAGCATCAAAGAACACTGCAGCAGTGGCGACGTAGCAGCAGTGATAGCAAGACTCGACGGAGAAGTGTGTCTGTGATGGGCATACCAACCCGTCATTTCCATTGCCTGCACTACTGCTGTTTGGAACCACACTAAATGATTGTGCCTCCCCATCATATCTGTTTCACTCACAGACACACATGCACACACTGCTCACTGTCCTAGATGTCAACTGTATTAGGGACTCATCCAAATTATTCACATCCTGTTGTGTGTGTTGCTGAAATTCTGAAGTGTGTAGAATAGTTCTCAGCATTTTTACTCTGGTGACTCACCTGCAGAGGTAAGTAAGAGAGAATCAGAGAGTATCAGTTCAGTAGCTCATCCACAATTCACACATTCCTTACATGTTGTGAATGAAAACGCTAATGCAAAATTTTCATCATTAAAGTCTGAAAGGGATAGCAAGAAGTAGGCTTATAAACTTTGAATCACATGGTGGATGGAGCTAGTGGAAAACATTGCATCTGGCGCATGGTTCAGTAAGAATCATTCTTTGCCATAGCTCTGCATCACATAATTTGCACTGGGTGCCTTACAGCCATGTGATAGATGAGATGCTATGCTGCTCAACAAACTGTATCAAGTGAAGATTTTAAATGAAATAAGTTCTGGGAAAAGCTGATTACCTACTTTTATGTTATAACATGTGGACCACACAGAAAATGACACATCCAACAATTCTTCTGTTATGTGTGTATTCATTGCCACATGAATGTGTTGACCAAGACATTACCTTGCAATGATAGGGGCGATACACATACATACATGCAGACAGCAAGGTGATCTTATAAGTCTACTTTTATAGGGAAGGTAGGCCAAAAAATCACCCACCTTTAGTTAACCAGTTAACTCCTCATAGATTCTTCTAGTTTTCAGAGAAAATGTTGTACTTTTACAAATAGGTCAAATAGACAGTGGTATTTTCATTGCATTACACACCAATTTCATAGATCCTCTTGCAACTCAGCCCATCTGTGATTTTTATCGAAACGTTTTGGAAAAAAAAAGAGTGAATTATGGGATGAAATTTGTATAATAATCCATACTTATTTTATAGTTTGTTATATGCATATTTTGTGAAATCGATGAAAGTTACAATATAAGATTTTTAGAAATCATAGCTTCAAAGATTCAAGATGTAAAGTAAGTAAGTAAAGCTATCCCTGTACAAGGCCGTGAAGGCCCATTGGCTTATGAGACGTTGAGGGTCCCACATTATCTAGACAGTTGGCTCAAAGATGGTGGTAAGGTTGTCAGTCTTACACACCAGCCATGCTTTACTCCCCAGGAAAATGATTTAATTAATTCCTGGTACTCATTTCTGTTAAGAGGCTGAGTAAACCCCAAGGCCTAGTGCGGCTGGAAGGATTAGGTCAACAGAAAAAAATCCAATGACCTCATCAGGACTTGAACCCGTGACCTTCCGGCTTGTAGCATAGCACCTTAACCACAACATGATAAAAGAAGTGGAATTGTTAAATGGCTTGCTTAATTAAGAGCTATAGTTGCTTCGATAAAATTATGCGATTTTGTTTTATTATGAATTTAGCATGCATAGGCTTTAAAATGAAGGATGAATGTGTCAATTTACAACTGTTATTTCTCCAAGCACTTGGCGGATCTGGATGCAGTTTGATATAGAAGCTTTACATTAGCCCTCTCATAGTTATTGGAACATTTATTTTTCACTTGAATTTTTACAACATTTGATCCCATTGGAGTCCGTCTGTTGCTGAGTAGCTTTTCTTTTATTGTATTTTACAGGACTGTCCTTCCCACTTTGAGACTTCTGAAGATTTTTAGGAAATCTGAGACCAGTGTAAAACGAAATAATTTGGTCTTGAAGAAAAGTCCATGATATGTATGTATTGACCGTCTTCTAGTGCACACAATCTCACATGTCACTTCACTACATGTGAGATTGTGTGCACTAGAAGACGGTCAATACATACATATCATGGACAAGAATCAGTGCAACAGGACGCAAAAATACAACATTATTGAAGAAAAGTTTATAAACATTTACATTTGGATATTGTTTCAATTCATACTGGCCTATTAGAACTCTCAAGCACAATTGTATACACAAACATACGTGTGTGTGCATGTGTTTATTTTATTTATTTATGGTTTATATAAAAATGCTGTCAGTATCTCAGACTATATAGCATCAAATGATAGAATGATTAGTTAGTAACAAGCTGGAAAGGATGTGGAAGGAGAAAATCGTGGGCTAATTTTGAGATATCCTGGTATTTACCTGGAGGGATTGAGGAAGTCCTGATAAACCTGTCAGGATAGTTGGTGTCCTGGCTGAGATTCAAACTAGAGATCTCCAAAATTTAAGTCCGAAGTGTTACTGCTTAAGCATCTTACCTTCTTAGAAATTGACTTATATGTGGGTTTAAATAAATTTATATTCTTTGTTGACAGTAGGCCCTCATTATACCATGAGTTTTATTATACCCCCCATTGTGATTATATATATGTTTTAAAAAAGTAAAAAGTAAAGGTATCCCTGTAACAGGCTGTGGAGGCCCATAGGGTTGTGAGATGTTAAGGGTCCCACATTTTCTAGACAATCGGCTCATAGATGGCGGCAAGGTTGTCAGCCCTATGTGCCGGCTGCCCTTTACCCCCAAGAATATTCCTGATACTCATTTCTGTTAGAGGCTGAGTTGACCCCAGGGCCATATTGTGGCTGGGAGGATTAGGTCAATTGAAAAAATCCAATGACATCGGGATTTGAAGCCGCGACCTTCCGCCTTGTAGCATAGTGCCTCAACCAATTATGCTAATGCATGCCCCTTATATATGTGTTTTATCTTGCTCAAATTTCTTAGTGAAATATTTTAGTGGTAATGATTAGAATGTATTATTTCATCCCTTGCTGTAGTGTTCATGGTGCAGGTGCAGAGGGTAAAGTACATAGTCCCATATGTATAGGTATGTTTCTGGTTTCTCTAATTCCAAAATTAGATAAAGTCAGTTTTATTTATAATACCGGTACTGAAGGTGTCCGCCAAAATATGCTTTATATTTTGTATTTAGACCCACATAAAAATTCCTTAGATTATCCCTGCAATTTGGTTATGCCCAAGAGGCAGATTATGCAGACAAATTTCTTAACACATCTGATATTCTGATATTGTGGGTTTTCTTGCTCGTTTGTTCCTTTTGATGCCATGTTGTCAAAGCCATATCTACAAATATGAATTACTCCGTCCAATGTGACCTGTAAGTTTATTACTACATGAGAAACTTAACACCCTTACATGTTTCGGTCTCTGCGGACAATCTTCAGAGGGCAAACATCAAAGATGTAAAGGTGTTAAGTTTCTCATGTAGTAATAAACTTACAGGTCACATTGGATGGAGTAATTCATATTTGTAATTGTTAGTGTGACGGACCAGAATGAAACAAATCAAATTAAAAAAAAAAGCCATATCTATTTTGATATATACCACAAAAATGCTAAACCCTGGGTCATGTTTGAAATTTTAACCTTGGGCATTTGGTAGAGAAGTTATGAGCCACATGTCTGAAAATGCTGATTATCTATAATACCATTTCCAAGGCTCCATGTTTAGCACAGAAGTATACTGACTGCTCATTCAGCACTTTGCTCTTTTTAAAGCACAATTATTTTTTTATCCATTCTCCATAAAAATAATGCTGATATCCTCTGTATATGTCATTGTTCTACTACAGTCTTGAAATACATATAATGATACTAATTGAAAACATTCATCGTTTACTGAAATGTTAGATATCATATATTTTGTAAAATATACACTGATAAACATATGCCAGCCATATGGGGATGGACACAGGGATGCTGAATATGAGTTGCATACATTTATCAGCAGTGGTGTGCAACTGAGAACTTTCTGTTATAGCGACACACACACATAAGTATATTCTTTTTCTTCTTCTGTGGGCACTACAGTCTGTGATGAACCTTGGCCACTTTTATGATTGCTCACCATTGGTCCTGATCCTGCAACTTTCATCTCCAATTTGCCAACTGAATCAAGCCACCTGATAGTAGGTCTGCCTACTCATTGAGAAGCCTTTGGTTTGTGTCAAGTAACTTCCTATAAGGGTTCTGGTCCAATATATAATTTTATAAGTTCATGGTTATATCTTGATCTACAATAAACCACTTTCCTTAATTGAGCCATAAATTCTTCTCAGTATTCTTCTTTCAAAGACCGCCTCTGTGGTCTAGTGGTCAGAGTTCCTGGTTACAGATGCAGAGGTCCTGGGGTCGATTTCCAGCCAGATTTTCTGAGAAGTAGTGGGTCTGGAAAGGGGTCCACTCAGCCTTGTGAGGATAATTGATGTGCTATTTCAAGGAAATAGCGGCTTCGGTATAGAAAACCGAGATTAATGGCCGTGGGGATCCGTTACGCTGACCACGTGACACTCTCTATCCACTAAAGTTGGCACTAACTTCGCCGATAAGCGGCGGTCGCTTGGTCAGTATAGTTCACTTGCGGACTACAGGCCAGAGCATATTTTCATCTTTCCTTTTTAAGGCCTGCTTTCACTTCCATAGGTAAGTATAGGCCTTACAAGCATCTTACATAGAGCACATTTTGTGTGTCTCCCTAAATATCATAAACTAAATTGTTTCTTTAGGCCATAACCAGCCATTACGGTTCTGTTTTATTTCAATAGTGAAGTTATCTTTTGTTAGAGTAGACCCAAGATATTTTAATTCTCTCACCCTTTCAAATTTCTAGTCATCTGTCTTTAAGCATTCTTGAATTCGATGACATTTTTGTTACTTCCATGCATTTAGCCCCCCCCCCCGATTGATTGTAAGTCCTGTTTTCTTCGGTGCTTTACTGAAGTTTATAGTTGCTTCTTTCAGTACACCTGTGGTTCTCCCCACATAAATATACAGATTTATGCATCTACTAGTTGATATTTTGATGAAGTACCTGCAACATTTAATGCACAGAATACTGTATGTATTATAAGTGAAGATCTGATTAGTTCAAACAGTAAAACTAATTTTATAGTATTATCCCTTCCTTCCAGCCTGCTCTGTTCTACATTTCTTGTGTATGGTATGTTGTAAGACAGTTTATGCTGATCCCAGTTATAATGTATATGTATATATGTATCATGTTTCAAGTTAGCATCCTTAATGTTGCTGTCTGTTCGTGTAAATTGCATTATGTACATGCAAGGAAATAAAAAATCATTGGCTCTTGGGTTTGTTTTTAATATATTTACTGTTATATATAGTAAAATTGCTGGGTGCATGATGTGGCTGTTAAAGCCTTTGCAACCTTAATGCAACCTGACATTGTTATAGACCCAGTGTTCACAGATGCTCACAGAACTGAGTATGGGTGATATAATCATTACATCTGATGTGGAAGCAATGCTGTGACATGGTTCAAGAAAGCCTAGTCATTACATTTGGAGTAAATGAAATCAATGATTACAGTTTTTGTCGTGTTAGTATAAACTTATTTTCAAGTTTAAAAGTTTTAAATTGCTAGCCAGTGCAGTTTGACTTTACACGTAGCAATTTGGTCATTCATTACATATAAGTTTCTGATACTCTGAAAGCAGCGCTGTTGTTGTCTGTGCATAATGTATGTTTGTACAGGTACTCCACATTATATATGCATTTCATACAGTGCAATTTAATCTTAATGTGCTCAACTAATTTAGACTGCTCTCAATTAGCAGCACTCAACAAATTCCCTGCCAGCTGATTCAGAGAGGCAGGAAGGGAAAATGGAGTATCATGGGAATGACAGTGTACGAATGTAAGGGGAGCAGGGAATATTACATTCAATTTATGATTTCACCCTCTGTGACTTTTCTTTGGAACATAGCTGTTGCATAAATTGATGAGTATCTATGTTCTTAATTTTTTGAACTTGAACTCTTCGAAACTTGCCTCATGCCATGATTTTATGTTGTATCCCACATTTATTTGTTAATACTCTATGGATATTTATTTGCTTTCAGATAGAGACAAAGCCTCAGAAGGATTCACATTAAAGTGTAGTACACATCTTCCATCACATTTAATGACATTAGTTTGGAGACAGATCCAGTGACTGGTGTTGGTGGTAGCAGAAACAGCAGTAGGATCAGCAGTGGAACTAGGACCAGTAACAGTAAAAACAATGACTACAATAATAGTAATCTAGAAACAAGTAGAGAGACAGTGTAGTTTATGTGAAGTCAAAGGTTTCTGTTGCTTAGCTAATGACTTAATTTGCTAAACTTATCACAAGCTTTGTGTTCCAATTAGTTCTGATATTTGCATCTGTCTAATTCATTCTCTGATTTCTGATCCAGAAATCATTTGATCTGTAGACATGTTTGTAACATGCCACAGTACACCGTTTTGCTGGTCAAGTGACAATGATTTATTAGTTACCTGCGCCCCAAATGTTTGGTATAGTCACCATACAAAACTTAGGACATTACATTTAGTGATGTGTATTGGTTTCCCACCTACAAATGTGAATGATGGTTATTGACAGGAAATTGGAAAAGGGGCAAGATAAGAAATAACCAAATGGCAAGATGTTCATTACCAATTCTCATGAAAATCTGTCAATTAGTGTGTGTCATATTGATGTGGTCTCACATACTCTGAAAGGGCAAAAATGGAATCAAGGCAGGCACATTAATATTGCTTATACATTTCTGAAGAACAAATTATGTTCCTCTAAAACACAGAATTGCATTTGTATGGTGTAGGTGTGTATTTGTAGTAGTGACTTCCTGTCTTGTGCAGATATCTCACATAACGTCCAATAATTTTCAGCAATCCAATTAAAATTTTGAATATAAATTATAGGGGAGGAAATGTGAACTCAAGTTTGGAGTAAGTGGTTCAGTAAACTTTCATCCAACTCATTTAAACATTCCACTCAGTCTTATTCATTAAGATTTTAAACATTTGTGAAACAGATAAGAAAACCAAGATTAATGGCTTTGGGGATCCATTGCACTGACCACGCGACACCCTCTATCTGCTAAAGTTGGCACTAACTTCGCCAACAGATGGCTGTCGCTCGGTCAGTATAGTTCGCTTGTGGACTACAGGCCACAGAGTTCTTTTTTTTTTAACAGATAAGAAAGAACACTTATGAGCATCAGGAATGTACAAAGTTATAATGATAAACATTTAACTTCTCACTTAACTTTCTTAGCAGACAAAATTTATAGCCAGGAGTACTTCCTGCATCTGTCATAGGAAACTTCCCAAACATGTTGCGTCTACCCCTTCTAGTTCACTTTAGATTCTGATCCATAATAAATAAATTGTGAAATAAATCTCTTACATATATCATATTTACATTTCATCATAATATGTTACAAAATGTTACGAGTCTTGACATATTTCCACACATCACAGTCAATCACTAACATCCTCTTCATCACTAAAATAGCTGCTTGGTCGGATTCGTTTTTTGGGCTCTGTGGTTGTGGCATCTGGGTCTTCATAGTCCCCTGTTGCAACTTTGTACCGGTACTGGTCCAACTCCACCTGCTCTTGCTAAATGGGTAAAAGAATATTCTTAATACATGGATAGTCTAAAAGTTAATTTTAATGTGGTGTCATACAGTGCATGCTCCAGCCTATAACCATGACCTATACTGAAGTGTCTAGGGTCAATCTTAGTAGCCTGCAGCTAGAAGCTTCGACCTGTGCTGAAACCCGCGACTGAGCAGCCCAAAGTTTTGACCTTAGTCCACCACCCCAGCAGCTGGCAGCCTTACAAGTCCAGGTAGGTACAACAATCTGCAATCCTCCAGCAATCTATATGCTGCCAGACTGACTAAGTAGCTCTAAAAATTCTTATGGATTACAATATTTTCAGTCTTGCAGCATGAAGTGACTGTTACAATTCGGTTCTATTCTTTTCCCTCCCAAATGCCTAGGTTTCAACAGAAGTGTTTCAAAGGCTTCAGTTTATGGTCATACAAACAAGTATAATGACCCATATATTTCAGCTGTGATAATAATTCATATATAATGAGGAGCTTCATAACTTGTACTCTTCTCAAAGTATAATTAGAATGATCAAGTCAAGGAGGATGAGGTGGGCAGGTCACATACCACGAATGGGGGAGACGAGGAATGCATATAGGATATTGGTGGGAAAACCAAAAGGAAAGAGACCACAGGGATGACCAAGGCATAGGTGGGTGGACAATATTAGAATGGATCTTAGAGAGATAGGATGGGATGGTATGGATTGAATAGATCTGGCTCAGGATAGGGACCATTGGAGGGCTCTTGTGAACACAGTAATGAACCTTCGGGTTCCATAAAATGTTGGGAAATTCTTGAGTAGCTGCAGAATTGGCGGCTCCTCCAGAAGGGCTCAGCTCCATGAGTGAGTAAGTAAGTAAGTAATATTTCATATGGTTGGTGAGATTCCTTATGTTGTGATAGGAATTGTACTATGTAACATAAGAAACGTTACATGTTCAATTTAGTAACTCAAAATGTACACTTGAACATCCACTAGAAAAAGAAAAATTATCTTTTTTGGAGAAAAACACATTCTCAAGATTACCTTTAAGCCAGAACTATATTAAGAAAGCATGGAAAGTTTGCACAAAGGTATTACCAAAATTCTGTATTATTTCTGAATTGTATCTTACAAAGATGCGAACAGTATACTCAAAGCGGAGTCCTTTGTGACTTTATATACCTAATTGGCCTTGATGCTCACTTACTGCAGATACAAATCCGTTGCTGGAAAGCAGTACTCCACAGTCATAAAATATTTTTCTTATTTTCTTTTGCTATATACAGTATTTACCATACAAAAATAGTATCAAATGAATCACTCGGTGGGATATATACTTTACATCATATAAATTATTTTTAAAAGGCAATCATTGACTAAGCCTCACATAAATTAACTGATTGATAACAAGAAACGTCAGGTTGCCTGTGACAACTCATGTGAACCCTGCATACCAAGTAATACTGAAATTTATTCATACTTCTGGAGATGATATAAGGAAATGGAGAGGTGTGATCTCTCCATTACAAGTAAATTTCATGCACTTTACATCAAAGCACACAACAGTAGTTCTCTACCTCCAGTTTTATTACTGCACTGAGGGTTTCCATGTCAGGTTCTACTTCTTCATCTGGTTCCTCTTCCTCTCTGATTGCTCTCTTCTTTTTATATCTGCTGTGATTGCTTGGCAACCAGCAGTCATCATCTGAACTCCCAAAATCTTCATCCTGCAACTGAGTTGGAAATAACACATTTTGCTACAGAAAATCTTGAGAACTTTTGGCTGGGAATTCTTCTGTTGCTCTGCTGCTACTCAGACTAGTAGTAGAAGTAGCAAAGTAGCAGCACAGCAAGGACAAGCACGAGGCTTTGTTGTACCAAGATTACAAGCAGTAATGGAAATGTCTGGAAATGAAGTCTTATACATTCAAAACTCAAATGTTCTGGAAAGATGGAGGAAACTGCATACCTGATTTTTTTCAGCTTTAGAATTTTCCTTCTTCCTCCTTTTATCCTTCTTAGGAGGAGGGTCTCTTTCACCTAGTGCATTCTTTGGACATTTATAGCTCAAGTGGCCATCTTCACCACATTCATAGCATCGTGATTTATCGGGATAGGATTTGCGACGTATAAACTCCGCACTTCTCCCATTATCAATAGCCAGATTGCTTCTGAGTGTACGTCCGAACATCTGGAATCATGTAAGATTTGAGGCTTTCACGGCGGTGACTATGAAGAAAGCAGTCTTCTGGGATTTGGCACCGTGTATATGTGGTGTTAACCGACGTTAACGTTAACGTCAGTTAACACCACATATACATGGTGCCAAATCCCAGAAGACTGCTTTCTTCATCTTGAATCATGTTAAAAATTTTTACATGAAAAAGGGATATGATAAGTTTCATGAACTTGTAGCAATGAAGTAGTAAAGTGAATCCTACAACAGGTATACTGGGATCATGTGCTCATATATTTTAGGTGAAATCAATTTTCTTCAATAAACCTGGGCTCCAATATTCTGCTGTAAAACTTCCAAAGACACAAGTGACTGAGGGTTCTGATGACAGTAATGTTCATATCCACTTAGGTAAGAACCTCAAATCTCATATGCATAATACACAAAATTATCACATAAAAATCCTAGGATCAAACAAAAATGTTATAGTATGGAGGTAATAAGGTTTTTGGGCCTGCTATTTAACTCTGACTGCTACATGCATCTTAGGTTGGCATATGTCATGTGTCTTTGGAATAGTTGTTTGTAGCTGTCACCTCTACTTTTTTAGGACAATTACATGGTCAGTGACATTATACATGTTCTGCCATAACAAACACAATGAACTTATTTCTATGTCTCTTTTGACCACTGTTAGATGGTAAGAGTATGATTTTACTGAAGGCATGAATCCTGTTATCTCTTAATATCACGGTACTGAAATGGTATTCTCTGTTGGAACTGCCTTAAAGGATTTCCCCACATATATATTCATATAAAATGTGAGGTAACAATAATTGTATTTATATATTTGTTTCAGCATACAGACATGACCATGATGCCTTTACTACTCAACAGTGCTTAATTAAGCATGAAGCAATGAAGAAATCTGGTGGAACTAAAGTATAGCTTTATGCATATTTAGTCTCTGTATTAGATGGGGGTGATTGGTCACTGCTTTAACCCTGAAAACCACTGAACAGGAAGTTGGGTGGGCCAGGGAGCTGGTCTGGTTGCTACAGAGCAGGGAAAAATATCTTGCCCCTGCAGGAAATTGAACTCCATTTCCTCAGTCATCCAGTCCATGGTCTAATCACTATACTAACTGAGCTATTCTTGCTACCCATTCAACAGCCAAAACAGTAACAAATAATTTGATAAATGTCTTCTAGGTTTCTTTATCACCAATGCTTTACTTATGAATACAAATGGGTAGCTACCTCTCGTCCATTTATGGCTTTCGCACATGTCTGTGCATCCTCTCGTTTCAGGAATAGTACAAATGCGACACCCTTACTTTTCCGTGTTACTTTATCTTTCATGATTGTAACCCTGCAAACGATATAAGTTACAACATTAATGTAAAAAATTATTTCTGTCTAAACATTTTCCTTAAAAATATCTAAAACAGAAACACAAGTTCATTTAGAACTGCTACAATTAAACCATGCCAATGGGCACCCTGAACCAGTCCAGTTTATATCCTATAACTTAATCCTGCAAGATAATTTGAATATTGCTCAGAACAGGAACCACCAGCAGGCTCTTGTGAACATGATAAAACAGTTCTACAATAGGTAAGGAATTTCTTTGCCAGATGAATGACTATTTGCTTCCCAAGGACCATTCCACAGAATAGCTGCTTTAACTGATAATCTAAGCACTCCTTTTAGCAGAATTACCACACCTGAGGGATTTAGCTAATGGACTGAACAGCACATTTATTATGAAAGAATTTTCATAAGAACAGGGTGGTACTTGTGTCATGTAATTTATGAATTGAATATGAACATAACTGCCCCACTGGTACAAAATGATTCTGAGGAGATTACAAAAGGAGAACCTAGCTGTCACCATTAGTGGTAGTCTGAATTTGAACATAATATAGAAGTCAGTCATGCGAGACATTCTGGGGTATGCCGTTTGGGACTAACAAGAAATAAATCTGAACACTTCTATAATTTGAAGTTTTCATGGCACCGGAATACAATGACATCTACTTATGGGATCAGCTGTATCTGTGGACTTTGTCTCCAAGATTTTAGAGATTTTCTGTCTCAATTAGATCTTGCTGATCAGTGTTGTATTTGCATGCTGCACTTATGCACTATGTAAGCTGTTGGCTGCCCCAGCCTAGGCCATATGGGAATTGGTGGAGTCAGTGACGGATTGCACCACGCCAATATCATCATAACCTCAATTCACCGACTACAAACCGAAAACATTTTAACAAACATTATATTATAAAGTTCGGTTCTCTTGTAAATACTTACTTGATAACCCTTCCATACTTTTCAAATATTTTGTGCAAATCATTATTTGTAAGAGAGAACGGCAGGTTGGAAACATAAACTGTACTTTTACTAGGGGCCAATCCGCCACTCATGGTTGCCGCTTCTACGATCATCAAAAGGAGTATTTACAGAAAACAGCCTTTTTCATGAACTTCAAAGCCATCATAACCAGATATCTGTAATTAATACCACCGAAAACTTCCTTCGGCCGCTGGATGAACATAGCCCCATTCAGCATTGGTCTTCTGACTAGAAACTGCCGAACTGCCGAATACTTCATCCGAGACGTCGCGATCGTCGCGATGCTAGCGACGATAGGGACCACCTAAGATGGTGTGAGCAACTAATCAAACGTAAGTTTCCTCCATGTTCACCAAATCTGGAAACCAGTTGGCTGCTTTAAATCGGTGACATTTTTTTAGAAACTGCGGTTGCATTGCAGTTTCCAGTATCCTTGGTGTGCCCACGCCCTAGGAAACCACGCGGCTAGGCAATAATGAGGAGTAGGCTGGCATGCTCCGTTGTCTGGAAGTGGACTAGCTCAGTCGTTCGGCGAGATGCGTTGCCGTTTCCTGAATTTTTATCTGCTCCATCCAGTAACGTGTGTTCAACTCAGGCAGATAAGAGCTCTGTAAATTGCAGTTGCCTCCGGTCTAGAAAACCGAAATTAACGGACGTAGGGATTTTTTATTGTAGAAAAAATTATTATAAAAAAATGCCTAGGCAATGCACACGGAGTTAGTTTGTTGCAATTGCCGGTTTCCTTGGCTACCTTGGTGCTCCCTCGGCATATCCAATATGGTTGTTTCGTAAAGTTGTCGCTGCTGATGAGCAGGGCCCGGATTTTGATGACATGTCATCCTTTTTTCCTTGTATCCTATGCGATGCTCTTAAATATATAAATCTCGGATATGAGCTGCTGGTTACAGATATGTAAATTTTATAGGTATATTCGTAATTTTTTTACATTTTTAGGTTTCAGGTCATTTTTTCATTTTGGGGGTAATTTCTTGGTAAATTTTGGGACTTTTAAGGGTATTTCTTGTCATTTTTGGCCATTTTAGGGAATTTTTCTTCATATGTGTTCTGAAATGTGAATAATATGGAAGCGAAGTGTTATTTCTCTTTCTCCTTTAGGTAATTTTTCTGGATTTTTTCGGTCATTTTATAGTTCACTTTTTAAATATTTTCAGGTCATCAAAATCCGGGCCCTGCATATTACATTTTTGGGTCATATTTTAGGTAATTCTTCTGGATTTTTTCGGTCATTTTATAGGTCATTTTTTAAATATTTTCAGGTCGTCAAAATCCGGGCCCTGCTGATGAGACTCCAGTTTTCATCGATAATAGTAGTAAAACAAGTGAAGTAACGTGTGCTAGTGATAAATTTGAAATATAACTACAAAATACCTTAATAGAACTCAGATCAGCACAAAAAATTATTGAGCTGCTACAAGAAAAGATAAAACACCCCCAATCGAACCATAAGTACAGATGAATGTTACTTGCATCACAACGAGAATTCGACACAATTGGAACTAAAAAAGGGAAATGGGTTCATGTGTCCTGATTGCGTTGGAAAGGAGACAGTAAGCCAGAAGTAAACTATGCTGTTCCAATACCTATCATTGCAAACCGCTGTGAGCTACTAAATAATCTCAACCAGCCGACAAATACAACACAATGAGAACACGTTAGACAGGAAAAGTGACAACGAATTAGAGCAAAAAGGAACCGAAGCCCGGACGTATGGCAGATGCCGAAGACATCCAGTAACAAGGAAAGATGTTTTTTTTATGATCAACATTTCTGTCAAAGAGTGATCTAATAATTAATGATAGGTAGGCACACTGCCCACAGTAAACTAGTTATAACAAAACTACTCACCACATCAGCCATTGTGTATATAATGTGTCCATATAAACATTACCTACATTATGATTACAACTGCCAACTTCCAAATACCATCACATGTACAACTTTGAACTATACTTTTGACTATGTAACTGGTTATTTAAGGCTTCAATTTTTATTGTAATTTATATTTTATATTCACTCATATCATTTTATACCACTGTATATACATGGAAGTTTAGCACTGTATCCTATATTTGACATGCAATTCAATAACGAAAAGTTTAATGTATTTGCCAGATGATGGCCTTTTGAAGGCCAAAACATGTAGCAAAAGTATCTCCTAGAGCTACTTACACATATTATTGATTGTTGTGTTATGACTGTTTTCAGTAAGAAATAATATATGATACATAACAGGATGCATTCACTGAAAATATTTTGTACAGTTGTTGGTGGGTAAGCAGTTCAGATTTCAGTAAGAGCAAATTTGGATTCACATTTCAGTCTATCACAATTTAATTCGGAACTGGTTATTTTTTTGCTCATTTGCATCTGGCTAATCTCATACAAAATTTACATTACAGGATTTTGAGAGAGAAATGATTGAAGAGAAGAAACGTCGGGAAGAAGGCAAACGTGGAGCTTGGAATGAAGTTGAGATTGGTGAGTCATTTGCAGATTCCTTATGTACAACATTGGCCTATTCAAATTAAGAGACACTGATACTGTATTGGATTTAATAAGCACAGTAGACCACTGTAGGTCGCGGTGCAAGGGCTGAGAAGGCCCACCCCTTATACAT